ACCCTAACCCTAACCCTAACCCTAACCCTAACCCTAACCCTAACCCTAACCCTAACCCTAACCCTAACCCTAACCCTAACCCTAACCCTAACCCTTTTCAAACTCATTCGTTCTGCGTGTCTCTATAATAAAGACGAAGTTGCCAATGTTCTGGATTGTAACCCTTGAAATAAAAATACCGTGGCTGTGTCACGTCAAAAGAGAAATCACGAGCAAACCCGCTTCATCTTCCTGGTTCTAGATTTGGAAATATTCTGTATTCTGCCAAAAATGTTTATTTTGCTTACGGCTTCGAAAGACAACAATTCACGTAACGAACCGCTGATCGACAGATGATTTACCCATCACGATTTGGCGCCTGTCGGACATGTGGAACCAATGCTATGATTTGGGCTCGTAACCATCGTCTATCTGCTTCTCCCCAAGCCTCAATGTTAATTCAGGTTTCGGGAGGCCATCTTGACAGTCCGTTGACTATCACGTTCAAGTTGCTAACCCGCCTATCAAGTTCATGTTGCCAACCCGCCTATCAAGTTCATGTTGCCAACCCGCCTTAAAAGTCCATGTTGCCAACCCGCCTTAAAAGTGATGAGGATAGCTTCTAGCTTTGAGACTTGTCGAGAGCAAACCTGCGATAAGGAAAGGACGACCCCTCTACTTTGGGATCACCGCCTTTTCGCGGGCCTTGGCAAGTGCAGAAGCGCACTAATTATTTTCTACTTTTATTTCCATTTGGAATACTAGCGACACTACAGCGCGTTAGCCGTTAATTCTTTTCTAGAAAGCATGAAGTGATTGCACAGCAACTTTCGTTCCGAGCACAACCCCATCGTTAATATCAAGGCTGTCATAAACCTTCATGGCTTCATACGCCGCTTTTTCACCAGAAGCAAGCATACCACCAAAGCTAGCGCCCATGCGAGGGTGACCATCAAGCTCGCTGAGTTCCATACCACCGCAGATGATGCCTGGGAAGATTTCGCGCGTGTTGTTGACGATGAGGTCTTCCGACTTGCTCATGTTGAGAGGACCCATGTCCTTGTTCTTGACGAGGCCGGCGCTTTCGAGTCTCTTGACGCTAAAAGCGCCAAACTAATGATTGTTCAAAAAAATTAGACATCAGCGGATGCATAACAGTATGTCCCCCGAGTCAAGTGTTACTTACGGGACCGTCATGACCGCAAAAGGAGAGAACAACGGGTGCCTCGATGGTCTGAGGGTCCATGCAGGATTGGTCCATGTGGTGCATGGAGACCAGAGTCCAGTTGGTGACGAGACCGGTGACCCGTTTAACACCTTGCTGATCCTCTTTGATGATTAAGTCTTCAGCACATGTGGCATTGAAGAGCTTGATGTTTGGCATGGCAAGAATCTTGCTCAGGATGGTGGATGTAAAGAGAGCTGGAGGAGCAAGGACGCAAGTTAACTAGACTTGTTTCCGGTGAAATATGTTTTGGGGTCCACTACCCCACTTACCGGCATGCTTGACCACGACGTAGTCACCCTCGTCCTCATCTGTGGCCATGTGCGCGGAGGAGAGCGTTAAGTTGTGAGTACCGACTAGAATGAATGCATTTACCTGTAAGAGGGGTACTCACAGGGAACGCCAACTTCGCGAAGGAAAGCATCGGCTGGCTTTCGGACGACCATGGCGCTCATCAATTGACCACCAAGCCAGCACTGTGAAAAGGAAGGAGGGGAACACGTCAGAAAGGGTCCAATCTGAACTAGTGGCGGTTGAGAGGTGGGGTAGGGCAACTCACACCACCACCGGGAGCAACGGCGGATTCAAGAATGGTGATACGAAGGTCGGGACGGCTTTTACCAAGGCGGTAAGCAGCGGAGAGACCGGCGGATCCAGCGCCGATGATCACAATGTCGCTGACGGCGGCGTTGATCATGTCGGTAAAATAGCGAGTGGTCATGGCGCGAGAAGTTTGCGATTCACGAATTGGAGCGAAACGGTAGTTGCCTTGCCAATCGGTGACGGCGCTGCTTCCATCGCCACTGCTGCTTGTGTTTATAGTTTGACGAGCAATGTGAGCTGCCTGCATCTTGGCCTGTACGAGGTCAACGCCATGGTTTGCTGTTGGGGTGGTTGCGATGGGAGCCATTTCGGTAAGAATGAGAGGAAGAAGAAGATGCGAATAGAATTGAATCGATTGAGGTGAGGTGAGGTGAGGTGAGGTGAGGTGAGTTGAGGTGAGGTGATTCAATGAAAGAATATAAGGAAGGAAGGAGGGGCAAGTAGATTGGAAGGGGGGACGATATTTAATTACTGTCAGTAGTATTTCTCCGTCACCCATTCATTCATTCCACTGTAGCTGTATATGTCAGCAACATTCCCTGCTGCTTGCTCTCCTGTTGGTGATAATAATCAAAATAACGTTGTGATCTAGTATAGTAATGGTCCACTGCACGGACCACATTCAATCTCCCTCATGTTCAATGCTTTTGTGTGGTGCCACCTGACGGACTAAATCTATGTCTGTACGAATGCAAAATATGGTTATGGCGCAATAACCGATCCACTCGATCGATTTGTGGCGATAGCTTATTGCCGCAAAGGTCCTCGCACCATCGCATTTAGTCATCCCCCACCAAAAAAAGAAAAATAATTTAAAGAAGTTGAAGTTGAATAGGATGATGAGGATTTGAACGCAGAATTTGGAAATGAATGGACCTATTCTATCTCTTTTCTTTGAGTGCGAGAACAGGACAACTTGTTTTATTGTTGGTGGACAGTGGAATTGTGGTGCTCTCTCCAAAAGGATGGTTAAAAGTCTATTGTTCTCTTTCTACATTATCTCACTCCGCTCACAACTTGGCTTTTTGGCAGGAATCTCTGAATACCGATTCAATTTATTCTCAGCGTAACACACTCCCTTCGACCACAACTCTCCTTTCCGCCAACAATGTTGTTTTGGGTTCGGGAGCTGAGGGTTGGGAGCTAAAATTCATATTTACAGTTCAGTACTGTGCTGCAATTTCGATGCTGATGATTAAGAGTTTATTCCCACGCTTTAATCACCGCGCCACACGTGCACTGCGCTGGCCGCCGTTGTGCTTAAACCCTTCTGAAGCCTTTCCAGCGACATGCGAACGTGATGTGACGTGGCTGCGCCATGCCTTACGCTCGAGCCATACAAGATGAGCGCCAGCAAGGCAATAGAATTGAATGATGGCCGCCTGCTGATTTAAAAGCGAAGTTAGGCGTCGATTGCTACACTCTGCTTCGTACCCATAAAGCATTTTTGACGGTAAACCCATACTCTCCCCCTCTCTAAATATCAATCCATCATCATGGCTTCTGATAAGATTACCTTCCTTTTCAACTGGCATGCCATTCCGTGAGTCAGCCGTCTTCTTGTCAGAGCAGCATTGCTCCTACTCCGACCATTTTTTAATGATATAATGTAAAACATCTGACGCGATTTGCTCCAGCTACCATGCACCAGTTTTTCTTGCTCAGTCAAAGGTGCGTATGTTTAAGAGCATTTGCTACCGTTGACGCCACCGCTGCATGAAACTTGTCTCTAATTTTTTGGTTATTTATTTTCATTCTTGTATGTTCTTATGATGAAATCAGGGCTTCTTTGCCGAAGAAGGCATCAAGGTCGCTCTTCTCGAGCCCAATGACCCATCCGACGTGGTGCGTAGTACCCCGCGTCTTCTCGATGCGATACCACGAATCAAACTTCCTTGATTGAACTTTTCTCTTGCCTCGTTGCCTCGAGCAGACGGAAATCATTGGCAGCGGCAAAGCTGACATGGGCCTCAAAGCTGTGAGTGCAGCTTCTTACAGAGAGTTGGACCATTTAAATGACGGGTGGAGTTGCCGTTTTCCCTGAAAAAAAAAAGATGATCCATACCATCGCTGCCAAAGCTCGCGGGTTCCCAGTGACCAGCATCGGCACCTTGATGGATGAGCCGTGAGTGCCGCCAAAAGATGTCAAGTTTTTTGACCTCTTGGCACCAACTCCGAAATGACCAATCCCTCCGGGTGAGCTCCCCTGCAGCTTCACTGGTGTCATTTACTTGGAAGGCTCTGGCATCACGTCCGATTTCCGCAGTCTTAAGGGCAAGCGAATTGGATATGTTGGAGAATTTGGCAAGATTCAGATTGATGAGTGAGCTTTGACCAGTGGCTTGGCATGGGCCATGATGTGGTTTCCTTTTTTATTTCCACACTTCCCTGCTGAGCAAAAGTGAATGACTCAGCACCTCTTTTTTCGCAGGCTCACTCGTCACTTTGGCATGACGCCAAATGACTATGAGGCGGTTCGTGTTGGCATGTCTGCCACCGAGGCTATTCAAACCGGTCGTGTTCATGCAGCCATTGGTCTTGAGAATGTGCAGATGGTGCGTCATTCCATTTCATTTTTAAGGCATGTCACATGTTTGCTCACATCTACTTCATTTTAACCCCCTCCCATCCTCACTTCAAGGTCGAGTTGGAAGAGTGGTGCAAGACACAGGGACGACCCACTACGGATGTCAAGATGTTGCGTATCGATGAGCTCGCCGAGCTGGGCTGCTGCTGTTTTTGCACGATCCTCTTTATCGGAAATGATGAATTCATCCAACGAGAGCCAGCCAAGGTTCGCGCATTTATGCGTGCCGTCAAAAAAGCTTCCGACTTCTTGCATGTCAACCCCAGACAGGCTTGGGAAGAATTCAAGGCTTACAAAAAAATCATGGACACGCCCGTGAATGCCAAGATTTTTGAGCGATCCTTTGCCTATATGAGTAAGGATTGTGCAAATGGTGAGTGGCATTTGGAACAAGTTTCCCGGGTTCTCGGGAGTCTGCTGGAGCATCCTTTCCCGTTTCACCCCTTCCACATTTGATCTGGCGCACAGTTCCTCGCGACTGGGCCAAGGTGACGAAGTACTCAAAGCGACTTGGTATTGTCGCGCCGGACTTTGAGCCCAATGCGACGAACAGCTTCCTTTCATGGCAGCCCGATGCAGACGTCACTGATCCCGAAGCCAAGCAAAAAGAGATTGCCGCCTATCAACGCAAAGTTGCTGAAGAAGGTGGAATCTTGTCGGTCCCTGTGGCCGCTCTCGCCGCTTGAAAATGGAAATCAGTGAGGAGAACTTAGCAAGTCCTTTTTTCTGATTGGATGATTGGATGGCGAGTGTCTACCGACTATTGTGTTTGGCAAAATCAAATAGAAGTCAATTTGATGAGAGTCGTCCTTGAGTGAAAGCGCAGTAACCATTCTGAATGTAAACATTAAAACAACCACCCCATAATTGGGGATTCTGGCATGTTGAATACTTGAAGAAATATGCTCAACTGGGAGCCCAATGCTCCATTGTGTGATTTTTTTTGCTTCTAAGCCTAACCCTAAGAGGTTTGCTGCCAACAACGAGGGGGGGATGGGTAATGCCCTTCCGCGGCCCGGGTTTAGAAGTCAGTTCATTGTCGGTATCAAGTGCGGCATTTGTATCTCATTCAAACCCTCCCGTGCTGGAAGCAGGATATGCGGATAGTACTCAACCTTCACGGCCCGCGAGACGAATACTACTCCGGTTGCTTCAATGCGCTGTGGGACTTGGCGCCCTCGAAACCATCGTTCCCCTAGCTCACTTTGCTGCCTTCCGTGCCGTACCTTGTAGCGCCGAGCGCGCCGTCGACTGTTTGGTATGGTATCCACCATTGCTTCACGTTATGGAAATGATCGCCGCGTAGAGGTCTTCCACGCCGCGTCATGACTCTTTTGGAGCTCTTGCAGTGCTGAAAGGCGGCTTGCCGAGGGATCGCTTCCAGAAATCAAACTTACGATATCTATGGCATGGAGCAAGCCCTCAGGCGTTGCTCAAAGGTGGGACTCCGCGGACGAACTAGGTATTTCCTTCCTATAAATAAAACTCGTCCGCAAAGGCCGGTACAAGATGGCCACAGCATAGTGCATATACGCTTCACTAGAGGTAAAAATAAATTAGAGTGGTGTTATGGTTCCGGAGGAGGATATGGGAAATCTGCTGATCAAAGATGAGTTGAATGAATCTATTGCGCGGTGGATTGGCGTTCGATTAAGTCATCACATAGAGCCAATATCCTCCCTCCCCCATTCACCTTTGCTGCTCACTCACCTCCTTGCAAGGCGACGCATCCAATGACGGAAGTGTCCAGATAGCGCCAGTGTGTGATCATAAATAGCAATATGGCAACAAATCACATGTAAAGGCCAGGATCACCAATGATACAATTGACCGCCCTGTTTCCTATCAGCAGTGTGACGCTGTATATATTACCTCCTCATACCCGCCGCATGCCTGTAATCTTAAACCCCTTGATGTCATAGTTATTGAGACGCGGGCCAAAGTAGCTACCCTGTTTTAAGACAGCTCTGAGGGAACATGCAGGATTGATGCCGAGCCTTGCCTCTGATGGTCTTCACGAGGACGACAATCATCTCCTCGACCTCAGCTTCATGAAGCTGCTCAGGAATATCGAAAGTGCGGTTATCTACTGTGTAGGGCGCAACCGCATTCCTTCTGCAGTCACGGAACTTAGGCATCAGCGCGATTCGTTCGCCGCTGACGTCTTTGGTCCTGCGAGTGAGCCTGCGGAGGTCTTTCTAGCCCATGGACATCACTTGAACTTGTAGACCCGTTTTGCGGTACGGATTCTTGATCCACGGCAGCACATCTGCATCCGCGGAGCGGATGTAGACAAGCGCTCGACCGGCTGAAATATCGGTATTGACTCCGATACCGAAAAAGCTCGTACTAGAATCATAAGCTTGAGGCTTAAGCGTATACCCCGACACGTGGAACAAATTGTATAGAGGCTTGCAAGCCTGGTCGGCCCACTCCGCCCATCAGGCAGCCCTGATAGCGTACTAAGGACTCAACTCCTTGTCGCTCGAATGGCATCAGCGGATGTCAAAGTCGACGGTGTTAGTGCAGCTGCGGCCCAAGCAGGTGCATTGCCATACTTTGCGAGCCGCATCTTGATCATTAGCGGGGGGGCGAGGGTTTGCACCATAATTAGCTTCCATTGTCGGATCGGGGGGTCAATTAAAAATTACTCTCGACAAGGCAGCGTCGGGACGCGTTGGTCGTAATACGCCGAAGTCCTTGCAACAATGCTCCTAGGCAACCCCAACTCTACTGATATAGATGCGTTCGCAAACAAAGTCTTTGGGTTGGTCGGCGGTCTGCTAGCCTTACACCCTAGAAAACACCGTTTCCCCGCACCATTCAAAGTCAAATTGCTGTGGTAAGCGCAGACCCTCTTCATACCGTCACATAGATCCCAGATGAATATCAATTCAAGTCACCTGAACAGATGTCAAGCGTTTCTGCGCTGTCTGAAATGTGTTCTTACCATTTGACGACAGCCTTACACTGCTTTCATGCCACATGTTTCCTGGCTGCAAGGGGAGAACCAAGCAAGCATCATAGATATTAGTTTGACATGGAAGCTCCAGTTTCAACAAGCACTTTGATGGCGACTTTGAGATCAAGACGAAACATCCCACTTTCTGCTTGTTAGCAAGGTTCTGGTTGGGGTTAAATTTTCTTCACTTATCTCTTACCTGAGCTTCTCTCCGGCCTCCCTACTTGACGTAACAACTTGCTGGACCCGAACACTGGGTTGGCCGGTGCCGAGGTGATGAATATGTGCCTTGTCGGCTCGGGTTTCATTAGGCTCAATGAATACGGACACACCACCGGCAAACAGTTCAATACATGGGGTCAGAATTCCGTTGATGCATATTTTGATGGGGGAAGCTACCTAAACCCAAACTGCTTCCGACACTGATTTTGGGCCTTTCGAACTTCGGACGAAGGTGACAGCTGCTTGGCAATGCGCCTATGACGAGGAGCGCCGTATTTCCTATTTTAAACCTTCGCCTTCGCATCTCACAAATATCGTTTGGGTCTCTGGACAGGGTCAGCAAAGGATCTGTTCGGTTGTCAGCTACAAACCTTAAATGATACGAGGATCAGATCAAGGATGCGAAGCCTGAAGCCCACTCCAGCATCGGAGGCGCCAGTCCTTTCATGTAGACTCGTTTTCCGTTCGCAAACCTGCCTCCAAGTCAGCGCGGCCAAGTCCTCGAGATTCAAATAGAAGTGGCGACCTGAGTTCGGACCGTTGAGATTGAAGAGCTGGTATTTTCGAATCGAACGCGGGAACAGTCTTTCTAGCGCAACGCTGGATGAAGGGACTACGCTTCGTAGCCCGCAAGTGTCCGCTGAGGCCTCAGCTGGTCTGGCGCCAACAATGCGCCAACCAGGCACGCGCAATGGCATCTGTCAATCCTTTTTTGAGGGTGCTTATTCAAACTTTTATGCACGCGCTTCCGCTTAGCCGGTTTATACGTGGCATATGCCAAAGGTTCGGATAACCCGACGAAAATGGCGGGTGTGGCTTGGCGTCATGGTATTGTACATACAACACTGCGCAAGTGAGCTGAGTGCACACGCAAGAAAACGTATCCGATCAACAGGTAAGCACGCCTATCATGGATCATGACTCTATCAGTCATCCGCTTCTGACAGCCTTTTTGATTGCCTTGCACGAGCTCTGCCCATCTTTCGCCGGTTTACGCTCCACTTCACAAACCCATCATATTAGGCAACTCCCAGCATTCACCACCCTACTCCTAGGATGGTCGACGCCGCGTACGACGAAAAAGAGAACATATTTGTAGTAATCGCTACATTTGAAGCTTGGACTGGTTGGAAGAGATTTCTTGAACCGCCTCAGCATTCTGTTGCTGGAGCATCTCGCGGAAAAGGCCATCCCGATTCGCGAGTTCCTCGAAGGTCCCCGAATCGACGACTCTCCCATCCGCCAGGACGAAGATGTTGTTGGCTTGGCGAATCGTAGCGAGTCGATGGGCCACGCAGATGGTCGTACGTTGAGATGTTGTCGCGCCGCTATCTAGCGCCGTCTGAATCAGACGCTCGCTGCGAGCATCGAGGGAAGAAGTGGCCTCATCGAGCAGGAGGAGAGCGGGACGGCGCAGGAGCCTGTTGGCGGAAAGAGTCGGAGGGAAAGGAAAGAGCGTGGGTATTGGTTGACCATCAGCATATATCGGATCTCTCTTCCAAGCTACTTATGCTCTACGTACGATCGTGCAAGTACCAGGCGCTGACGTTGGCCACCCCTGCAAGACAGTGAACAGGAACGTTAATTCATGAAGTCAAAGCGTCCTCCTAGGCTCAGAATCGCCTGAAAACAAGCATCCGATACGACTCACGAGAGTTGCACGCCTCGGGAGCCGATGTGTGTTTCGAGACCTGTGTGAAAACATGTTCGCAAGTGGAGAAAGTCAAATTGAGAGCGTCTTCCAACTCGGATCAGAGCTTCTGCGAACCCTCAGGAAGTCCCTCGATTGTTTGATGGATGTTGGCCTCGCGCATCGCCACATGGATAGCCTTCTCAAGCTCTCCCTGGGTCTGTGATAGCATCAAGTCTTTCGGAAGGCCGAGGACGAGGTTATCACGGATCGAGGCGCTGTAGAGGACTGGTTCCTGTGTGACTAGTGCGATGCGGCTGCGGTATTGCGTCACTGGTGACGACCCTATGGTATGTTTGCCTAGAGTGATCTGGCCGCTGTGCGGCGAATAAAAGCGCTCGATAAGAGCCAGAATGGTGCTCTTGCCGCTGCCTGATGGACCACACAGCGCTGTGTATGACCCCGGAGCGACCTCAAGGCCCACCCCTTCCAGGGCGTTGCCCCTGCGCGACGGGTAGCCGAATCGTACGTCTGAAAGAGTCAAGGCCGAATCGAAAGCTGGGCTCACCCCTGATGGCGCGGTGAAGGGGTCCGCACCAGAATCAGCCAGCATCTCGACAATCTTACCGGCCCCTTCCTTGGCCTGTGACAGCTGCGGTGTCTGAGAAAAGAGATTGACGCACTGGAATGAGCCAGACCTGAAGTTGAGGAGGTTAGAGCGGAAGGGTTGGGAAAGATAATAAAGGAATAAGGACTCGTCCACCCGTGACTACATTGTCATTCACATACACGATCGCCATCTGTTCGAATCACAAACAAAAAAGGTCAGTCATCAGGTCAATGAACGCACCTCAGGGCCCTCCGAAGCGCTCACAAAACCGACGAAGAAGTCATGGGCGTTCAGCTGGCCTTGCGAGATGAGGACACTACCGTACCAGAAGCCCATCGCGATAACGAGAAACATGTTGGTTTGGGAGAGCGCAAAGAGCCCGCTGTCCAAAAGGGCCATGCGCTTGACGTAGCGATGAGGGATGGCGAGGTGAGCTGCAAATTCCTTGTGGACGCTTTCCTCGCGTGCCAGGAGCGCAACGGTCCGGATGCTTGTGGTCGCCTCGCACGCAAGACGAACAGCAGGTTCATGCGCTTTGGCAAGTCGGCCCTCTTTGGCGTCGATCGTCTTCAAACGGCAGTAGCCTGTGAGCAATGTGATGGGAGTGAGGCACTTGAACAAGCGAGCAGGGAACCGTCATCGATAAGCTTGCGGATCGTCATAATTACCGGAAAGCGCCTCGAACCGACTCACCAAGTTGACGAGAGCAAATTTCCAGTTGTACGAGATGGCAACGATTGCACCACAAATGAGCGTCAGAAAAGATGAGATTACGTTCCCAACTGAGCTCCCAGTGACGTTTTGGATTGCTTCCGTGCTCGAGTTGAGGGTCGAGAGCAGCCCACCAGGTGACTGTGAATCAATGAAGGAGATCGGCTTCTGGAGAAGAGTTGCGAAGACCGTCGTCTGGAGATTTGCTGCCAGGTGCTCTGATGCAATGGACAAACAGACGTTCTGAAGAAAAACACCGCCGCCGCCCACCAGAGCGGCCACAAAGAACCAAAGTGCATTGCGGTTCTGATCGGTCGCTGATGCAGCTCCAATGTCGAGGTCAATGTATGCATTCGCATAGAGGATCCTGAAGAAGGTAAAAAGAAGAATGAATCACGGCACGTGTGGCGTACACCACTTGAATATGCCCTCACGCAAAGACCGGATAGATCATACCAGCCACTGAAAGATGCGAGAGCAAGAATAAGCACATTATGATGAAGCTGTCACACAGGCTACTTACCACCGCAACCAACAATGCCGCCAGCAATGAGCGTGCGACTGCCAGCGCTGAGCCTCCACAACATCCTCAAACGGCCATTGGTAACTCCGCCGATAGACGCATTGGTATTGCCTTTCTCAGCATCGTCCACGTCTTTACTGTAAGGGTTGATCGGAAGCAATTGGTCTGAGGCAAGAGAAGGCAACAAAAGAATGTTCAGTCGGCGTCAGGTTCAATATTTGAATCTCCAGCAGATTCAATATGCTCTCACCGTCCGGGCTGGAAACCTCCTTTGACGTGCCTAACTGCTCTACATCACTCTCTTTTGCCATACCGCACCCAAAAAGCTGCAGACCTGCGATCGACTCGTCCTTTCGCACGTCCGCTAAGGTTCCTTCTGCCACCTTGCGACCGTGGTTGATGACCACAACACGTTGGGTAGCAGGGAGCGATGATTGCCGATGAGTAACGAGAATCTAATAGCACAAAGGAAAAGAGGACGGTGAATAATCAAGACCTGAAGTCAAGGTCGTCAAGGTTTCTGGAGCTCACAGTAGTGCGACCTTTCGAGGCGCCTTCAAGGCCACGATTAACGGCCTGCTCAGACAGCGCGTCAAGGTTGCTGGTAATCTCGTCAAGCAGCAGGACTCGTGGGTCCGCAACTACAGCACGAGCTATAGCGATGCGCGCGCGCTGTCCTCCTGACAATTCCAGCCCCCCTTGCCCCACCTGCGTATTGTATCTGTCCGGAAGCGCCATGATGAAGTCGTGTGCGTTGGCGAGTCGGCAAGCCGACTCAATTCGATAACGGCGTTGTTCAGTTGATTCGTTCAACGTCGGAGAGATGCCGTAGCCGACATTTTCCAAAATACTTGCCTGGAAGAGAGACGGCTCTTGCGGCACATAGGCAAGGACGCTGCCGCGCAGATACTTCAGCTCGAAGTCGCGCACGTCGTGACCGCCAACGAGCACGGTGCCATCCTGAGGATCGTAAAAACGCTCCAATAGGGCGAGAATTGTCGACTTACCGGCCCCGCTGGGTCCGATAACAGCCGTCGAAGAGCCTGCAGGAAAGTTGAGGGAAAATTTTTCCAGCAGACGTCGATCTGGTCGGCTAGGGTACGCAAAGGTCACATTGTTAAAAGCGATGTGAACTGGGCCACACGGCAGCGTCAAGCGCGATTCGACCGGGTTGTGGATCGTCGGCGTGCGCTCAATGATGCGAGTCAGGGATGCAAATGAGGCTCTAGCAGAGACGAAGCCTGCAAAAGTGAGAGGCAAGGAAGCAATGAGTGGCTTGACCAAGGCAAAAGCTGCGGCGTCCTTCAGCACTACTCAGTAGTACGCGAAGAAGTTTGCCCACCTTGAATGTTAGACGGAATTTGCGCCAGCGCAAAGGAGCCCATCATGACGCTGAGGAAAACAGTGATGACGTTGCCCGGACTAGTACGACCAGAGCGAACAAGAATTGCCCCCAAATAGAAGGCGAGCGAGTAGCCACAGTAGATGACCAGGGTGAAGCCTGCCATGCACCCGGCAATTGCTATAGCTCTCTTGCGGCCAAGGCGAAGAGAGCGAGCGATCCCGTCGTTGTATTTATGACTGAGGTCCTTCTCAGCGCACAGGCTCTGTACAGTCCGAACTGAACCCAGGGCCTCTTCCGCCAGGGTGTTAGCCTGGTTACTCATCGACATAATCTGAATCGTGAAGCCGATGGCGGTTCGGGCAAAAATCAAGCTTATGCCAACCAAGCAGGGGAGCATTGCCAGCAGGGCAAGACCAAGCCTCCAGTCCTTGACCAGAGCCACTGCATAGGAAAGATGGTCGCGGTCAGTAATAGCACTTAGCAAGATGAGACGGCTGACAGCTGACAATCAGAGCCTCAGCTCGCACTCGCCTGTGAAGCCCGTGACACCGCAGGACAGATACATTGCGTTAAGCGGCAACTTCTCGCTGATGCCGGACTGCACATTCCGTAAGTCAGTCTCCAGGCGAGAGGTAAGAGCACCTGCACCCTCGGTCTCATGGAATTCCAGATCCTGCATCGACAGACTCGGAGGAAGGGTCAGATTGAGCCCCTTGGGCCGAAACTATCCAAGAGCCACTGACAAGCCGAAGCAACGATCGGAAGTATTCTAAGCGCAGACGCGAGGTAGTCTTTTCTCCAGTATACGCCTGTTAAGCCATGAGAATGAGAGGAGGAAGGTTAGTGTACACCAGTTCAGACGCTGCAAGCGACAGCATCGATCGGCCGGTACTAATGCAAGATCGTACCCAAAGCGCTACGTAAATGTAGGTGCCGAAAAATGTCGCGAGACCAAGATAGAGAAAGTAGACGACTTGTTGATCCGTGCGGTCGCGAAGTCGGTTCAGGTCGTTCACATCGACAGTGACGAAGCGATCGGTGATCTGCCAGATCGGTGCAACGCCATAAGTCAGTCATTCACATGTGCGCGGTCGACTTCAAAGCAAATCCAGCGAGCGACACACTCACCTGGCCGAAGGGGATGTTCATAAGAGGTTGCGTGGCGCCAGCCATGATGGCAGCGATGAGCCCTACCAAGTTCATGAGCTGCTCTGGGCCCGTGGCCCAAGCCATTGGCCCCAGCCAGCCCATTCTTCCCGGGCGCGGGGATGGATATTTGGTGACCATCGTCGCAAGGGACGAGTCGGCTGGTACAAGTAGAGCACGAAAAAGGACAAGAGCAGGATGGAAGAGGATGCTCGATAAAGAGAAGAGAAGAGAAGGATGCCCGACGAAGAGAAAGACAGGATGGGACTCGATTTCGCAATTACGCGATACGTAACCCTCCGTGAAAAACCATATGAGCTTCAGCATGTAACGCGACTTGATCTCAATCAATGTAATTTGGTTGCACCGACGGCTGGGCTACTTCTACCCAGGTCTGTGGAATGGACGCATCATAAAGCTCCGAGTTGCCTGTTGGCGAGACATGCATGACCTCACATGCGGAACAGGAATGATGCATGCATTTGGCTTGGCATTCGCTGCACGCTCGGAGCCTTTCTTGGGACCAAGTGGAGGTGCATGTGCGCGATCGCGGAGCCTTTTCCACAGCCCTCTGCCTGTGCAAAGCCAGCTACCTCTCCCTACCGCAGGTGCATTCGAAGCCAATGGGTGGATATGAGGTGACGTTTTTCTCAAGTGTGCTTTATACAAATGGCTGGTACGCAGCCTGATCGAAAGCAATTCCCCCGCTTCGGTGCGCCGCTTCTTCCATCTCTCCCTTTCTCCCTGCACTCGGCAACATGACTGTCGACCAATCCACCATCGTTCAAGGTCTTAGCAACGCGGAAGGGACCAACTCGCGCTTCTACCATAACGTCAAAGAGGTAAGTCGTTGCCTGGCATCAAAACTACACTTGGTGACAAAGCGATGCTCACTATCTCGGCTCTGCTGACAGAGCATCTATGCTCTTCCTGCTGATGCCGAAGAGAACGACCGGCTGGAGAAGCAGCACCGCTTGATGCTCCACTTGTTCGGTGGACCCATCGGCGCTCCCGAGGCACTCAAGGTTCTTGAACAAGGCGGCAAGGTATTAGATGTGGGCTGCGGTCCCGGAAGTTGGATCAAGGTCAGTGTCGAGGCTACCTCCACAGCGAGGACCGACTGAGGGGGATACCTAGAAAATACCAATTTGCATTGACATTCTTAACTCTCTACCCACCTACCGAGCAGCAAGTCGCGAATCTTTATCCCAAGTGCAAAGCGTTTGCGACCGATTTTGCGCCTACATATTCCCCCGTTCAAGTGGGCGATGCTGCTAAGGTCGAATTCCAGGTCGGAGATGTCCTCAAGTCACTTCCGTATAATGATGGATCATTTGACTTTGTCCAGATGCGCTTTTTCACTGGAGCTCTCAAGGTGACAAGGATCTGGGCCCAAGACTGCTGCCCTTCGCCGTGTTGACACAAGCTGCCACCGCTCTTATTTTCTCTACAGGCTCACGAGTGGGTGCCCGCTGTGAAAGAGGTGTATCGCGTTGTCAAGCCTGGAGGCTGGGTGCAGCTTATCGAACCCGATGGTGAGCTGCGCTGCCGCAACGGGGAGAGCGCAGACATCACGGACTGGAACACAAGAGGTGAATTCGCAAATCGCGCAAACGTTGACACAGCTCTCGACTCTGGTTTCGCACTGATCAGGCAGCTTCCTTCAAATTTGCGTCCCAGGCATGCGTGGTTCGCTGCTCAAGCGTGGCGGCGACCCTCTTGCTGGCACCCGCCTTGACAAATTCATGGCGGAAGCCGGCTTCGATAGCAGTACGATCAGGGTTGATATTGCTTCAGTACCCGTCGACGCTAAGGCTGGCCCGCTTGGCGCTCTGATGGAACACGACTACCTCGCCTTGGTGCAAACTTTGGCGCCCATTCTCGGTCCTAGCTGGGGTATCACGGCCGATGAGATGGTAAATTGGGGCAAGCGCATTGTGCACAAGTGCAGTGAGCACCAAGCCTTCCACAATTTTGTATGTGCCGTGGCTCGCAAAAGCGAGAAGCAATCTACGTGAGCCATGAAGCCCAAATAACCAGATAATGCGCGGCTCCGCCCACCCGCCCACTAGCACCACATGTCCGCCCGCCTTGACACATGAGTCACGCAGCGCTTCTTTTCTCCGAAAGCTTGTGACCTTAGGCCATGTTTTTCATGCTTCTCGAAGTTCAGCATGTAGCCTAATGATGTTGCAAAATGGAAGTTAACACCGCACAGTGATCTGCCTCGAAGAGGACGCAGTAATCCAGTTTGGAAAGTGTAGTCACTTCAAGACTGAACATCAAAATTCGGCTGCTGAAGGTGGCGTAGAAAGTCTCCGAGATCCCTCCGCCCACGCGGCCAGGTTGGGTGTTTCAGTCGCGCTGTGTTATTGATTCCAAGCAGATCACATTCAGGAGTACACCCATGGCTCGCGACCGATATGAATTCGAACACCCCTCCATGATCATCACCAGTTACCTCTACAAATCGGCAACGTTGGTGGCGCTCACGGTTCGTTTCAAGGTCGAACATGTCTTTCGTACTCGCAGCTGTCGCTGTTGCAGCCACAATCTACTGGGTGGTTCGCACGATATCATCCCCACCTGCTTCCTTTGATCGATCTGTGCCCGTAGTGCCAATATGGGTTTCTTGGCTGCCTTTTCTTCGCCACAAGGTCGGGTTACCGCCGCTCGGACAAGACGTGATATTCGCTCGATACATTGAGCCTCGTCTTCGATGTACAGGCATGGTTGTCCTCTTTTTCGGAGGACGCTGGAATTTGCTGTGCTGCCATCCAGCGGCGATTCGTCAACTCTTCCGAGGCAACGGTGGCGACGATGACCTGTTCGCCAAGTCCGGAAACCATCGGAAGATACCTGGCGCTGTTATCAGCCAGTTGACCGGCTCAAATATAATATCTGAGCACGGCGAGGTGAATAAAAATGATCGCGGGGAGGCTTTTCGTTCGGCGACGCTGATCTGAACTACTTTTGCGCCAGCCGTACAAGCGGTATCGCAAATTGCTTGGGCCACCATTGCGCATGGAGGTTGATTATATTTCTCTCAATGACTCATCGCAACGTTTGGTCAAAGTGCTGGCCCTTCGTGCTTCGGACAAACCAATCGGTATTAACGCAATTCTTCAGCGCTTCACCATGGATATCGTGTGTCGAAATATATTCGGTGTCGATCTCGAGGTTCGTGATGAGCGTATAGAAGTGAGGACAAGTCTTTTAAGAGAGCCTTTGGATGCTGAACAAGGCCACCACCTTCGTTCTCCTCAGTTTCTCAAGGATCCCCCTCCTTTACTCCACTCCATCCATTCACGAGTCAAATTCCACATCTTCCAGCCTTTCGCCCTCGCTTTTCCCAAGTTCGACCATCCACGGTGGTCGTACATATTCCCAGGCCGGACCGAGGCTAGAACAGCGGTCGAAGCGATGGAAGCTGAGGTTGAGAAGGTTCTAATCGCCCAAGGAAGTGACAGCAGGATGGGGTGCGTCCATGCCATCGGGTCCCATCCTTTTTTTTGAAAGTTTACCACTAAGTATTACTGCTATTGTTTGTCGCAGCAAAATTCCTTGTGACATGCAAGCAGAATTCGAAGAGGGATGTTGGACTGCACAGGAAGTCATGGATAACACTAAAAGTGCGGTTGACTTTGCTTTCTGTGATCGCTAGTTTTGCTGATCGGATGCCTCTGCAGTTCTGTTCATTGCAGGACACGAGAACACGCAAAATGCTCTAAACTCTCTTTTGATGGTCCTCGCCACCCACCCAGTAAGCTCAAACCTGCCTTACAATCTACGCACCAGCTTGATTGTTGAATCAATTGCTTCTTGTCTCAGAACCTACAGAGGAGACTCCGTGCAGAAGTGCGGTCAGTCTTCGAAGGAGGCGCGTTTGATGCGCCTATCGTGGGAAAGGATCATCTAGAACGACTGCCACAGCTCATGGCTTTCATATACGAGACGATGAGGCTCTACCCTCCGATCCCGATGCTACTCAATCGACGAGCTTCCTCTGACACGATCATCCACCTTTTTAATCCTGAGCAGAACAGTTCGCACGCGATCACCGTCGCTGCAGGCACCTATGTCGGCTGGCACGCGTATGGACTTCATCGGAGCTCTAGGTCTTCCCTGTGGGCACCTGACCCGACCAGCTTCCGACCTGAACGATGGGGAAGCACTACTCGTGAGATCGAGGCTCTTGCTCGACGTGCCGAAACCTCCGGAGAGTATATCCCTTTTGCTGCAGGCGTCCGCCTTTGTAAGCACCGGTTATTGAATTGAATGCCTGTACGGAAAACCACTTACACTCGCCGCTTCCTCGCACCATTGCAGGCGCAGGACGGAAGCTCGCCATGGCTGAAATCGTCACGGCTCTCGTCCACATTCTGCATAGCTTTCAGCTCAACATGCCTCCAGGTCCAGCGCCTTCCCTTACACCTGGAGGGCTTTTGTCTGTGCACAATCTGTATCTCATCTTGACCTGCATCTAGTTCAAATTACATGATTTGATTTTGTTCCTGCCCCAAGCGTACGTCTCTCGTCCCTAGAGACTCCAGCCACCTGCGAACCTCCTGGTCACGAGACGCTCCAGGAGCGAGATCTGCCGACAATTGAATTCCGATTTGACGAGCGTTGCTAGCAAGCGTGGCGAGCGAGCCGTTGCGGAAGGCGGCGAAGGCATCAGCGTAGCTCATCGCGTGAGAGCCACTGGACTCCGAACTCGACACGTAGCGAGCAACCTTATGCACGTCAGACAGGTAACGGGCGTTTACAACTAGCTCTGCAGCCTTGAACGGGCGAACAAGCTGGGGGACTGCAAACAAAGTTGTGAAGGTTGATGCGAATCAGCAAAGAAAAAGCTAGATGGAGATCGACAACCTTCTCACCGCCTGCACGAAGTGCTTCGAGGGCACCATTCCAGCCAGCATGGCCGATGAAGAGCTGAACACTGTTTTGCTCCAATAGTTGTCCCTGCGGTATCCAAGGAGCAAGCAAGATGTTCTCATGTGCTCGAGAGGAGACTTCAAGAGCAGGCGCTGTCTTGTCGGCGATGATGAATGCAAGCTCTGTCTCAGCGGCGGCAGCAGCAATGAGCTCGTTTTTCTCCGCCTCAAGGAGTGATCCCAAGGCTCCAAACGAAGCTAGGATGCAGGGTCGACCCTTCTTCTCTTGCTCCGAGAGAAAGTCCAGGAAACCCTTCTCTTCTTCAAAAGATTTACTGGTAGAAATGATATCGACCGGTCCAACGCCGAAGATTGGGATTGGCTGAGCACGGGAATGAGGTTGAAGGTGAGGAAGAACTACTGCATCCAAGGATAGCGTGCTGTTCAATAGCAAGCTGTCGGACTGCTCGAGCAGTGTTCTAAAGCCGGTTGCTAGCCAGATCTGAAAGGTCAGTGATTGTCAGCTCGTCACCATTCAAACTCCACAATAATGATAAGTTTCTCACCGTAGGGCTGCTCTTCACGAGCCTGTCCTCGCCGAAGACGTTGATGAACTCGGAGGAGTCGAAGTGGCCCACACCGGCCAATTCGATGCCCTCGGCAAGCAGCACAGTATCTGGAGCATCTGCTTTGGCAGCCGCTTCGGCAAGGCACAGCGTGACGGCACTACCTGGAGGAGAAGTATGGAGAAAAGTGGCCCAATGAAGACCAAATTCCTTGGCCACCGGCGGGCCAAAGAAGATGAACGGAGAGGCGACGACCGCCACTGCAGGGCTAATACTGCTAAACCGGTGCCCCCAGGCGTCCACCACTTCCTCACCCGCAGCCAATGCCTTCAGTGCCACCGTAGCCGGATCGATGAGATCCTGGTAAAGCTTCATAAGGCTAGCAGGACCATTCTTCAAATCGCTGTAGGTGATTGCCCCACTTGAGGGAAGACCAATGCAACGAATAGAGGCAGCTGCACCCGCCTCTACTTCCGGGATGGCGCCCAGGCGGCGGAGCTCAGCTATTGTAGCCAAAGATGTTCTCTTTGTTAGCAAGTATACCATCGACATCCATGTCACTGGTCCAGCGACTTACCCACGGTGACATCTGAGGCGAGGAACGTGACCGTGACGCCAGGCTCCGCAGCGAAGCGCTGTGCCATGCCGTAAAGAGGGAGCACATGACTTGGAGAGGGTGAAGCGATGAAGACTGGTGAGTTGAAGAAGACTTTTAGCATGAGATCCTGATAGTCCACGCCGGCAAGATCGGAGAAATCGTCTATCTGATACAGTACTCACTCAAATGAACCATAGTGGAAGGGATGAATGATTTACTCACTATCCTTTCCCCACGGTAGATGTTAGAAGATTCCAGTACTATATATATCGGAGCTTTCCCACTGTGTCAACATGATCTCGGAGGCTTTTCTGACCCAGCAGCAGAGTCAGCTCCCTCTGGAGGTGGATCCGCGGAGCCGCGACAAGCTACGCGGCGCAGTCTCGGCCGACAGCTCCGCTCAACTTCGCCCTTCGGCTCTCCTAAATTAACGCCACTCGGAGCTTTCATTTATTCTTGGTACCACACCTCCTTCCTGTGATCATCGGTTCAATCGCCATATCCACTCACCTCCTAAACGCCATCATCTCGCTCATCCATGCACACCCATCGCTAGCAAAAACGCAACCAAATTCCGCCCTATACATCGAAGACAAATACCCTGACCATCCAGATTCATCTGCGAGTTGATCCAGGTGTACCTTTGCCAATATCAGCTGCGCGTCGCGTTCTTGGACCGTCAAAGTAGGGTGAGTGGTCCAAGGACATGACACCTATGACACTGGCGGGAATTGCATTCTAAAATCGGAAATATTACTTGCGGGTAGTGTATCCGTCATGGCTCAAAGCATTTACGTATGATGATAAAAATGATATTAAGGTCTGTTGCTCCCACTCTCTGCCTTGCTGCTCCCAAGAAAGGAAGACTGCTGCCGACAACTCTAAAGTCTGACCACGCTTTGGTCCCGTCAGCGGCGCCGTTTTGCCCACGATTCCTGCGCTATTGAACGATATGAGATAAGAAAATGAAAGCCGCGGCTTAGCGAAAAGTGGAGGAGATCCGACTAATTGGCATCCCTCACCTCCTGCGGCTCTTGCCCCAAACTCAGCCTCAGACCTCTGCTCGCTGGAAGCAAAAGTACCCTCCATCGCTCAGCCCGGTTGCTCCTTCTTCAGACTCGTCCCAGCGCATGGGGACCCAGACGAGGTGATGAGCAGGACTTGGCTGATGGTCCATGAGCTTGGTGCGATGCATGAAAGCAAAGCGTGGGCTTCCCTTTTCCTCCACCTCTACCAGGAGGGTCACATTGTGCCATGGCGTAGGTGTGTGACCCATAGACTGGTCCGAGATAAGATCTCCGCCTTTTCCGAAAAGGGAAGAGCTGCGAAAATTAGGATGGATGAGCGTAACGCCGTACTTGGGTCCGCTGTTGTTGTGGCTGAGGCCATGCATTTTAGGCAGATTACGGAAGGTCAGCCACTAAAACGGAGCATTTGAATGTGTTACAAGCTCACGGGTGAATGCTGAGCCGGACTGCCGCAGGAAAGGATATTTCGACAAGCCTATCAGGGGGTGGAACGCAAGGGTAGGTACATGTCAATCATTTATCCCCTTTCAATGTCTGCGTCCACTTACTTCGAGTAAGCCTCGTTGCGCTGATTCACACAAAAAAAGCACCTGGTCAGCGACCAGCGCAGTGGCTGATTATATCTCCTCCACGTACTGCAACCATGACTTTAGCGGCTTCCATGGCGTGCCTTTTGCGCTGAGACTTGCTGAGATGCTGAAGGCTGTCCACTTGCTCCAGGTCTTTGAGAAGGAAACGGGAGAGCCTTCTCGATTGCAAGGGAGAGATATGAAATCAATGCGGAGCATGCATTTGAGGCCAATTCATCAGACACTCGCCCTTGACACTGCTTCAATATGGAAGCGTCCATTTGGGACATGTTCTCCGGACCCCACAAAGCGCTGAGTGCAAGGCGCATGAGATCGGGCAAGGCGGTGCCCTGAAATCCATGGCGTGTCTCTATCCCAAATGGCGAAGTGTAAAGCAGATCATCCAAACCGTGAAAGCGAAAGATGGAGCCAGTCGGGTCGTGCCGCTTAAAGATGAGCTTCAGAGCTGCAGTGTATTCGTCAACCACTGCGTCGTCGACACCGACTAAAAGGGGGAGTAGTAAGAATATCTCAAGCGCACTAAATCGCATGGCATGATGCTCACTTAAGTCCGAGAAAGTGTGACCATCGCTGACGATATGGATAATGGCGCCTGGTAGATAGACGTCCTGCACACCTCGAGCGAAGAGGCAAAGCGTCTGTGCAGCAAGATCTTCGCCTTTGTCGGGCAGATGGCCGCTAATCTTGTCCTGGTTGGTGGGAGAATCTGTCAGTGGATAGGACATGTTTGACAGCCCCCGATCTTCGCTGCGTCGACGTCACCGACCTTGTTGCTGCTCTTACAAGGGAAAGCAGGAAGTACGAAGGGGATGGGCTGTCCCTTCACGACGAAATTGCGGACTGTTGCTGCGAATCTGCGCCTGCCTTGGAGAGCGCCCACGCCGGCAGTATCATGACTGTCCGAGAAGTCGTCCCAGTGATCAACGGCAGGGGTGTGCTTCAAGGATTGTTCGAAGTTGACTACAACCTGCTCCACTATACTGTCGACGTCGATCGCCGATCTGAGAAGCGGCGGCCCGTTGCTGAGAGATTTGGTCGCTCCTTGTAGGGTGAATAAGGCACATAGACGCACGTCAGCCCGAGGATGGAGACAGCGCCATGGCACGTGATTGGTGCTTATGCTGAGGGCTTCTCCGAGGTAGTCAGCCTGAGTAATGGCAACGCCAATGATGCGATCGCCGACGCTCATCTCTAGCAGGCACACCGACTGCATAGCGGGTTGAGTGGGTCCAAGAGGCAGGAAAACCACATTGGAACACGGAAAAAGAGTCAACAGCTCCGCGATGTTGCCGTCGTCAAACTTATCGAAGTAGGCATTGAAGCCCCAGTTGGTCAGAATGTTGGCGTACGATGGAAGGGAATGTGGCTCAAACGACAAACGGACACCTCGATTGAGGCAGATTTGGGCAGCGGCCGTGGGTGCCAAGCGGCCGAAAGACTCCTGTACATGGCCATTGTGATCACAGATATAGGTTCCTAGCACTTCATGGTGAGGTGCTGAGGCCTAGCAAGCGAAAAGGGATAATGAAGGCGATCAGAGACTTGCGAATCCACCTTGCTTCCTTTGCTCTCTTCTCAGGACAATCTCCAAGTTAAAGCAAAACGCTCCCAAGGTCATACACTCACTGTCCTCAAGACTTTGACGGGAGTCTCTAGCAACGCCGCGCTGGTAAGTCTATTGAGGGATGTCATGCTTTGATCGGGGCGTGGTGATTGTGACGGTGGTGGACAAAATCAGGAGCGGTCCGAAGGACTCGATGACCCTCACACTCTTTGTACTCTTCCTCCGCCGCCTTAAGAGCATAACTCGGCACCTTCTCTGCATTGCATCACGGGGACCTCACCTTCGTGAATATCTACGTTGTATCAAACTGCCGTTAGCAGAACTGCCACCTCCCCCAGACCGGCACTGGCTACGATCACATAAACCAAATTGAGCCGAGGAGTGCGAAATGGCAGTTGGGCAAAAATGAGGCACGTCCACGCAATAACGCAGCGTTGCCACTCTCCAGTATCAACCGACGAAACTTCGGAGCGTTCTTTGCATTCATCGGAGCGTTGTTCGGAGCGTTATGAAATTTCTTCGAGCCGACTTTGACAGGCCCAGTCACGCGATGAGCTACCATTGACAACCTTGCATGACTCCAATGGAAACTCATCTCAATTGTCTTTAAAGCAAGACCCTTGCATGTGCTCACCTACCGGAGGCAGAATTGATTTCCCTAACTCATCACAAGCTCCACATAAGCTCCACATGAGCTCCACCTAAGCTCCACACCAGAACAGACTTCAGGACTGGCATCCGGGATGATCAGAATCCCGTCACTGCCGATGTCGTGGGCACGCTTCTGTCCATGGAAGTGGCCAAGAAGTAACGATCTCCCCCTCGAGCAACGTATGCGTCGCTACCAGCTGGCGTATGGAGCATCCAGTTTCGCGGTGCGTACCTCTATCTCCCAGGTCGGCCAACTCGGTCAGATCAAACTCGTTTATCTGGCATACGCATAGAAGAATACTGAGACATGGTGTGGCTTTCTATCAGACGGGACCCGCCTTTGGAGGCTACGCTTCTTATGTTAGCTTTCAAATACAAAACATTGGCTACCTCATCGGGCACGAGCCCGGTAACGCTCCCGGTAGCGGCTGCGATTTTTTTGCCACTACCTGTCTTGTGCCGATGGCCGGCGCGGGCGACATCAACCTCACTTCTTTCATCCTTTACCTCAACGCAATCTCCTATGCCGTTTCTGGGGCTTTGGTTTTTATTGTTGCTGGCATCGGTGATTACACAGGTGAGTGAAAGGTGCCGTTCTTTCACACCACCATCACTGTTGAAAGCCAAGCTTGACGCACATCCCCGCATTGTTCAGATTACAAGCGGGAGCAGTACATCTTCTTCATCATCGTCTACGGCGCGCTCTGCCTTCCAATCACGGCCCTCACCGGCTACTCAACGAGCATCTATAACACCTTAGCTGGCCTCTACGTTGTCTTCAACATCATCGGCTTCCTTGTCCAGGTATGGGGCAATATCTTCATCCCTTACTGCATGCGTGAGATGCACGAAGAAGCGTCCGAGAGCAAGAATGTTGAAGTTGAGGCGAGCACCGAAGGGAATCTGGTCGTTGCAGAGCAGATGCACGCTACAGTTAGCACACGCATGGATCGCGAGATCCGAGGCGTGCGCATGAGTATCTGGGGTAGCAACTCTCTCAACCTGAGTATCCTAATATTCTATGTGGTCGTCATATGCCTCATCGTCGCTTCCGCTACGACTGCGGCGGGCCTCACCATGACAACTGTGGCTGGTGCAGTCTGCCTTTTTTTGGCGCTTGTTGCCTGGCCGTTCCTTCCAAGCCCATCCGGACGGCCACTTCCTGAAGGAAAGTCTTGGTTCATGCTTCCTTTCACGACGTGTAAGTGGTTTGGATCATTGGAACAGTGTCCCGTAACTGATATACAATGCTCTATACACTGTTCATTTCCCTGCACACTATGCAACCGACCTAGTTGCACAGATGTTTCAGGCTGTCTATCGCTACCCGGACGCCTTCCGCTTCCTTTTAGCTTACACCATCTATAACGACACTCTTTTCGCCTTTGGCACTGTGACCGGCACGCTTTTCAACCTCACCTTCCGACCCAGCCTGCTGGAGTTCACTGGCTACTCGATGGTTGGGCCTGGCGTATCTATCATTGTTGGCACTGCTTGGCGCTACATCTTCCCTCGCACCTCCCTAACTCTACGCCATTGGGCGATCATCAGCTACTCCATCGTCGCATTCATTGCCTTTTGGGCAATCCTCGGCATGTCACCCCACATTGCAATTGGTTTCAAGCAACGCTGGGAGTTCTACCTGATGGCGGTCCTGCAGAACGCTGCCGGCGCTATCGTTTCGCCTCTCTTCCGCGTCCTCTTCTCTGAACTCTTTCCCAAAGGATCCGAAATTCGATTCTTTGGTTTCCAGCTCGTTCTCTCGTGCTCTACGACCTGGATTCCTCAGGTCATCAACGGTCCTATCGTCAACGCAACCAATAATATCCGACTTCCGGCAGGTGAGACATCTTCTCGTGCTTATTGCGAACCGACTACTCACCCCTTCGCGTTTCTGGCAGCGGTGTGTTTGCCCGCCTTCCTGATCTGCATTGCCCTCGCATGGTGGACCGACGATGTGCGGGGCGCTGCCCTGGTGGAGAGTGAACGTCACCAAGATGAGGAGCAGCGGGCAAGGGGTCCTGAACCTCTGCTCACGCGAGGGCCAAAGCTAAAAAATTGATCAGAGAATCTGGCCTATCATCTCGAATGTACTTTGCTCTCCTAATCATGTTCCTCTCCACTCCCTTTAATCATGTTTCAGATCCACTTTGTGCTTTTCGACGATTGTCAACAAGGCCCGATCTTGTCAAACTGAAGCTGACGGTGCTGGTGCAGGTGCAGGTGAACAAAGCCCAGGCAAGGACCAAGATGTAAAATGTTCAGCAAGGAGCTCGTAGAAGTCGGGTTGGCTTACGTGAGCCAGGATGGATTGGATAGTGCGCGGCTCCGCTCAAATGCAGCAACGACACTTTGTCCAGCTTACCTGAACACGATAGTCGCAGAAACAGCTTCTCTTCCATAGATGCTTGTGGATCTAGATCATGCAAACCGTGTTTCCGAGTGCTTCATGAAGTCCTTACAAAATATTCAAATCTCGTGGGAAGGCACTTGTGAATAGGACGAAACGAGGAAATTGATCATGGAGATGTGGTTTTTGTCGCAGACCATGTCTATCTATTCTACACAAGCATTTCAATACTCACCTACCCTAAGGCCTTCAGCAAGCAGAACAACTCCTCACAGTCCGTTCGCTTGAACTCGGAGTATTTAAAATGGAATAGCCGCGAAGTGCTCCGGACGCTCGTGTTGAAGCTCGAAGGGCCACAGGCTAAGATTACGGCTCTTTCGAGTGTAGTCTTTTCCATAGCGCCGGCAAAATGATGAGTGAGTCTTTTGGATTTTTACCAGCATTTTACCTGGTGATGCCTGCAAAAGAAACCTTCCTCCGTTTTGCGCACGTGTGGACCTTGTCCTTGAGGAGGCCCGAGATGAAGGCTTAAACTTCGAAAAGTGACTGGAATCGAAGTTCGAACCGGGAAGCAGCGAGAGATGCTCTCTGCGTGCGCGCCCTGGTGGGAAAAGGAAGGCAGACAAGCATTGCTCATTGTGGTCTCAATATATAAGAAGACGATATGTGGAATGCGCATAAAGAACCGACTGCAATGACTTGGGACCAACAGCCGAATGGGACGTTGCTCGGCACGATCAGAGCATTAATGACGATGACCAAAGGTTTGTCCGAAAGTGGGACCTTCGTCGGTCCTGGCTAGAGAAGATGCTCAATGTTGCTTAGTTACTCCTGAGCGATCTGTCGTTCTGATCTACAGATCATTGTAAGGGTCGTGTGCAGACTCGTCTGGAAATTGATCAAAGATGGAAGGCTTTCGGATTTCTAATAGTTTCCTCGAGCTCGCGCAAGCAGGATGGCCATAATTTCGCGACGCCTTGCACGTATCCCCAAACCAGAGAAAGGCCGCTGGCGCTTCGCATCGGGGTACTTGAAAATCTTTGCGGAAGACTTATACTTGGAAGCCGTGCGACACATGCCCTTTTGCTTGGCTGCAACGTACCATTGCATCCCAGCTTGAGCCTCTAGAATTAGCAGTCGAGGACCCACAGGTTTCTTCCTGTCGATCTCATGAGCTCCATGGGCTTCCCAAGGCTAGCAAAAACGGAGCCAGTCATACAATCAGGCCACAGTAAGATACGTCAAATGAGCGCATTCTGGAGGTGTTTGCGTTGATCGCCATCTTGTTCTGCTGCAGGAACTTTTGAGACGTCCATCAAATATTCAGCCTGGGTGCCGGAGTTTGTAAAAGAACGAAACCGAACCGAGCGAGATGTTTCGACGCTCGTCCGATGCTTATGAGGGGGCGCGCTGAGCAAATGAAGTATCAAACAGCCTATCCACGCAACCCTTGACGTCACCCCCTTCGTGGGGCTTGGTGCTAATCTGTCCAGGTGCAGCCAACGTCTGGGATTCGGTGAACTTGGAAGACACGTAGGTAGTAATTATGCAGATTTCCCGGATTTTTGCAGCAGATCTCCAACAAACAAGGGTCTCATGACCAAATTACCGGAAGACTCACCAAATAGGCGCTGCGAATACCGAGAAAAGACGAAGAATCCTTGACCCGCCTGGTCGTCGTAACCCCTGGCGGCTAGCAGTGGTGGATCAGTGTCCAAAGTGAGTTGCTGAGGAGCTGAGAGTTTGAGACACTGCATCGCAGCTCTCCTCTTGGTTTGTTTTCTTTTTTTGTCCCGCCTGGGGGCAATGAGACCCACTTGCCTGGTGCAGTGCTTTTGTTGCTGCAAACAGACAATATGCACACAAGCTTGGCTGCGGCCATGCCAACGCGCGTGCTAGACACTGCCCTGGTGGCATTGGATACATGGACTTGCCAAGACGGGTGCAGTGCCTAGCGAGTCAAGGATCCCTCCTCCCAAAGCAACAGTCCGTGAAGAGTGGCCATTTGGGCCATCAACACGCTGACTACAACGACACTGTAGCTCCGACCATGTGGTGTTTGCTTGCTTTGGAGAGAGCAGGCCATATAGGAAAGGGGGCCATCCTTAGCAGCCGCAACTGCATCCAGACCTGATCAGCATCGCTGTCACCTTGCACAGCAAACAGCTTGCCGCTTGCTGGGGGAGCCAAAGATGGCATCGTAGCCCGCCACGTCGCGGCGCTGTTTCTTTCCCTCGCCCTGACCGCTGTTCCTCGTGCCTACTGGTGCTTTGATCGCCATCCAGCATCTAAAGCTTGTCACGCTCGACTCCATCCCTGCGATCTCCTCTCATCAGAGAACCTCCTGCTGGTTTGCCATCGAGCCGCGCGTTACGGTAAACCCCGTTTCAAGCTGCATCCCGCGCGGTGGCGACCGGCTCATCCTTCCACCAGTCTACCAGTGCCCCTTCCTCAAACATCCAAGCCCCCACTCGTATAGCTTCTTTCGGTGCTGTGCACCGTCTATCCCGACTTTGACTGGGGCTCGCGCTCTCAAAGGGATTCAGCTGGTGTGCTCGCTCAGTGAGCGACCCATCCGCCAGCGACGTGCTCGCCGGCTAAATGACGTCCACCTATCCAAACAACCCAGGCTTCTCTGTCGGTGCTCTCGCTCCATCACCTCACTCGCATCTTCAAGCATCCTCCTTCGTGCCCCCCTTTACCCCTGGCCAGCTTATCTCATCCTCCGCCACGGACAGCGCTGCAGGCGTCGGCGCCGGCAGCTTTCCTAGGTTGGGCGCCAGTCCTCCGTTTGGGCCCACCACTTCGCTAGCTGCTAAAGGTGCAGATAGCAACAAGCTCGCCTCTGCTGTGACCCCATTCCCATACGGGCCTTCGCAACGCAACCATCCACCACAAGCCCTCTCGTCGCTACCACAACAACAACAACAGCAGCAGCAGTCAAACCTTTATCGCGTGCCGACGAACTCGTCTGTTGCCTCCAATACCTCTTCGACTGGAGATAGGCTTGTCGCTCCGACCTCTCCCGTCTCGCCTCTTTCACCATCTTCGGCTGCTCCAGGGCCGGGGCATTCGCCACCACTCTCGCGGAATACCACCCTACGAAAGCTTAGAGAGCAGCAAGGAGGGCGCATTTCACCTTACCCACCCGCTCCAGCTGCCCCGAATTCGCCTGGCGGACGGCCTGTGGCCTCATTCGGACAGGATCAGTCAGCGCAAGCACAGAACTCCGCTGTGCAAGTGCAGAGAGGCGGCTCGCACAACTCTTCGCGCTCATACGGAAGCCTTGCCCGCAGCGGAACTTCGTCGTCTGCCGGTGATCATTCTCAGTCCTCTCAGCCGCGCTCGCCGGCGACTGGCACCTTTCGTGTAACCAACATGACCGAGCCTATGCCAACAGCAGGTCCCGGCCCATCCGGGCCGTTTGCCCCAGACGGGAATGCGCTCGGACGCAATGTATCCTCCTCCAGCGACGCGGTCAGGCTAAACGCCCCGAATACTCAGCGAAGAAGGCCCAGGCCGGACACAGAGGAAATCAAGAGGACTGGCAGGCTTCATTATGAAGAGCTTCTTCGATTCTTGCGAAGTCATCTCGCCAAAGGTGAGCATAGTCGGCATCACAGACGTGGCCACAGCTTAGCAAATACTTATAATCATCCCTCCAAACAGCCGAACTGGGCGGCCCTCGGTCAAATGCGCGCGACAAACTGACCCGTCTTTCAAAGCAGCAATTCGCGGAGCTTTCTACAGACGTGTACGATGAGTTGATGCGACGGCAAGCGAATGCGCGTAATCCAAATGCGGATCCAGCCACGCACCAACCACATCTGGCAGTGAGGGATGAGTTCCATCCGAAGCGCAACCAAGCAAGGCAAAAGCTAGCGACGCTTCCAAAGACTCGGTTCAAAGACCTCGGCAGCGATGTCTTCTTTGAGCTGGAGCGACGCTTCCCAGAGCTCAAGGAAGAGTTCAGGCCCGAGGCTGTTGTGCGAGATCAACAACGTGCAGAAGCAGAGCGGGAAAGAGCCGCACAGCAGCAGGCGCAGGCTCAAGCAGCCGCCGCTGCAGCAGCGGCACAAGCACAGGGCAGCGGGAGCTCTTCGAACGTTGTCAAGGCGCAACCCACGCTCAGCAAACAAGAAGAGATCATCCCTGCCAAGTCGACGATGGTCGAAGAAAAGATTGCCGTTCCCTATGCAAACGAGAAATCCGCAGATGTCAAGTCGATCGGGGCGGGACTGGGTCGCTCGGGCTCCCAGGACAGCGCTCCACGCGCATCGTTTGTGGACGATGGTGATGCAGCAAGCCTGAGAGATTCGCTTGACTCTGCTACAGGGATCAATGGCAAAATCGGAGGGTTGAGCGGGCTTGGAGCCCTCACGCGAAAAATTTCAAAGGATCCGGCTGACGAGAGAGGGAACCGGATGAGCACCACCAGCTCGGTTGGTACCGGCTTCTTGAACGGCTATGCGGCAAGCACTGTCGCCAGCGGAGCTAGCCCCGTGGTGAATCGCGGAGGTCAATTCGAGGTATGCGACGAAGTGCTCCACAAACGTTATGCGCTGTCTGCTGACGAAAAGTATTGTATTGCTCACAGGGACCCCCATCTTCACTCGGCGTAGACAGGCTGCGATCAGACTACGAATTTCGGATAGCCACATTGCAGCAGCGCATCACTACGCTAGAATCACAGAACTCTGAGCTTAGAGAATCTCTGGACGATGCCAAGGCCAACGCGAGGGCGAAGGACTCCATCATCGGAGAATTGCGAGAGGTGAGCACATGACTCTGTTTAATGGTACGACGAGCTGCTGTTGATGAAATTTCCATGCAACGCCTGCAGTCACATGCCCGCTCAGCGAAGGAGCTTCGTGATGAAAATGACGAGCGATATCAAGCAAAGAATCGCGAATTGGAGGACACGCTCGAGCTGCTCGACAAATTACGAGAAGAGCATACCAATTTGCAGCGCCAGCCAGCGGAGCGAAGGAATGCGGATGACCCGCAAATCGAGCAGCTGCGGCAAGAGCGCGATGCTCTGCAGCAAGAGTACGCGCAACAGGAGGAAATGGTTCAGGAACTTCAAGGGCAAGTAGGTTCTTTAATGGAGGAGCTTAAGGAGCTGTCCACTCGCAACGACGAAATGATGGCCGAAAACGATTCGAGCAATGTGGTGATCCGTGACTTGAACCAGCAAGTTCAATCATACAAACGCAAATACGAGAACGCCAAGACAGAGCTGCGGACGCTGAAAGCGACGTCACAGTTGTACGTCAAGCCTCCCAAGGCTGATGACTTTATCCCTGCCTCGGACAAGGGGGCCATCGCAGATGTGCACCTTACAGCTTTCCAAAGCTCGATTGACGAGCTTCTCGCTGCTGCGCGGTCAAAGACTCCGTCCAACGTCTTACTGGCGATGAAGTCGGTGGTCCTCGCGACGACGCTCGTCACCGATGATGTCGCCAAGTCGGAGCAGAGTGGGCTTGCCGAGCTCTCGGATGATGACAACGAGCAGTTGCAGTCGCTCAAGTCAAAGGCATCTGCAACGCTGAACAACCTCATGACTGCCTGCCGAAATCATGCCTCCTCGCATGGTATGTCCCCCGTCAGCCTTCTTGACGCTGCTGCTAGCCACGTCTCGACAACCATTGTCGACCTGGTCAAATTGCTCAAGGTGCGCAAGGCCAGCAAGGTCGAGGCAGCGCAGCTGGAGGCAACATTCACGCAGGACGGCACCAAGACGCTGCAAAACGGGCTGAAGCCTCTGCACACGGGTACTTCTGCACTCGCATCTGCGCGAACAGGAATGGAACCACCTTCGCCGAGTACCAGTGAACGGCGTGGGACGATCGGGCGAGCCAATGAAAAGTTTGGATCTGGTGCTATAGCTGATGATCGCTTCTCGCCGCGAACGCGCCAGCCATCCACTTTTGGCCGATACTCTCCCGTTGGATACAGGGCCGATGTCACACGAAAGGACAGCGTCGGTGAGGGCTCTTGGAAGAACGGGACCTCCAAGTCGCGAGCGAATAGCGTTTCGTCCGCATCGAGCACGCCTGGCAACGTTCCAGCTGTACCACCAATAAACCCTGGCCTGCTAGGCACGAACGGCGCGCATGGCGGGAGCGGGAGAACCACTCCTGACAATGTCACCATTGGTAGTGACAAGGGACGGCTGAGTAATGCCTCACCCGGGTCTGCACTTATAGCTGGTGACTCGGGGGAGGAGAATTGGGCCGAGCTAAGAGTGAGTATTTGCGCGAACTCCGTTCAGTCTACCAACGCTGACTTGGGTACTCTCTCGTTTCAGGGGTACATCGAGACTCAGACCAAAGAAATTTTCAACTCCATCTCGGCCCTGCTATCGGCCATCCGGGAAGGCGCGCAGGGCGTCCAGCTGCGAGAAAACTTGACGCAGATTGTCACAATCGTGTCGTCCATCGTCGCGATCTCAAACGACAACTTGCCAGCATCCACGCACAAGGAGGGCATGCGCATCCTTGCTAACTTGACGGAGAATTGCGATAAGCTCGGCGAGATGCAAAGCTTGACAGTGTTTGACAAGACAACCAAGACGCACATGGCGAGCGCAAGCTATGGTGTCGCAAAGGGCCTCAAGGCTCTGGAAGGGCTCCTCAACGATGCGGAAGACGACGAAGATGTGGAAAACATTCGAGCGTAATCAATCACCACGAGTCCCTCGCCTCCTAAACTACTTGACTGCGGGCCACCCTGCCGACCAGTTGGTTGTTCCAATGTATATGTAATGGGTCTGTTATAATCGCCGCTCGTACCGCACGTGGCGCGCTTTTGATGTGTAGTATTTTAGTGAGACGATAGCAAGTGCGTACAGTCACCCTTGGAGCCCGACACAGGCCACTTGTGCAATACGCGACGGCCTTTTCATTTACTTCCTTGCAATTTTCCGATGGTAGCCCCGAGAAGACAGAAGCAACATCGGTATCAGTCATGTGTGCTGGCTCGCACTTAGCGGTGTGACGATCCCCATGGAGGTGTTTCAAATGATGGTAAGCCAATGCCGCCCCCATTGCCCCAAAGAGTAACTGAGATGCGCCAAAAGAATGAAAGGGTGGTGATGGCTAGTGATATGAATTGCACCGAAACCACAGTTCCCATTGCTCTCTCGTCTCCGAATCCAAAATTTTGTCAAGTTCCACCGCGATCGTACACACGGCAAGCTTGCCACTTGATGAGCACTTCCATGAGGCTCAATGCTCAGTGTCCACCTTTCAGATTTCAGTGCCCCCTCTTCATCACACCTGAAAAAGAGACCGACAGTAGCTGTGTGCACTAAAGATCAATAGGTCCAATGACAGAAAGGGGCGATGATAGCAGCAAAAAGCGCAAGAGAGGAGTGAACAGTAGCGCTGGGGTGACCCGCTCCAATCCAGGCAAGGGAGATGAGGGCCAGCTCGCAAATAAGTCAACGTCAAACAGACATCTATCGACAGGATTCAGGGGAAATCGTACGAAGCGGGATTGGAAGGCTGCTCCGAGTGGAGGACAACGCGCTCGGCATCATGGGCGATATAACGAAGGGCAAAATGGTCGGATGACGGCTGCGGCTAGCAGTGCAGCAAAGCCGCATTTATCAATCAACCAAGTCAAATCCTCCTTGCGGCAGACAAAAAGGCTGCTTGCAAAATCGAATCTCGCCGAGAATGTGAAGCTGGAGGCCGAGCGGCGCCTGGCGGCACTGGAAAACGACTTGGAGAAGGCACAAGGGGTACAGCTGGAGAAGAAGAATGCTGAAAGGTACCACAAGGTGAAATTTTTTGAGCGCCGGAAATTGGAGAGACGAATTGGCAAGAGCAAGAAGGCTTTGACTCTCGCGAGTGACACGCATGCAAAGGAGGCAGCGGAAGTGAACCTATACAACGATCGCGTTTTGCTAAATTACGTGCTCGTGAGTGACAATACCTCGACTGACACGTGCACTGGATGGACCCGTTGAACATTAGAAACTTCTTCATTTCAGAATTTTCCGACCTCACAAAAATACGTATCACTACTCCTATCCGCCGCCGAACAAGTTGAAGCGGCGGGAGAGCAAAGCGATAGCAAAGGTGCAGCTGGTACATCCCAGGCGCAAAGCAGGGCACTTGCAGCCGCGTTGGCATTCAAAGAGGAGGTCGAGAAACGTATGGAAGCAGGAGAACTCCCCGATCAGCCCGAGGTAGCGCTTTCCGAGCGCTACAAGGAGAAGAGACTGCGTGCCGCGGAACCTGAATCCAACCACAGCGCAAAGCGAGTCAATGCCATAAAGGGCAAATCACTGGCCAAAGGCCCTCATGGTCAATCTCTCGCAGACGCTGCATCAAATACAACCGTCTCTGATGCTGATTTGAATGAGGACGATGTCATTCCCATGGTCGGAGGCGAGAGCGACGAACACGACTCCTCGAACTCGGAGTCCGGCATCGCAGATGATGATAGACAGCGGAATGTGTCTTCGAAGCAGGTTGAGAGTGTCGTCGCTGCAAGCGGAGCCAAGCCCCCTCGGAAGAGGCAACGTCAGCGAGGCAGCTCTGATCAAGCATCTGGAGCAAGCATCCCAGAGGTTGAGCCGAATTCGGAATCTGCCGCCACAGTTCAAGGCGACGGCCTAAGGACATCAAAGCCTAGACGACAGAGAAAGCGCAGTGCAATCACGGGCGGTGGAGTCGAAAAAGGAGATATGCGTACGGACAAAAAAGCAACGGTGCAAAATGCGGAACACACCGTCAGTGACTCCGTATCAGATGGCAAGAAGCGACGACGGCGGGGGACTACGAAGGAGCGTGCGAAGGCATCAGAAAAAGTCCTACAGGATGACTTTTTTGATATTTGAATACTCCGCAAACCTGTGTAGCCTCCTCCGTGTGTAGATTGTACATCCCGTGATTTGGGCTTGGCGACGTCAATCCTCACGTTTCATATTCACAGTGTACATATCATATTTGCACACTCATCCCACGGAGTTTAAAGGATTTTGGCTATATCTGGCAGAGAGGGCACAGAAGATAGACAAAACTTGAGAGGGGCTAATTTGCTTATGTGATACTTTGGGTGAACTAGGGTTGGTGGCGTTCCGCAAGATTCGAGAAGTGTGCCACCGTGGAGCTCCCAAGCCGACTGGAACATGACAGGCATCATACCTTGTCGCACCTTAGACTCGAACCTTGGTGCCTGGTACTTCTTGCTTCGACATGCAACACCTCCTAACATTCCAGAAAAGGGTATCTGAGAGGGGCTACTTGGCATCACATCTGTAGCAGCATCTGCGCGGCTTTCAGACCTTTGCCGAGATGGCCGTCATGTCCATCATGACGCCAAGAACGCAAAGTAGAGGTATGACCCGCCTTGCACCGCTGCTTCTCGCTCTTTTCATGCTCCCGGCCCTCATAGCGCCAATGGCTGCAGGCATGGGCGTCGTATCCATAGACTATGGTACAGCGTTCATGAAGGCGGCCTTGGTTAAACCGGGCATGCCATTCGATGTCGTGTTGTCCAGCGACAGTAAGCGCAAGGTACCCTCTGTTGTCGCATGGAAGCAGCATGAGCGCCTCTTCGGCAGCGATGCAGAGAACGCCGCCGGTCGCTTCCCAAAAGACACTTATGCGGCGATGAAGCTACTATTGGGAAGAGAGCTGTCCAATGAACAAGTCAAGCAGCGGCAAGCACAGCTCTACCACACAGACTTGGTCGCCGCGGACAATCGCCCCGAGGCAATCGGCGCCCTGCGTACACTCAAGACAGCGGACAATCAAGATATCGTTTACTCCATCGAAGAACTTGTCGGTATGCAGTTAGCACACATGAAGCAGCTCGCTGAAGCAACTGCAGGAGAGGATGTCAAAGTGACCTACCCAGGCAACATTGGCACGTTCGGCGGACTTGACGTCGTCCTTACTGTGCCAGGTTACTTTACCGCTGCCGAGAGGCAGGCCATCTTTGATGCGGCTCAGCTAGCAGGCATGAAACCTCGATTGGTCAGCGATGGTGCTGCAGGTGCGTTGTAGCTGTCCCGCCTGCGCTCTTTATGCTTCTTCGCTAACGCTTTCGCAATTTCCATGCAGCTGCAACTTCGTATGCGCTAAGTCGAACGTTCCCAAAGCCGGAAAAACATATGTTCTACGATGCCGGTGCCGGATCTACGCGTGCAACGATCGTCGAGTTCTCTACCCAGCAGGTGAAAGCCGACAGCGTGCTTTTAATTGGCTCGACGCAAAAGGAAGCCACCATCGTTGATGTCCTCTCCATCGGTTGGGATAGACAAGCAGGCGGGCTTGCGCTCGACCTAATCGTGCGAGACATTCTAGCAGACAAATTCGAGAAGACGGCGGCTGGTCAATCGCTCTCCACACCTTTGAGGCAGAACGACCGGGCAATGGCCAAGCTGCTCAAGGAGGGTAATCGAGTCAAGCAGATTCTCAGCGCCAACGCGGTGGCGTCTTCTAGCGTCGAAGGCCTGGCGGAGGATATGGACTGGCGTGGGAAAGTCGATCGAGAAGAATTCGAGGATGCTGTTCGTCGCTCTGGTCTCGGAAAAGGGTTCACACAACCGATCAGCGATGCGCTCCAGCGCGCTGATCTTTCTATTCACGATCTCGACTCAGTCATTCTGGTCGGTGGCAGCACGCGTGTGCCCCTTGTCCAAGCTGCCCTGAGAGAGGCAGGTGTCCCTGAAAGCAAGTTTGCCCAAAATGTCAATGCCGACGAGGCAGCCGCGATGGGCGCCGCCTTCTATGGCGCATCGTACAATCCCCAATTCCGCATGAAGGACATCCGCGGCTACGACGCGAATCCATATCCCGTTTTACTACGAGACCCGCTCAATGGGGGCAAGGAGGAAGTCCTGTTTGGCATCCAGAGCTTCAAGAACGACTTGGTCCTCAAGAGCTACACTGGAACGAATGTGCACGAGGACTTTGTCATGCAGGTCGGGTATGCGAATGACGCTGAATGTCTTGTCGACGGCTTTAGCCAGGATGTCGCACTATTCAATATTAGCGGCATCTCCTCTGCTCTCGCTCATCTCACAGCAAACGGCGACATCAGTGGCGTGAAGACAGAGCTGAACGTGACATTTGTCAGCAAGCCCCTCGGCACTTATGCAGTTCAGAATGCCGTTCTCAACGTCAAGCCAAAAGTCAAGACCGGCCTATCTGCGGCACTGAAGAGCTTCTTCGGTGCTGGAGGAGGCTCGGACGATTCAGAAGTCGAAACCACAGAGGGAAATAACTCGACGGCGACTGCAGCCAAGAAGCTTACGGAGGCAAAGGACAAGCTGATCAAATTGACAGTTGAGACAATTCCTCAAGGCGGATACAAGCCCATGGAGTCACGGCAACTTAAAACGTCAAAGGATCTTCTCTACCTTCTCGACAAGGACAATGAGCGGCGCGCGCAGCGCGATGAAGCTCGCAACTTGCTCGAAGGGTACATCTACCGGGTCCGTGACTTGCTCGAGGATAAGAGCGTTCTCTCGGCGAGCAAGAAGGATGAGCGTGAGAAGATCAAGCAGCGGGTCGACGATATCTCGATCTACCTCGCCAGTGAGGGAGACAAGGCAGAGATTAGCGTACTTAAGCTGAAGCGGGCCGATCTTGAGAGGCATGTCCGGCCCATTGAAACGCGCATTTCCGAAGCCTCGCTTCGAGATCAAGCATCTGAGTCATTCTTGCGTGTACTTGGGGATGCAGATGCATTCGTCCAGGGGGCCCAAGCGAATCTGACACAGGCCCTGAATGAAGGCATCTCGAGCAAATACGGCAAGGCCGAACTCGATACCCTGGCAAATACGCTAGCAAAAGACAAAAAATGGTTTGAGACCAGTGCAGCTCTGCAGAAGAAGAAACGCATAGACGAGGATCCAGTTTTTCTTGTGGAGGAACTGCAAAAACGGCAGCGCAAGTTCTCGGATACAATCCGCAAGCTGAAGAAGCGAAAGATCGCAAAGACCCGACCGCCAAAGAAAGCATCACCAACGCAGGAAGGAGAGGCAGAGGGCAGCAAAGGGCCATCAGGCACAAAGGAACCCGAAGTACCGCCACCCCCTGAAGAGGCTGGCTCTGCTCCGCCTACTGAACAAACACAAGCGAAGCACTCTCCACCCCTTCACGAGGAATTGTAATCTATGCACACACGTGAAAGGCGACCGCGCGCGAAGGGTCAGTCATCCGCGTAAGAGGCATAAGGCGGGCCCAACGAAGCTCACGTTCTCGTGTTATCAACAAGAAATCCAGAATATATTTTGCCCACAGACGGCTCGGTCCGAGTGAGGTCGGTTCGAAGCCAGCTAGTAGTTCGTAGATGCTTCTGTGAACAAATACTCTCTCCTCTTCAGAAAATAACGAGACTTCAATCTTCTAGCAAAGGTCTGCAGTCAGAGAACAAAACACAAATTGTCGGATTCTCCGAATCTCATATGGGGTGATACAATCATTGAGGTCATCGCATCGTCGCGTCATCAAAACTGGTTATGTTATGGGATGGCATTCCATCTTTCGAAAGAACCATTGTATGGATGAGCGGGATTTACCCGACCAAACCTGAGGTGGTCCCGAAAAACAGATATATATCTTTACTTCTAGCTGCAGGCAGAAGGCCACCATGCCAAACTCAAGGGCTGTCTGCTTGGTGCGCTCGTCCATCAATATCGACGAGTATTTGTTAGGTGAGCGCCTCTGAGCAGAGGGTGATGTGACCCGATATAGATGCGTGAACATGACGATTGGTGGGAATACTCCTTTCATCTTTCAGTACCACACATCGTCCGTCCTGGAGAGACCCTTTCTTCCTTAAATGTAGAACGCAAGCTCGGCGGCAAAGGCGTCAACGTTTCAGCGGCCATCGGCCTGGGAAAAGATGGTGATGATTACTCTGTCTTCCTGGCAGCACAGATGGGCCATGAGGACGCCTCTCGGGAGCAGGAGCTTCAAGATCGCAATGTCGAGACAACCCTTCTTGTCAAACGGCAGGACATAAGAACGGGAACCGCATACATCCAGGTCGCAGCCGATGGCGAGAACAGCATCATTCTTGTTGGAGGTGCGAATCAAGTGAGGGGCTTGCAGCTCGACGAACCTGAGAAGTTGTTCGCTAGAGCCTGCGAACAAGCACAGGGGAACGTGACTCACGTTGTCTTGCAGAACGAGATTCCGCTGACAGTGACACGGCGGACCTTGGAGCACGCTGCCAAGCAGAAGCGGCCTTCGTGCATTTCCATCTTTAATCCATCTCCCATGCTCGGGAGGGGAGAGCTTCAAAGTTTTCCTTGGGCAGACGTTGATGTGCTCATCGTCAACGAAGGAGAAGGAAGGGATTTGCTCAAGGCGCTTGGAAACGGAGCAGATGTTGAAGGAACTGCAGTTGTACAGGCGCTGGGCCAACTCGAATCTCTGCAAAAGATTCCTTGGCTCGTGATGACCCGCGGAGCGAAGGGCGTAGCAGCAAGCATCAAGTTCAACTCGAGCCGCACAACCCTCGAGGTTCCAGCGGCAACACCTCGTGAAGTGCTAGACACGACTGGAGCGGGAGACACATTCGCTGGCTACCTTGTGGCATCCATCATGCAGCTTGACAGCGATGCTCTGCGGCAGGGCTCTTTGGGGCCCCAACGGGCGAGGGATGCGATCCAATTTGCCGCTCTAGCTGCCACAATGGCTGTGGAGAATGCTGGCGCTCTCGAGGGAATCCCTAAGAGAAATGATGTACTGGCGAGGAAGCATTGAAATGAAATCTCGAACTTGAACTGACACAGAGCTGGAGATATTCGGGTGGCGCTTCTCCGTGCTACAACCAGAGCAAAAGCATGGTGCGCTCGGCTGGAAGGACTACAGCTACGGTCGAGTTTTTCCGTGTCGAACTAATCAAATGACTCCAATCAAACGAACAGATAGGTAGAGAGAAAAGCACGTCGCCCTTGGAATCCTAGAAAGCATGCGACTACAGTGAACACCAATAAAAGTTCCATACAACGTGTGAATGCGTGCCAGCTAAGTCATAGTGACATTCGCTGTGGTATTAAAGCTTGTCTGAGAGGAGCAAGCTATAGTCGGAGGCGGTGGTGGTGTAGTCGAGCTCGACCTTGACATTGGGAGTCTGGCCCGGCTTGACGGTGTACGATTCGTTGGGGCTGTTGTAGAAGTTGTGCCCATAGAAAGCAACGACCGTAGTGAAGTTGACCGGTTGGCTGTTTGACCACCCGGCAGGGGTCGAAGTCAACCTCCAAGTCTGGGCCAGCTGGCTATCGTCGTCAGCATATGAGCATGGAACAGCGATGAAGCGCGCGTTGCTCTGCTTGAGGACGTTGGCGGCGATGCAGTAATTTGTGTTCTTGGTCGATTGCAGAATACCGTAGCACTCACTTCCGCCGCTGTCACCAAGACCGTAACAGCCGCTGGGGAAGCCTGAAGAGCCGATCACGTTGGAGGTGACAGACAGGAACTGCAAAGGTTATGGCGGCTCCTGTCAGCATGAATCGGCGAGGCAGCGCTGCCTGCGGTCTTCGCGTACCTTGAATGTCTCCGCGGGAGCAGGCTTGCCGTTGTGCATCGTCACGAGAATCTGGTGACCGGAGCCATCCCTGTCGCCATTGAATGATGCGTAATGCGACTTGTAGTCGGACTGGGTTGATCTGAGCACCAGTGGGGCTTCGTATTTAGTCGAATACGTCTTCACCTGATCCCGCTTGGTTGGCACCGCGACGGAAGCGCTCGCTACGAGAAGAGCCGAGATTGCAGCTGTGAGAGCGAAATGCATGGTGATTACTGAGATTTCAGGGATTCTTGCGGAGCCGATAAGGTGAAAGGAGGGGAGCCTATGATGTTATGATGGACGAAATGGGGCTGAACGAATCCAATGTGTGATCTCCATTTATACCACAGCCTGCTTCTGCGCCTTCCTACCTTCAGCTTGGCCATCATCAATGAGCAACATTAGATCAACAGACGACATCATCGGGAGACATTTCGGAAATCCAGAAGCTGCCGGAGAAGCGACCTGCCTGATCATCCTTCCGCCGCCGTCTTGTGTGAGGCTCATCTGACAGTCGGAGTTCCGCAACCGTGGGAGTCGGAGCAGCAGAGTGAGCGGGGTCGATGGACGTACATGAGCGACATTATGACATGTGCCTTTTGGCACATGAGGGAGCAGGGGCTGAGAGGCTTGTTGCTGTATTGCCTGCTGGTTGCGGCCTGTTGTGACTTGGTTACGATTGACTTTACTAACCACTGACTACTCTTACATTGCGAGCAGCGATGTGTCTCTTGCTCCGTTCGCCGAGTTTTGCGGTAACTATGTGCGGGCCGTAGCGGTACCTGGACTGGCTTGAATTTCCCAACTCGCACATGTGGTTTTCGTTTCCATCGCCGCCCCGTCCTGGCTGCCCTGTCCAAACTTGTGCAAGTTTGCGCCGGCCCCCTTTCTCTTACTGACCCAGACGCTTGGCCAGCACCTGCAGGAACTGACCTGCACCAACGAGCCAAATAATGAGCACCAAGCTGGCATCAAGCTCGACTATTCTCGACTTTGTGGCCTGGGCCTGGTCATACTAAGGCTGTCGAATCGGGCCGGGTGTCCATGCGCACGAGACCGTCGACCTATCGTCCAACATGTTGCAAAATGCGCCATGCTTTGCCGAATTCGCTTAACATATCCTCTCATCGCGAATTCACCTTCGCGTTTCTTTGAAGGCATCGTACGCGTGATCTCCTTGCGGTGTCGAGCAAGTACGTACCTGCGCATGCGGAATCCTCTCGAGCGTCGACGATAGTTTAGGAGGCACGAACACATGCGGAGGTGTTTCTTTGCTGTTTCACGATGAACTGGCATCATGGCGCCAAGGGTCTTTTATTTGGCAGCCCTAGGCTAGGTCACACTGCGTACAAATCACCAGTACTCCGGAGGCCACATGATCCAATGATGTTCCTGTCGATCCGGCAATTTTGGCTTGTCTGCCGAAACTCCGGATGGCTGAAACATGTCACGTGTGGGCGGGGCGGGTCGCGCCAGGTGCCGCGGAGAGCCGCCAGCAGAGAGAGCGACAAGGCGCTGGAGATCCGACAACGACGTCAACGACAGACAAGAAGTGCTTGCAGAGTCCAGGCTCCAACGAGGCAAACAAAGAGCGAGTCGGCTAGCACCGGAGGGTATGACGAGGATCATCACCGCATGAGCGATGACAAGTGACGATAGACGACTAAAAAGACGACAAAAGGGTGCGCTCTGCCCTGCACTTATCGTCTGAACACGCGTGTACAAAGCTGTACTGCAATCGTTGAGTTTACAAGGCGCAATGCGAGAGAGGGAGAACACTTTCTCCATTGTCCTCTATTTCCTCCACCCCAGCGTTTGCGCACACATGGTACTATCATGGTTTAGTCGCTGCCGAGATTGTGCGACGGCCAGTGTGTTCAGTGGGGCAGACGAAAGGATGAATCCATCACTAGGCGGAAAATCGCTTTATGTATGGCTCTATGAGCTCTTCGATCTGCATACCCTCCGACAACAGCAAGACGTGGCAGTCCGATCAACCAACCGCGTTGTCTGTACGACATGCGAGGCGAAGGTTTATGCGTCCTTTCCTGTGGCACAACCTGTCCCAATGTTGCATGCTGCAGCGGTCGGCGTTGCGCACCTGGGGGAGGAGCTTTATTTGGGCGAATGCATGTGTGGCTGGATGATCTTCGAGCAGCTGCAGCTTGTGAAGAGCTCAGACACGCGTCTGAGCGCGCTGATGTAACCCCGCCCGACCTGCGTCCGCGCGGACATCCTTCTGAAGTTGGAGGGTCAACCGACAAAAGGTTGTTCACAGACGCTCACGCGAAGACGCTGGTCACAGGTAGATGCGGAATCGCAAGGATGAATTCCTCGGCCGAGAGTGAGCACCGAGTCATCTAGTTGCACCGTACCACGAAACAATGAGTCCAACTTGCGAGTGGGCGGGGGAGGGCGGGGGAGATGAGTGGGGGGACACAAATCTTGGCACGAGAGCAGTGTTTCGAGCTTGGAGGTCTTTTGACCCATCGGCGATTCGCAGTGCGCGCACCAATACTATCTACACCATCCCTGATTTGCCCACCATCACCGTTCACATACTTGGATGGGGGCTTTCTTCCGCACATTTTCGACATTCCCCGCATACGCCGTACCCGCCGCTGGTACCAAAGATCTTTCCCTTCGCTCGACTCATCGATACACCTCGCGTTTCCGTCGTCGCTGCCGGAGCCAAAGTCGTAGTCCAACCAGTCGCGGAGCACCAGGCACCCTCGCGCAAGCAATCAACGCACAGGATCCCCTCGCCACACGCTGACAGACACGATGCTGAAATATGAGGAGGTTGCGAAACACAACACCCGGGATAGCTGCTGGGTCATCGTTCATGGTGTGTGTCTGAATCTCTGGACCAACTGTCCTCGACAGCGAGAGCCGATAGAGGTTCTGACAGTGCGTTGATACTTCGGCCCCTCAGGTGAAGCCTACGACGTCACGGTGGGTGCCGCGTATTGGAATGGAGTAGAGCAACGTTTCACTGACGAATCTTAGAACTCATATGGGCTGTTTTGCAGGAATTTCTGCCCGACCACCCTGGCGGAAGTAAGATCATCTTGAAATACGCCGGCAAAGACGCAACGTGGGTTCCGAAAAGCGCTAGAATTCGGTCTTTCAGTCTGCTTGCCACATGCTAACCCATTTCTCTCCGGCATCTTTAACCCACAGTGAAGAATACGACCCGATACATCCCCCTGGAACGCTCGAACAGAACCTTCCAAAGGAAAGATGCCTAGGCAAGGTGGATCCGGACACGCTCAAGGATGGCGCCGCACAGCTACAGCGTGACAAGAAGGAGGTCGGACCTTCTATAAAAGAGGATAAGATCCCCCCAATGGAGCTCTGCCTCAACCTGTACGACTTTGAAGTGGTTGCCAAGCGTGTGCTGAAGCCTACCGCCTGGGCATACTACTCTTCCGGTGCAGACGACGAGGTGACCATGCGCGAGAACAGTGGCGCATTCGGCCGGATCTGGTTCCGTCCGCGCATCCTGCGAGACGTGAGCAAGATCGACTTTAGCACCAGCATCCTCGGCCACAAGTGCAGTATGCCCCTCTACATCACCGCCACCGCCCTCGGCAAGCTCGGCCACCCGGACGGCGAGAAGAATCTGACCATTGCCGCAGGAAAGGAGAAGATCATCCAAATGATTCCCACGCTCGCCAGCTGTTCATTCGACGAGCTGGTCGATGCACGCATCGACGAGAACCAGGTCCAGTTTTTCCAGCTGTACGTCAACTCGAACCGCGCTATCACGGAGAAGATCGTGCGCAAGGCCGAGGAGCGCGGCGTCAAGGCACTCTTCATCACCGTTGACGCGCCGCAGCTCGGACGCAGGGAGAAAGATATGCGCATGAAGTTCGATGATGTCGGCTCACGCGTGCAGAATGATAACAAGGACAATGTCGACCGGAGCCAGGGCGCTGCGCGCGCTATCTCGAGCTTCATTGACCCGAGCTTGTCGTGGGACGACCTGAACTGGTTCCGGAGCATCACACGCATGCCCATCATTCTCAAGGGCGTCCAGACGTGGGAGGACGCAGTGATGGCTGCTGAGCTCGGTCTCAACGGCATCGTCCTGTCCAATCACGGCGGGCGGCAGCTCGACTACGCGCGCAGCGGGATCGAAGTGCTCGGCGAGGTCGTGCCAAAGCTGCGCGAGCGTGGCCTCTTCCCCAACCCCATGTTCCAGATCTTTGTTGACGGAGGCTTCCGGCGCGCAACGGACATTCTCAAGGCTGTCGCCATGGGGGCCACTGCCGTCGGCATCGGTCGGCCGTTCCTGTACGCGTACTCTTCGTACGGTTGGCAGGGCGTGCAGCACGCTATTCAGCTGCTCAAGGCGGAGATGGTACGTGGCGCAACGCTCGGCACAGATCACATCGTTGACCCAATGGACTCACATCGTATTCCTTCTTTTTTGTTTCGATAGGAAATGAACATGCGCCTCCTCGGTGCGCCGACGCTCAAGGACGTTGTTCCAGAGATGGTCGACACGCGCGCGCTCTACACGCATACCAACACCGTACCGGAAAGCTCCGGCTCGCAGGTGTATGAAAAGATGAGCACCGCCATCGGTAAAGCGGGTGATGCGGCTACGATCGCCGACATTGCTGATAAGATGAGCAAGCTATAAGTTGTCGCCACTTGTGCCTGCCTGTCTTCCTTGCATGCACCCACCTTTTGTATGGCTTAATACTGAAAACCTGTAGATCGGCCCATATCAACTCAGGCAGCTTTGTAACTTCATTTGCTATGTATCTAGCAGACCAACCGCTCTCCGTCGAACCAGCCCCTGCCAGCCCATTCGTTTCGATATTGGAAATATTGGGCCTGTCAAACAAGATTGTTCTTGGAGTAATCTATATGCATTGACTAAAAATGACGAGTACACTTCTATGCATGCGCTAGCACTAGCCAGTTCAAGACTTGGGACGTAGTTCGCGGTAAAGGGGTTCCCACGCGCGATCCCGAATGTACTCTTCCAGACCTTCTAGCGTTTCTGGAAGACCCTTTGCCTGTGCCGTTCCTTCTTGTTGGGCAGCCCGAACGACAGCAGCAGCGACCTGGCACGCCCGAAGAATTGTGTCATTTTCCGTCGTTTGCAAAAGGAGAGCATGCGAATGCTTAGCACTCACCTTCATCGAGATGTTGCGCACATCGTGCAGGTCCGGAAGGAGTGCATCTTCTGGATCCTTGAGGGCGGGGCTGAGGCTTGCAAGGGCTTCCACACCAGCGACGATAAGTGCGTCAGAGACTCTATTGGCTTTGGCGACAACAACACCGAGTCCTAGCGCTGGGTAGAACATGGCGTTGTTGCTCTCTGCAATTGAATACAGGAAATAAGCCAAGCGGTGACCATTAAATGAGGGTGGGTGGTAAACACCATATGCAAACAAGAGTGCTCACCTGCGACGATGTACTTCCTTTCCTTACCAAGGATATCAACCGGATCGAAGGGGCTGCCGGTGGCCATGAGTGCCTTGCCGTTGGACCACTCACTGATCTGCGCTGGGACGCCTTCAGATAGGCGACTGGGGTTAGAAAGCGGAAAGATGGCAGGGCGCTTGCAGTGCTTGCACATCTCCTTGACGACTTGCTCGTTGAAGGTGCCGTGCTGGCCCGATACGCCGATCAAGATAGTAGGCTTTGCATTTTTGACAACGTCCAAGAGGCTGAAGCCCTCCGTGTCCACCGATTTGGACCATGAGGAAACTTCCGACTCGTCGCGTGCGAATTCCGCCTGGCCCTCACGTAGGCCTTGCATACTCTTCGTTAGCAGACCTTCACGGTCGATCAAATAAAAGCGTTTATTCTTGAGGTAATGAGAACAAAAGCAACACATTAGTGACAGAGACTGAGGCAGTACTGTATGTCACCCGCCCACACGCACTGCTTCTTCTTTGGTCATCCCTTCGCGGGTGCAAAGCGCGTCGCGGATACGATTCGTGATACCAAGCCCAGCCGTTCCAGCACCGAATACGACGTAGGTCTGATCATTGAGATACTCATTCTTAACCTTACAGACGCTCATGACAGCCGCAAGTGCCACAGCGCCCGTGCCTTGCACATCGTCGTTGAAGCAGGCTACTTGATCCTTGTACCGGTTTAGCAGTCGCAAAGCGTTTGCGTTGCCGAAGTCTTCAAAGTGTAGCAAAGAGTGTGGGAAGATGGAGGCGGCAACGTGTACATAATCGTCGACAAAGTTGTCATACCTGGCGAAGAAATGTTTAGGTGTTGCTGCTTGAGTTCATTCCCTCGTTTCGCAAACTCACTCTTCGCCTGTGATGCGATCGTGGCTCCACCCGAGATAGAGTGGGTCCTCCCTAAGCTGCATATTGTTCGTTCCAACGTCTAGAGCAATGGAAAGCGTCCGATTCGGGTCTATGCCCGCGCCGAGGGTATAGATGGAGCTCTTTCCAATGCAAATGTTTATGCCACCGACCCCCCAGTCGCCAATGCCTAAAATTCCTTCGCCGTCGGTAGCAACGAGCAGGTCGACATCGTTGGGTCCAAGCTCGCCATAGTGTGTCAACGCATTGCGGATGTACTGCCTCCCTGCATCCCTTCCTCGGCTCTGGACTTCCTCGGCGTAGGAAGGGTAGGAGAGAAAGATGCCGTCTGGCCTGCGAAAGAGGCGCGAGAAATTGATGATCGAGTCGCCGACGACGGGAGTGTAAATGATTTTGAGCGTCTCTTTCAGGCTCTCTTGCAGCAACGCGTAGAAAAGCACCTGGTTCTGATCCTTGAGACTTCGCAAGAACGTGTACTGCATCAAGCTCGCCTGCTCCTCTGCGTCTCCCAGCTCGGCAATCTCCTGGCGCTGCTGGAGCTGCTTGTACGCCCGATCGACCTGAGTCCGGAGATCATGTACGGCCGAGGGCAGGTAAGACCCTAGCTTAAGCTTCCGCCTCTCTTCAGCCGAGTGTGCTGCGCCGTAGTTATACACGGGGTCCTCGAGGACCTCCAAACCGTGCTTGGAGATGTACAACGGTGGGAGCGGACGCGAGCCCGGCGGGTTGGAAGGGTGCACGGTGCGCTCGGCGGTTGAGACGGCGGAGGCGGTCCGCTCCGAACGCTCAGTTGCGCGCGTAGCAGACACAGTCAATAACTGGCGCGATCGAGCAGGGCATCTGAATGGCCTGAATCCCAGCCGAAAAGCAGCTGAGGCGCTGAACGGCGCTCGTGAGCGAGCCAGATGAGTCGGCATAGTCTTGGGTGTCAAAGACAGCGCAGACAGGCTGAGTTTCTTCCTTTCCCCTCGTTATAGCGCTAATACAAAACCGTGGTTTAAGCTTTACGGTAGCTCGAGGCGCTTCCGTATTTTCCCTCCTTCTATTCGGGGATCGAGATCGCAATCTATGGTCGTTGGCCGACGGTGCTGGGAGCAGAATAAAGTCAGGTGGCTGCCGCTGTTCAAGTAACGCCGTTCCAAAAATTTTACCGCCGATAGAAGCTGTGTACCAGGTAGTCTGCAGCGCAAGCACACCTCAGCATTGCCCACTAGTGTTGATCTCTCCGTCCACGCACTGTGCCTCGCCAATTACCGTGCCCTACCAAGCACAACAGGCGTTCGCAGCGAGGTGCAGGTAGGCCAGTTACCTAGCAGAGCTGGCAGCCAGGGCCTGGGATCTTCGTTTTTGCACGAGCCTTGATGAATCTGCAACATCGGCGTCTTTTTTTTTCATTCCCAAATGGGTTCGCCGATATTCTACGCCGTGGGGGAAACGATAACATTAGGTAAGACATCATATTGAGATATAGATTGTTGATATGGCTGGTGACTCGAAGGTAGACATCAGGCAGTGCTATTCGCATCCCTTCGCCTCACCCCATTGATCGGCACCCGCCGAGTTGAAGCAACAAGTTTTTGCACAGCTCTGCTTTCCCACATTGGCGCTATCGAACCCTGAAACCTTCGAGGGATGAGAGTGACTACAATGACCAGCGCGCAGCACGGAGCGGCCTCCTCCAAAGGAGTCCCCGCCTCTGCTGGCGGACCACCGGCTGTGCGCTCGATCATCGACACGGATCTGTACAAGCTGACCATGCAGCAGGCCGTCTTGGAGCATTATCCTGATGCAGATGTCTCTTGTGAGCAGCAGAATCTTATCACAGGGCTGCCCCTTGCTCTCTGCTGACTACGGAGCGACGACGACGGATCCTCCACAGACCGCTTCACAAATCGCTCGATGAACATGAAGTTCACGCCTGCAGCTGTGAACGCCATTCGCAGCTCCATATTTTCACTGTCTTCCTTACAGCTCACCGCAGTGGAGAGAGCATGGCTTTCTGAACGCTGCCCTTATTTGCAACCACGCTACCTTGACTACCTACAGGCATTTCGGTTCAAGCCTGAAGAGGAGGTGATCGTGAGCGAAGTCAATGTGTCAGATGATCTCGTGGATTTGCAGATAAAAGTCGAGGGTAAATGGAAAGACGTCATCCTTTACGAGGTTCCGCTTATGTCCATTGTCAGTCAGGCGTATTTCGAGCTGGTTGACACGGACTGGACAATGGACGGGCAAGAGGGTGAGCTAAATATGAATTTTGCTGACCTCCACTAAATCTTGACCGCTAAATACACTGCGTGCTGCTGGATAAGAACTTGCTGCTAGCAAAGCAAATCGGCTGATAGCAGCCGGGATCAAGTTTTCCGAATTCGGCTCTCGACGGCGACGATCGTATGAGACCCATCGAAGCGTCATGCAAGGACTCCTTCGCGGCGAGCGCGAGGCACTTTCGCAATCTATCGGTACTGGGAAAATGCTCGGCACATCCAATGTCCACTTTGCGCGGCTGTTCGACATCATTCCCGTCGGGACCGTGGCACATGAGTGGACAATGGCACTCGCAGCGCTAGAGGGCTACGACCGCATCAATCTCACGTCGCTGCGGAAATGGGATGAAGTATATGCCCCCCCAGCGTTCACACCTACCAATCCAAGCGAAGACTTGACTATCGCGTTGACGGATACGTTCAGCACCGAGGTATTCTGGAAGGATCTCCTCCGCGATGATGAGGATGGTAATAGCGGCAAAGCCGAGAGCAGTGACGCGCAAAATGGCAAAGAGATCATGCGGCGCTGGAGAGGCGTCAGGCAGGACAGTGGCGATAGCAAGGCATTCGCTAGGCGCGCCAAACAGGAGTACCAGCGTCTTGGTGTGGATCCGAAGAGTAAAGTCATCATCTTCTCCGATGGTGAGCCCTAAGCCTCTGTTCTTATAATCTTATACAACTTGAACGCTCACTGTGCTGCTTTCCAGGCCTGGATGTTGAAAGATGCATCGAGCTTGCATCCTACGCAAACGAGATCGGCATCGGTGCCGGGTTCGGCGTCGGCACGAACCTCACAAATGATTTTCGCAAGTTGTCCACCGTCTCGCCCGTGGCCGCAGCACCGAACAAAATTGCCGCGTCCGCCATACGAGACAGTTCTTCCAACAAGGCTTCCTCGTCAATCGCAACAACACAAGATATCTTGGACGCGCACAGCAGAGGAAAAGGGGAGAAGAGCAAGGCGCTGAATATTGTCATCAAGATGTATTCGCTCAACGGTAAGCCGACAGTCAAGATCAGCGACGAGCTCACCAAGAATACAGGTGATCCAGAGGAAGTCAAGTGAGTAGACGCGCAATGCTCACGTCTTTTACCGCGACATCAACACCCGTTCCTGGAATCAAAGCGGTTGCTAAGTGCATTCTAATCCAACTGCAGGCTCGTCAAGCGGCGATTCGGTCTGGATGCCCACGAAGCGGCGCAGCAGGTAGAAGACGCATAGTGAAGGCACAAGCCGGCAAGCACGTATACTGTATGCACGCGCGAAGTATATACACAGGCGCGTTTCGGATACTTTCTCCTTTTTGCGGGTTTCTCATCGCTACATCCAATACACAAGGTCACTTTTGGCCTGTAGACCCGGCCGAAGTTGATCACGTGTGTGAGGAAAGTGTAGTCGCATTTTTACAAGTGTCTACTGTTTGCTTTCAAGCGGCCTTGCTGACTTTGGCATCTTGCGAGGATCGTGACGGCGGTGTGACCGTTGCAGCCGGGTCGAGCGTCGGCGCGACGCTCGCTGCAGGGCTTCTGCTGCGCGCACCCTCAGGCGTCTCGGGTACATTGGCATCGTCTGCAACGGGTGGGGCCTTGCCAATCGCCCCAAGGAAGACGCGCATGATCACGTTGCGGCCCTCGATTGGTGGCAGGAACACGACTGCAGATGTAAAAGTTAACTGAAAATTAGTTTTGCTGGTATCTACTCCATCATGCTCCACGAACAAGCTATGCGTACCGAAAAGGAGAGTCAACAGCGCCCATATACTCATTACAACCACCCAGCCGGTGAAGAAAGGTCTTGAGAAGACGTATCGCGCCCCGTACAGGGAGAAGGGGGTGATGACCCAGACGCCGAGGAACAGAACGAGCGATGCGATGGAAGCGATGAAGGACTGTTTGCGCATGAAGGTCTTTTGCGAGGCGGTCACCCCAGTCTTTTCGACGATCTCTGACGCAGTGTCGTCGGAGATCAGCTTAATGTCTGAGAAGCGCTCCCAGTCAAAGTTGTCGCGTGGGAAAGTGAAGCTGATTGCAGGCGACAAGATCGTGGGGACTACGGCAGAGACGATCGTACCCCACAGGCACGGCAAGATCTCGCCGGTGGTGGTGACGTCCAGCGTGCCGTAGTAGTGGTGCGCGGTGGCGAGCCAGGTTGCCAGGCCACCGACCAGGCCGACGAGTGGCGAGATCACGGCGGCGGCCCACGTTTGCCGCTTCCAGAGCACAGTAAGGGAGATGGTGACCATACCTGGGCACACGATGATCCCCAAAAAGTACAGCGTCCAGATGAGGCTCAGGCCTATGACTTGGAAGACGACAGCGAGGACTGCAACAGAAGCAATGTACATGACGTCAGATCGCGCGGATACTGGCACTGGGTGGTTGGTACACCTTGCATGCTCACCTGTAGCGAGAACAGCAAAGAGGATGACGCCGAGGTGTGTCATTCGGATGATCCACTTCTCACTTGCGTTCGTGTTGATGTACGAGTGATAGATATCGGAAGAGAAGGTGGAGCCAACAGCGACGAGCTGGGCACTGGTCGTGCTTGTGACGGCCATGAATATGAGAATGAGGACAGCAACGGCGCCACCTTTTCCTGCGACTGCCTGGGCGCAGTATGCGAGCGGGAGACCGTTGTTGAGCTCGGTGTCGGTAAGGGCGCGGCCCATGGTGGGCCAGATCGGCGAGTTGTTGTTCGAGAGGCCGACGGCTGCGAGTCCGACGACGCCACCGAGGAGCGCGGGGACGGAGAAGTAGAGAACGCCGGCGGCAATGTAGCCGGGCACAGCGGCGGCGATGTCTGCCGAGTACGCCTTTTGCCAGTAGGATGAATCCATTAGGACGAGACCAAAGTTTCCCAGCGTGTGCAGAACGCCAAATTGCAGCGCAGAAGGTGAGGCGAGCGTGAGGTACGAGCCGCCGTAGTTGCCCTTCACAGGCGTCTTGGCTGCGGCCACCGTGGCAAGCTCGTACAACCCGTGGATCGACTGGATCTCTGGATTGGAAAGCGTCTTGAAGGAGAGCCAGCAGACGATGATCAGCAGGGCCTGCACTCGAGGGAGCGGGTGAGGAAGTGACACTGACGCAGACGTCAGCGACAACTTTCATCGCGGGAGGACTGAACAGATGAACTGACCGTTGTGTGCAGGTAATCTGCCAAAAACGTGCTCTTCAGGCCACCGCTCAGAGTGTATATAACGACGCTAATTGGAAGGAGCCACAAGGCGGCAATGATTGACATCCCCGTCACGGAAGCAATGGTTGCCGAAGCGCCAAGTACCATGTTGACGTATGCGATGAGGTTGTTGAGCAAGCACAGGCTTAAGCCATCGCACGAAATCCATCAGCTACTCAAATATCCTTACCGGAAATTATTACACTGAGCACTCACAAAGTGTACAGCACGTGTGCTGTTGTTCCATAGCGCGACTTGACGACCTCCAAGATGGTGTGGGCATGAGGCGTCTTGAGTTTCGATTGGATGGCGACGACGGCAAAGAAGGTAATCTAAGGCAAACGGCAAAGTGAACCAATTAGGTGTATAAGCTTCGGCAGCTTGCAGGACTACAGAGCCAACTCCGATCGCACACTCACCTGCACAAGGCAGCCAGCTCCAAACCAGTAGCTTCCAGCCAAGCCAAAGTTGTACGTCACCACTGTACTACTGAGCACAGCGGTGGACCACAGCCAAGATGAGAGAACTGCCGTGCAAGTCAAGCCGGTGCCGATCTTCCGACCTGCGGTCGCGAACGTCTCGAACTTGCATGATCAAACCGGAACAGATGCGAAGATAAATGTCAGCATCGCGGGAGTGACAAAGTGTCTTTGGCTGAGAAAGATAGCTCACCCTCGCGTTATTCTCATTATTGTACAGCCGGAGCAGGTGAGTGATGTAGACCATGACGGCCGCAAAGGCGAAGCCGAAGGCGACGAGGACAGCGTAGCCGGCACCCTGCGGCAGTGGCGCCGGGACGGTTTGTGACATGGTGCCGATGCGAATATACTGAGGAGGGGGGGAAAAGGAGCTTAACAGTGGTGTTTGCGAACGGGGGGACGGATTGCAGCGCGGATAAAGCGCAGCTGCGATCCCGATGAGGGAGGAGGAATGATAGGGTTTGAATCAGATGTCCGTCTATATATACACGCTTCCAGGTCAGCCAGTATTCCTCGCTGCCTTTCCACCTCGCGTGAATGAGCATCGGAGGAGAAATTAGATTCAGAACTGGTTGAAGTATAAAGCTAAGTAGCAGAAGGGGGGAATGGTGGCTTTGCCGCTTGTATATTTCCCATCATTATGCCGCTGCTAGCATGACTCATGTGCATTCGAACGGAGAGAAAGATTTTGTTCAACTCGGACTTGATCAAATCAAAAAGCGTAATTCCTGGGCTTGTGTATAGCAATTAGCTCACTCTCCCCACGTCCCTCCTGAATAGGCTCTCGTCACCTAGACTCAGTCACGTTTCGGGCGAGGGAGCAAGATTGCGCGCGGGTTGCTGCTGCTGTTTCTGCAGATGTTTTTCCTGTGCATGTCCGAGCCTCCAAGGTTGCGACCAGCAAGCGTCTCTGCTTGCCTTTTCAACTGCGTTTCAAACCTTCGAGGCCAGCTGCCATGAGTTGGAAGGTGAGAGCAGTCGAGCTAGTGAGAACACAGTGGGATGGCGCGCTGCGCATCCGAGGCACATCTCCGGATGAAAGATGTGATATGAAGAACAGACGATGGCGAAATCCAGTCTGGAGAAGGGTCTAGTCCTGCGGGTGACCGACAATTCCATTGATCGCGTAAGCTCCTCCCGCCTCCAATGCTTGCCTTTTTGTCTAGCGGGCACAGCACTCGTCCATCCGGTTGTGTATTGGACCCAGCTGGCATGAACCACTTGCTACGGCTGGGAATGCTGCATATGCGTTGCACAGAGAGTGTCACCGTGACGACATCGCGCCTTCGATACTCCATGGAGTATAGTGATGCGATGCGATGGTGCGATGGCGTGCGAGCGACATGACAGATAGATAACAAGGAACAATCTAATCAGCGGAACGGATGTCAGGCCAAGCGAAGCGAGTGGATTTACAAAGAAGAGCTTCCTCAGCAATCCAAAGCGACCTTGCTTGGTTTGCAAAGCGGTCTGGACATACAAAGCTTGGTTTGCGCGGCACCTACAACGCACGTCATGGCCTTTGGCTTGACCAACACACACAGCGACCTTCCAAAGATTGCTGAGCGACCGCTTCCGCCACAACTTTGACGTTCTCAAGGTCTCCGTGCTCCTCATCTACCTGGACGCATCCTCGCGTTCGGTACATCACGTATGCGCCTGTGCGGCTAACGCTTTGTGCCTGACGATGTTCAGCTACACACGAAAGTCATTCTTCCGGTTACTCTGTTGCCTGCAGGTCCGGACTGAGAACATGCCATGTCCGATCCATGTCATGACAACGTCTTCGACGGCGCGCACACGGACCCTCGACGGCAAAACACAGCTGATCTAGTACACACCGATGATATTCCTTTTGTGCGAAGTGTCCAGTCCGGCTGGGCTTTGCACCTGCAGTCCATGAGGTGTGCGCAGTTGTCATTGGATGATATCCGAAGGAGTACACTTCCGCCACGCCACTTCTGAAGCTGCGTATTCCGAATCAACTACTATAAGAGTCCGAGTCCTACAAGCACGGGCTTGGCCTCGCACGGGGTTAGCCACTTTACTGGGTCTCCTTGCGTCTTTCCGTAAACAGTGAAATGTCGCGAACTGTACTTTCAGCGACCTGGAGCGCAGCTGGCGGGTGTTGTCCCGGCTGACCTCTCCTTGCTACAGGCCTGACATGGGCTCTTGTTCGGTCGCAGGGCATTGGCGAGCTGCACAGTCACTTTTGCGTAGTTGGCCATAGGCATCTTCCATTTGAAGATAGCACCATCTATGTTTGAGTCTGTTGGTGTTTCTACACCGAGTGTCATTTGGCCGATTGCTTCTGGAAATCATTCACAAGTCCCAGGGACACGACGCTGCTGCATGTCTACCCTTCGATGATGATGAGTCCGTGTCCTCGATGGCCAGTTTCCCGCATTGATTTCTCTACAGCATGAGTCTTTATAGTGTTCTCCTTTGACCGCGGCGGGCGGTGGGATGTCTCCAACTTCCCCATCAAGAGCGGATTCTTTTTTATCTTATCCGGCCCGTGTTCCGTTCCCTCCGTGGACGCCCGCTGGCGGCATGCATGCATTTATGGATTTCCGACCGACGAACAGACTGCGCCTTATCTAGCCGAGATGGAGACTTGCCAGCGCTGGCTTTCGTGTGAGGATTTCACCCAGGCAAGGTGTGGTGGTTCTCGGCAGATAAGTTGGTCTTCTCACCGCGAGCGGCAGAGGCGAGACCCGCAGCTGTGCTTTTGCCGCTGGCTCAGCCTTCTTTGCTCGCTCGGGAAGAAACTAAAGGCTTACTGACGCGCGAAATAAGTACCAGTCACATGCGAATGAGTCGTGTCACCACGACATGTATCGCGGATCGTGGTTGGTACATAAGCCCCATCGCCAAAGCTCGCCGTCCTCTCGGCGCGCTCAACCTTCTCGTTAGCTTACCATCCCATCTTCGCCTCACTTGTTGCAGTAGCCTCGCTAGCGATGAGACATGAGTGAGAACACCAAACCCCAAGCAACACAGCGACCATGAACAACGTTCCTTACGCTGCTAACATGCCAGACGCCCACCCCCCGTCCGTGCAGGAGCATCTCCGCCGCACCCTGCGCCATCTGGGCACGCGTCAGGCCTGGCTCGGCGGAGATGACGCCGACGCGGGCTATGGGGCGCTCTTCATGCCGCGCGTCCTGCCTTGGAGCCGGACTCGCAAGCGCAAATTGCGCGATCTCGCCGACGGCATCGTTGCCGAGCAGGTTGAGCTTCATGCTGCTCCTGCTGCTGGTCGTCACCACTGTGACAAGATGGCAGCACGCAGAAAGGCGGACGAGGCGAGCGAGCTGCCGTTCTACGGCCTGGATGACGAGCTGCCCATTGTTCTCGCGGCCATCTGCGGCTTCCAGCACTGCCTTGCCATGCTCGCAGGTATCATCACGCCGCCAATCATCCTCGCATCGTCACTGAGCCTCCCGTCGGCAATACAGTCCTACTTGATCTCGGCTTCGCTCATTTCTTCCGGCCTCCTCTCCGCCATCCAAATCTCGGGCATCCCGCTGCCATTCATCCGCAGGCAGCTCGGCACCGGGCTTCTCTCGGTCGTCGGGACGAGCTTCACGACGATCACGACGGCGATGAGCATCTTCAAGGGTCTGTACACCGACGGCACGTGTCCGTCAATGACCAGCGCCGACGGGACCGTGACGCGGGGCGCCTGCCCCGAGGCGTACGGCTACCTCCTTGGCACGGCGGCCGTGTGCTCACTGCTGGAGATTTTCCTTAGCTTTCTGCCCGTGCGCATCATGCGCCGCCTCTTTCCTCCCGCCGTGACGGGTGTGACAGTCATGTTGATCGGTGCATCCCTCATCGGCGAATCGGGTGTCGTCAACTGGGGCGGCGGAAGCAGCTGCCACGGCCGCCCGACGTCGGGCATGTACACAGTCTGCCCCGCCGTTGGCGGCCCGCACGCGCTGCCGTGGGGCAGCCCTCAGTACATTGGCCTCGGCTTTTTATCGTTCATGACCATCGTCCTCGTAGAGATCTTTGGAAGCCCCGTCATGCGCAACGCCTCCATCGTCATCGGACTCCTCCTCCCGCTCGCCGTCGCAGGGCCGACGGGCTACATGTCCAGAGCGTCCATCGACTCGGCGCCTGCCATCACCTTCCTGTGGACCACGACGTTCAAGCTCAAGGTGTACGGCCCAGGTCAGTGCCAGCTTGTTGCTACAGTGCCACTTTGCTTTATTCGCGGCTGACTCCTTGATGCTGCTATCTTGCAGGCGTCTTAGCTATGCTGGCAGTATACATCTGCCTGATGATGGAGGCCATCGGTGACATCACCGCTACAAGCGAAGTGTCGCGCCTCCCAGTCGACGGGGAGAGTTTCAATCGCCGCTTGCAAGGCGGCGTTTTATCCGATGGACTCGGAGGATTGCTCTCTGCGCTCTTCACAACAACGCCCCAGTCGGTCTTTGCGCAGGTGAGTGGCAGGAGAATATGGCGAACTGACGGCAGAACGCAGCATCTGATCGTCATTTCGCTTCGACCCCCCTCCCCCCTTCCGTGCATGTGCAGAACAACGGCGTCATTTCCATCACGCGCATTGCTAACCGACGCGCAGGCTACTGGTGCTGTTTCTGGTTGATCCTGCTTGGCATTCTTGGAAAGTTCAGTGGTGCGATCCTCGCGATCCCCAACAGTGTCCTTGGCGGCGTGACGACATTTCTGTTCGCGTCGGTAGTCGTTAGCGGGCTCAAGATCATCAGCACGGTCAAGTTCACCCGCCGCAATCGATTCATCCTCGCCGCGTCGCTTTCATTTGGGTTCGGCGTGCTGCTCGTCAGCGACTTTTTTGAGTACCTCTTCAGCTACTCGGGGCCGAACAAAGCGCTGGAGGGGTTCCTAACGAGGTATGTGCGCCTTTTCGCGACATCTCACTCCTGTTCCCTAATGGTTTCTTCCTGACACATGTTTGCATGGCGTTGTGTAGCATCACCATCGTCCTCAGCACACCTTTTCTCATCTCGGCGGTAGTTAGCATGGTGCTGAACTTTCTCCTGCCGTACGACGTCGAGGACCTGGTCGAGGTAGCGCGGCGCAAGAAGGCGGACGTCGAGCGCGGACACCTGGGCCAAGAGCAGGCGCAGGAGCAAGTCGCAGACGTCGAACGGGACATTGAGTCGCTCGAGAAGAGCGCGGAGGGAGTGGCAGCGGAGAAAGGTGCTTGATAGTCACGCGCCAAGCAAAGGGGGGGGGGGTTGACATTCACGGGCTACCTTATATGTAGTGTCAGGACTGTCTCATGACAAGGGTAAGATCGAAAGTGCGGTATATGCTTGCAAGCTCGAAGCTGCAATATATGACATGCACCATGAAACCAGGTTTTTCGATGACCGCAGGGACAACACCTACCAAGGTTGAACGAGGAGGTAAATGATGACAAACAGCTTTTCGATCCGCTGTTTGACCAACTTCGAGGCGGAGGTGCGCGGGGGTGGGTGGGCTATAGTATGTCTTTCGCTCTTGTTCTGCAGCAACAAGTCGTCATGAACCCGCTCGCGATGGTGACGCCTTGGCCGATGAGACCTTTGGCCAGCTGGCTGTTGAGCTCATGGTATAGGCCTGCGTCACCGGCCTTGCGGCCGGACTTGATGAAGAGGTCGACGGGATCGCGATACATGCACCGGCTGCGGAGGCTTTTCCACTGCAGGCGCATCGTGCAGAGGATATGATGAGCGAGAAAACGAGCAGCGTGGTGGATGCGTTGCTCGCGGCGGCCATCAGGAAGGTCTGCGACGCACTCGGCGCGGCGCTCGCACGAGCATCAGCAGCCACATAAAGAAGTTGGTCAGGTAGAACTTCAGCGTTGGCACGACCGACAGCATATCGTTTTATCGAAGCCGTATCAGAGGCCTTGTAAGGCAGTGAGCAGCGCTGGGATTGAGCGATTCGGCAAAGGAGACGACGGTGCATTATGAGGGTTGCACTGCTGACCTTTTACGCTCCTCTCGTCGTGATCGCCTTGAGGGAATCGACGATGCCTGCTCCAATGTCGTTGCTGTAAGTGGTCTTTTCGTCCGAGGACGAGCGAACTCCCCCCTCCTTTATTCGTGCCAGCAGCCTTATTCGCCTTCGCCCTCACCCTGTTCTCCCATTGCACCTCGGTTTCGGGCAGTGCAGACGCGCTTGTCTGCTTGCGAACGGTGACGCTGCTGAACGGCGTTGGGAAAAAGCGCGAAAGGATGCCGACGCTGACGTCTTTGGTGGCAGAGAGTGTGACCCGCTACTGCTGATTGGCATTTCCGCTGCTATTACTGGCTGGCATGCCTCCTCACGCGGTCATTTACCACCGGATAAGCGTGCTGAAGGAGCGAAAGCGGAAGAAGTGGAAGCTAGTGGAGGGCCGTCGGAATGGTCAGCACTGCGGCCTCAGGTAGAGTTGAGAAAAAAGCCAATATGCGGCTGAGGTGGAGACACATTTAGAAAGCGTGTTGCTGAGTGTACCACACTGCCAGCCTTGGTAGAACCCCTTGTCGCTACCTCTCGGTTACATCTCCTGCAGCGGGCAAGTGAGGGTGGGGGGCACAGGCTGGCGCTGCGTCTGCTTGAGCTTGTGCTTTCTGGACTGCGGCTGCGTCTGAAAGCACATGGAGAGCAATTCAAGCGGTTAAACGAGCGTGTTGTTCATGGTTGAGCAGAGCGCGCCCGAGGTTGCCCGCGCGATGGGCGGCAGCAGGGGCGCGCGCGACTTGCCCCTGAGGGGGATGGCATGTTTGACCTTGTTCTGAGCTCGGCTCTGCGTGTTGGATAAAAAGAAAGAGAGCAGTTATCCGGGCGATCGATCGAGTTGCCCCACGATTGCACACCGCTGCGCCTTGATGCACCCTATTTGTAGGACCCCGGGGATGAAGATGGACCCGTCCGATGCGATTCCCCCGAGGGATACACAGCACGCCGTTTGGAAAAAAAGGCGAGCAGGGGACGGCGCACGGCATGAACACAGGCTCCTCTCCCTTCCTCCGGCCCGCCCCGTCGGTCTGTTTCGTATGCAGAATGCGCTACGAATGGACGCAAAGGGTTGACTGTCCTTCATCGAACCATGATGTGTGTATGTCAGTATGTATGGACTGCGTCGAGGCTGACAACAGCGACGGATAATCGTCATTGCCGTGGGGGGGAGGGGGAATGCACAACCCTACCTTTCCCGAAGCAAGACTGCCGTTCCGTTCCGCTCCTGCTTCCATTCCCCATTCCACTGTATTCCGCCCGCCTGTCGCACCCCAGCACGTGACCCCCCGAGGAAAGAGCAGCTAGCCGAAAGTGGGTGAGTGGGTGAGGCGAGGCAAGTCAAGCGTGGCAATGATGAGCACAAAGCACAGTGGGGATGGGGGTTAAATACCCTGGGCAAAGCTCCTTTACCCGTGCATCGTCCTCGTCGTCGCAACCGTACATATCATCGCATTGCCCCTTGCACACTCTGCCCACACGGCTCAGCCTGAACGCGTTGTGCTTTCGATCTTTGTTCACAGGTGACCACTTTCCCCCGGGCTCCGGGCCCCTTGCTCTGAGCTCCTCATTGTCGTCGGCCGCGTTTGCTGGAGCGTCGGCCTGGTAGCAGACTCCAGCCAAGTTCACAGTACGTGGGACACAATGTCTTCCACGCCCACTTTGGAAGACTTGAGCACCGGCTATCGAGGTGAGCCTATGAACCTCAGCTCGCCCACCCTTCCCACAGCCGCTGGCCAGGTCCGACAACGACACCAGCGCTCAGGTCAACGCAAGGGCACCGTCTCGCCCCTCCTTGCCCATTAGGACGTGCGCTAACCCTTGCCCTCACCTGCTTACTTGCATACTGCAGGCTGCCTCACACCCTCACAGTCTCGCGCCTTGCTTCAACTCTGGTCTCGCTTCTTTGCCGCATGCACCGTCCCACCCGTGCCGGTCGTGCGCGTCAACGACCATCGCGATGAGAGCGTAAGCGCAAGTGCGAAAGGGAGTGCGAGCGCAAGCGCAGGTGGGACGCTACCCAAGAGCCGCTCCCACCGCAGCTTTGCGAGCACGCGAGAGCGGCTGGTCCGCGGGTCCGTTGTCAAGTCATCTTCAAGTGGCGCACCGGGGAAGCGAAATGCATCTGCTCCGGGGTCTGCAGGGTCCGCCAGTCCGGCAACCTCGAGCTGCAACGCTAGCGTACCCGAGCTTCTCACCTATGACTCTGCCACACCGGCGAACGCGGCGGCGCTAACCATATCGCCCCCAGGATCCTCCCTTGGCGGCGCAGCAGCGGGAGCGAGACGGGCAGCCTCTCTGAGCACGAGCACGGGTAATAACGAGCAAGCAGGCGGCGTCGAAGACTTGGCGAGTGGCGCACATATACCACGCGACGACGCGGCTAAGGATACGCTGCGCATGATTGAGGAGGCCAAGGAGATGCGCATCTTCCTCGACCGCTACGGCGGCGCCAAGCTGCGCGAGGTCTTCTGGCGCGGCTTGGTTAAAGGCGAGCACCCGGACGCGGTCATGCTCCGCTTCCTCCGCAGCAGAAAGTGGGATGTGGAGCGCGCGCTGAACGTCATTGGTAGCACAGCGCGCTTCCGAGTCGAGTGAGTCTCAACACAGGAAACAACGCGTCGAGTCTCATGCGTATCCGCTGCGTGCTGATGACTGGATGCGCTTGCGCCCCACCCTCCCCTTGCCCACCCGCAGAAACGATGTCGATACCCTGCTCAAACACGGCGAATTGGGGATGATCAAGACACGTGGGGGCTACAATATCCTCTACAACGGGATCTCGTACGTGTACGGTGCGACAGCCGCCGGCGAGCCGGTCTACGTCATCGAGGTCGGCTCGCACTACTCGTCCAATCAGACGCAGCTGGAGCTGCAGCGCGGCGTAATCTACCTGCAGGAGTGGCTCTCGCTGCTTATGCCGCCGCCGGTCGAGCGCAAAGTGGTTATCTTCAACATGAGTAAGTTCGGCCTGCGCAATATGGACTGGTGGTGCGTTTTTTTCATGGTCAAGACCATCGAGCGCTTCTACCCGGAGAGCCTGTCGCGCGTCTTTGTGCACTGCCCACCGTGGATCTTCCGCCCGATTTGGTTCATCCTCAAACCGCTGCTCGACCCCGTCGTCCGGGACAAGGTGCGCCTCACTAGTAGCTCGGAGGAGCTCGAGGACCTCATCCCCTGGGACCACCTCCCTAGGGACACCCTCGGTGGCGGGGCCGACTGGGAGTATTCGTGGCCTGGTGAGTGGTAACCGTGAATACCTTTCGTGCACTGCCCATTGACTCACTAACACGCTTCTCGGTACTGCACCTTACTCCTTTACTCCCACCTCGCCTCGCAGCCGCGCAAGAAGGCGAGAACGACGTGCAAGCCGACACAAAGACCGCCGGCGAGAAAATGGACGCGTTCTTCGAAGCTGCTGCACGCTTTGAGAAGGCGACGCGCGAGTACATCCGCCTCTTCGTGCAGGCCTGCTCCCCACGGCAGCGCCAAGCGTTCGGCAGCATGACTCCTTCCTCCTCGGTTACGTCCCCGCGTCTACGCTCATTCAGCAGCCACGTCAACGGTCATGGCGCTAGCAGCAGCAGCGGAGGCGGAGCCGGGCTCACTAGCAGCAACGGCTATGGATCCTACAGCTACGTCTCTGGCAGCTGCGACGGCGCGGACAGCGCGAGCTTCACGCACGACCACGACGCCGCTGACTTTGTCGAGCCGGAGGGCGCGCAGGAGATGCGCGGGCGACGCGACGTGCTCGCTACCAAGCTACGCGTCGCCTTCCTCGAACTATGGCCCTACTTTGTCGGTACGAGCAAGTACGACCGCTGGGGGGTCATGCGCCGCGACGGGACCATCCGCTGGGCGTACCGCAAGCTCGACGGGAGCGTCGAGGAGCAGCTCCTCGGCAAGAATGCGAGTCTGCCCGTGCTCAAAGCCGGCCTCGAGCTTATCGAGCAGGCTGAGTGCGCCGCGCAGGAGGCCGAGGCGCATGCCAGGAGCGAGAAGGCAGCCCGCAAACAGCAGCGCCAGGCTGCGGCCGGTGGCGGCAGCAACAGCAGCAGTGCTGCTAGGCGCCGAGAGTGGGAGCGTGAGCGCCAGCGCACTAGCGCCTCCGAGAGGCCCAAAACGGCAGCGACAATGGATACGGCTGTCCCCGAAGATACAGAAAGCCCGCCTGGGCCGTTCCTCAGCAACGGCGCGTACGCCTCGGGTGCGGTAATGGAACAGCCAGTATCCACGTCTGGGTCCCTGTCGCGCATCGTGCGAGACGAGGCTAGCCTAAAGAATGGGCGCGGGAGCGTCATCGATACAAGCGGCGCCCAGAGTGGACAGCAGCAGCATGGAGAGAATGAGAAGGAGGAAGTCGTATGAGACTGGCTGACCAGCCAGCCAGTCATTCGGTCAGTCAGTCTGGAATGTCATGTCGTGGCATGGCGGCATCCCAGCACGGCCAAATTACGCCGCCTGCTTTAGCACACCACTATTTCTTCGTCTACTTATCACTTGCGACGGAGCTTTCCCATCCCCACCGTACAATTTCATCCATTCCGTTGTGTTCTGCGGTGGAGTGTAGTGTTGTGAGGATGCCAAAACATGACCGGGTGGCTGTTGGCAATTTTCGGCGGAATTGAGCGATGCAGAAACGGATTGTGCGAGGCATAAAGTATTAAATACAATACGGTTCGGTGACGTGCGCGGGTTCTGAGCGGGCGATGGTGGTGCAGTTGGACCAAAGGGACTGGCGGCCAGCGTGGTGTTGGAGGTGGGTTGGAAGGCTTGACTGCGATGATAGACGGTCTTCTGAACTAGGAACTAATGCAATGGAAATGGACAAAAGCTACACCCCTAGCTGAAGCTCAGGAGAATCTGGACGCCATCGTGTTAGCACCGTGCAGCATCAATCTGAAATGCGGAAGATCGTTCTCCGTGCAGACTCACTGTGCAACATAGCAGACAGTCGGCGGGGTGGTCATTAGCGACTCGGCGTTTATGGGAGTGGCGGAGCGGACGACATGCCTGAGCTGGTATACCCGGCTGGTATCCTCGTCACCTGGAACGAAGAAGCCATGCGGCGAGTACGGTGCGGTGGAGAACGAGTGGACGGTGGCTACCGTGCATGGTGACAATCGCGGACTTGAGAGCGTTAAGATGGTTCTCAATGCGGTTAGTTGCCACCGGGATATGGCTGGCGGTCGTGCTATTGGTAAGCACGCAAGAGTGTTTTTTTTTCCAAAAATGAACTGTGCCAGCGGTCAGAGGATGTGGGAAGATGTGATGTAATATAGGGATCGGAGGGTCTATAATACCCCTTTATATTTCGACGTTTCTCTCGAACATGTAGACGAAGCAGTGAGGTCTCAGAAATGGTTAAAGGGCGATACAGCTGCACCGGCTCTCGGTTTATCCGAAGAAGAAAGAAAAGTCCTTTGTGCCGGTCGGCATTCACGGCCACCTTGTAATGCACCCACACACCCCTCGGCGAGGTCTGTTCTGCCCAGGGCCTTTTAGGCCCTGCCGGCCGGCCGAGCACCTGATGGACACGGGGGATCCTGGATGAGCCTACACACCAGCGCGCCAGCTCAGGCGCATAGATGGCATACACTGCGTGCTTTTCACGCTTATCGTAGAGCACAGGGAGGAGTTGTGAGTTGTGTTGGACGGAGCGTTCTGTTTATGGAGTCAGCGGTGAGAGCACATGGGCGTTCCTTCCACAAGCGAACAGCAAACCCTTGCATAGTCAAGCAGGGGCGTAGAATGTCCCCAAACACATGGGAATATGGGAAAAGAAAAAGAAAGAAATGACAATGGACTAATTTATTTCTTTATTTGCAACATGAAAGCCTTTCAAATGAACCTCCCCCCCCCCATTGTGCAACCATCGTGTCTTTGTTCTTACTTGCGTTGAGCAACGTGTCTACGTGCATACCCTGGCACAGGCCAATCGTATTGACTAAATGCTTGATGCATCGTGCTGCACAGGAACGCCGGCTTGCTGGGTGGCAGGGTAGCAGGACGCCTCGATGGCGACTTTGAGCATTCCTCCTTTGAAGGATAGATGCTCCGGCTACTCATAACCTACATCGGTGGGGTCGCATTCCAGGCTGGGAATGCAGTGCACAAAAAAGTTACCCGGCACAGTCCTCCATTCAAGAAAGTAATAGGATCGAAGAGTGGACCCGAATCGTCCGCCCGGCTCTTTGCAACCCGAATCAGCCACTCACGATGACCTCAGTGCTTCAGCACCTTGGCGTTATCTTTCGTGTCTCTCTGAATCTGGAGTCTGCTATCCTTTCAGTATGCAAAGGAAGACACTTCGGCACACATCCAAATTCTAATTGCAACAGAGGACAGCCTGAAGATGACGAACACCATACTTCGCCCTTTTTGGTCGGCTACGATTGTGACCGCATCTCGTATTACTGATCGCACCTTGTCACAGTGACTACGTTCTCGATCACCAACAAAGTTAAAACAAATAATACAACATCTACAGCAAGTCCCAGAATGCGAATGGTTCTCGGCGCAATGAAGATTGGATATGCCATTTGAGCGCTACCGAATGCCTTATCGCTTTCATACATTCTACGCCGTGCAAAGGAGGCACCCTGGCAGAATGATCACGCCCCGCCGCATGAGCTGCACAATGGTTCGACTACTTGGCTACTGCTCGTTGTGCTACCTATGTGTCAATGAGAACCTCTGACTTTTGGCGTGGGACTGTGGCTAGTACGGTCACTCCATCCTTTAAAGATAGATATCTGACTCACATTTTCTTCAATCATACCCAGTTTGAACGCTTGACTCTAAAGACTCCATCGTGCGGTCTGTTATTGACTACCAATTTCCCCTTGTGTGACTAACTTGCGCTGGTCTTGATCATGGCAACGTACGCACAACATCCTACACCGACAGCCGTGCCTCAAGAACGAGATCACCTGTCTACTCGCGTCAACAGCATCGGCGGTAGCAGCAGCTGCAGCCCCAGCAGTTCGACGTCCGGGTATCCACGAGCTACGCGCATCCCACCCAGGTATCGCGACAGCTACTGGCAAGCCGTGTATGACGAGCAGCAGGAGCAGATGAGGCAAGAGACGATTGTCTCCTTATCGCCGCTGCCTTCTCCGAGCACCAGGCGGTCCGCCATGTCTCGTCAAGGCTCGACAAGCTCCTTGCGCAGCTTCAATGAGGATTGGAGGCAGACAGTGAGTGCCGCAAGGTAGGTCTCATGGTTCTCAAGTGGCGTTCTGAACACTGTTATGTACTGCAGCCATCACCGACGCGGCCATGGCATCACCATCGCCAGGAAAGTAGGCGAGGGCTCCACTCTCACGAGTATCCACCCTCTGCACTTCCTATTTCGATACCTTGTGTGCCACTCAGCGATTCCTTCAACGCTGCAGAGAGCACCCATGCAACCGTCCACGCGTTTCGACACCCCTGTGCCTGCCGGCCCACATCTCGATCGCCATCCATCAACTCACTGCAATTTCCGCACGTTGCGATCGGCCAGAGAGGCAGCGAAGTTGACCGGACAGTTGTGCAGCCGCCCCCGGCGTATCCTTCCTCGGGCGCACCGTCAACTACGGGACTCCAAGCGAAGAAGTGCCCGAGCCATTCGGACAAGCGTGGTAGCAGTACAGGGCGGCCCCCGCCACCTCCAGCACCGCCAAAGAGGCCGAAGAAACCACATATCATCGCGCTACTCCGAACCCTTTCTCAACGTGATGTGCTGCTGAAGCTCCTGCCCGCCCTTGTCCTCTCGGCGGCCCGCGGCGCTGCGCCACCGCTCATGGCGCGCATCCTCGGCGGCGTATTCAACGCATATTCCACGTTCTCGCGCGCATCGCCTCCAGAGCATCCGCTTACAGGTGTGGCACTACTGTCTGCGAAAAGTGCTTTGATGGGCCACGTCAAAGTTGCAGCCCTTGAGCTCGTCGGGCTCGGCGTGTGTGTCCTTCTGGTCGGCACCTCAATGTTCACGTTGTGGATCTGCGTCGGCGAACAAATCGCAAGGCAGCTAAGGCGCAGCATGTTCTATGCAGTGAGTGCCAAGCCGATGCACTGGTTTGACAATGGGATGGAGATTGGGCGAAATGACGGAGCGAGCAGCGACGGCGGGGCTAGCAGCGCCGGTGCGGCTGGGTTGATGGCGCGCTTCGCGAGGTGAGCCATACAGCCTGGTCGTGTACAAGTCTTGTGCTGTGCATACTGACGCTCCTGCTGTGGGGATGCACTAGAAATAGCGACGAGGTCCGGAACGCGGTGTCGCAACATGTAGGGCAAATCGTCACGGCGACAACAACGACATGCGCATGCCTGGGTGTGGCATTCGCTTCATCCTGGTCTCTCACGCTCGTCATCCTAGCCTCCATCCCCTTAACACTGATCCTTACCGCTGTCACCATGCGCATTGGCCGCCCGCTCATCCTCGCCGAATACGCCGCTGTGGAAAGAGCATCTGACCAGGTGGAGCGCACCGTCAAAGCGATCGCGACCGTCAAAGCGTTCAACGCGCAGCAGGAAGAACATGACCGCTTCCGAAGGATGATGGCTACCAGCGGCAACGTCTACATGCGCAGCTGTGCCTGCTGGGCTACACGCCTCGGTTTGACGAGCACCGTTTCGCTTTCGATGTTCGTTCAAGGCTTCTGGTACGGATCCTACCTCGTACAAAAAGGAACCATGACCGCAGGGGGCGTCATGACTGTCTTCTGGGTTGCACTTGTCGCCAGCACTAACATGCAGACCATCATGCAGAGCTGGACGGTGTTGGACAAGGGCATGATTGCATACTCCAGCATTCAGAATCTGTTGGACGACTCGAACTGCCATTCTGCTTCCTCGCCCACCGCGCCGTTCGTTATCAGGATCGACGAGATCCCTAGCACGCCCCCACATTCCCGGTCTTTCTCTGCCAGCTCAGCCTCTATCACCGTTGCGAAGAATCCCTCCACGCATGCTCGGCAAGTCACTCCCATGCGCAAAGTACGGCCGACGCAGCCATGTAGAGGCGAAGTGGTTCTGCGAGACGTCCGCTTTAACTATCCCTCGCGCCCGGATGTTCCGGTGCTCAATGGCGTCAGCATGTTCTTCCCCGCTGGTGAGACGACGTTCCTCCTTGGTCGCAGCGGCAGCGGCAAGAGTACCATCGTCCAACTCTTGCTGCGACTCTACCGTCCTGACAGCGGCTCCATCGAGCTCGACTCGAACGAGTTCGCCTATCTCGACCCTGACTGGTGCCGCGAAAACATAGCAGCGGTCACCCAAAGCCCGATCATCTTTGACATGAGCGCCCGCGACAATATCGCGCTGGGTGCCCTAGGGAAGTTGAAAGGAGCGCCGGGCGGCAAGCTGGACCTCTCCAAAGTAGCGGATGACGACATTTGGGCGGCGTGCCGAATCTCTTTGCTTCACCGCTTTCTGAGGGACTTACCGCAAGGCTTCGACACCAAGCTTGGAAGCGGCGGAGCCAACCTGAGCGGTGGACAGAAGCAGCGCCTCGCGATCTCGCGTGCCGTGCTCCGCGATCCGACAGTCTTGATCCTAGACGAGGCAGTTTCGGCGCTGGACTTGACGGCCAGGTTGCTCGTGCACGAAGCACTCAAGAGATGGAGAAAGGGACGCACAACCATTGTCATCACGCATGACATTTCTCAAGTAGGGAAAGATGACTTTGTCTATGTCATGGCCGGCGGCACCGTCGCGCAGCAAGGGTATCGAAGGGATATCGAAAATTGTGAAGGTCCTTTCTGTCAAATGGCGCAGGCGATGGAAAACAAGGTCAACGTAAGCGAACCACCGTCGCCCACAGGCCTCGACCAAGATGCGCGCAAGTCATTGCGCGCGTACAAGCGTCGTGGGTCAGAAGATGGGAATTTCGTCAAGACTTTGAAGCGAATGTCCCTCAGGCGAGGCGGAACGATGGCTCCAGGCCTCGTACCGCCAATGCCACCCGTAAGCAGCCATGCCCTCGACCCCAGAAGCTTGAAGCGCCGCTCAGTCGAACCTAGAGGAGTACTCGATCGTGTGGGTGCGGTTGCGAACTTGCGACGCCCGAAGCACGTTACACGGCGACCTGCACCGCTCACTGTCACCAAATTACACCACCGAAGCATCCAACTCGCAGCTGAAACGAAAACGCCCGAATTTCCTGTCTCTATTCAGGTTCGAGGTGCCGCTCTGGTGCCGACTGTGCGCTACGCATTTGCCAGTGTGCCGAACAAGGCGCTGCTTGTGTTAGGCTTCATCATCGCGACAATTGGTGGGGCCGTCAATCCAGCCTTCTCCGTCGCGCTCGGGAAGCTCATCGCCACGATGGGCAGCACTGTGGACCAGTCGCAGGTGCTGCTCCTCTCGCTCATCGTGCTAGCCCTTGCTCTTGTGGAAGGTTTGCTCCTCTACATGCGCTACTTTGTGCTCGAGGCAGCCGCTGACGGCTGGATCCGCAAACTGCGCTGTGAGGCATACAACAATGTCTTGCATCAGCAGAAGAGCTGGTTTGACCAGCCTTCCAATTCGGCGCAGAGGATCTGCCAGTCGATCGCAAAAGACGGAGAGGATGCGCGAAAACTGATCGGCCAAGTGCTCGGCAACATTTGGTCGTCTTTTGTGCTCCTGTTCGCCGGGCTCGTCTGCGCTTTGGGCTTTGGCTGGCAGCTGACCTTGCTGGGCATCGGCTTTGCCATTGTGCTGATTGCTGCGTTGTGCGCACAAGCGGGAGCGCTCAACAAGCTCGAGTCGATCAACAAAGCGCATCGCGAGGCCGTCGTGAAGCACTTCTATTCGCTCGCTGCCAATATGCGCGGTATTCGCGCCATGGCAATCGAGCCAATCTTTTGCGAGCAGTTCGAAGAGTCCGTCGAGAGCGCATACGTGTCGGCGTTGCGCATGGCACCTCTCCAAGCCCTAGGATCCGGACTCGGCGAAGGTCTGACGTACCTGGCTGAAGCGGCGATCTATGCGCTCGGGGCGTATCTCCTCGCGTCCGGCACGTACGACCTGTCCTGCGTCACTATCACGCTGAATTTGGTCATCTTCGCATGTACCTTTTCGAGCCAAGGTGTCGCCTTCTTACCGGGTCTCATCAAGGCCGTGCAAGCGATTTCAGATCTCAGGCGGCTACTCGAGCTCGACGTCTACGGTCCCGAAAGACAGGGCGAGGGGAGATTCATCGTCTCGGGTGCCCTCACCTTCCAAGGCGTGCGTTTCGCTTACCCTTCGCGGAAGACGGAGGAAGTCCTCAAAGGCATCACCTTTACCATCCAGCCAGGAGAGTGCATCGCAATTGTCGGCGGATCGGGCTGCGGTAAATCAACCGTGGCTGCTCTTCTACAGCGCCTCTATGAGCCCAGCAGCGGCAGCGTACTTCTCGACGGCCGCCCGCTAAATGCGTACGACTGTGGCTATCTGCGCGAACACCTCGCCGTCGTCAACCAGAATCCAGACCTTTTCGACGCAACGGTAGCAGAGAACATCGCCTACGGTGCCAATCGCGTTGTTCGCCCGTGCGGATGGGCAGCGGGTGACAACGAGAAGCTTGCATCGTCCCTCGCATCACGTACGAACATCGAAGCAGCGGCTTGCGCTGCCAATGTGGACGAATTTGTGCGCTCGCTGCCACAAGGCTACGCGACGGATCTTGGCAACAGCGCCTCGCTTGTCTCGGGCGGGCAAGCGCAGCGCTTGGCTATTGCCCGTGCGATGGTGCGCAGTCGCGCGCGCGTGCTCATCCTGGATGAATGCACATCTGCGCTCGACGCGCAGAACCAGGTGGCAGTGATGGAGACTCTGTTTGCGAAGGGGCGAGATGCGGCAGAGGCCTGCAGACGCCGCGAGATGACGACCGTCGTCATCACGCACAAGAAGGAGATCATGCAAATGTGCGACCGGATCATCGTGCTGCAGCACGGTGTTGTCGCGCAGCAGGGCTCGTACCAGCAGCTGATCCAGCAAAAAGGTGGCGCGTTCACGACGCTGGCCAGTGCAGCAGAATCGGGTGCCTAGTTTGGGAGGGACCGCTGTAATATACTCTTGTTGCACGTGATTGAATGACCATAATGCGCACGCGCCTGTCTTGGTGACTCTGCAGCTACTGACCATGCCCTGCTCGCTCGCCGCGGGCCACAGGCCCAAACGCAATTCTATCTCACCGCTGTTTTCGAGACGGAGATGGCATTAAACTCGTGAACCGCCGTACAGGAACCTGAGAGCCCAAATTCTTACCACACGATGACAGCCGCGCATGCATTTGCACCTCCAGCTCTTGCTCTCGCGGCCTGCGGTTGCCACCGGACCCCAAGGCGAAAAGCGCCGCCTCCTACTTCCTCAGCCAAGCTGACCAATGCACAGTGCGAGCGCTCTTCCGTGGCCCGGAGAAATCGCTAGCCCTTGCGCTGCGCGGTAAGAGTACCGAGACCATCGCGATCGCGTCCAACCTCCCCGACAAGGAGACGCTGTGCAAGGCGTTCGACGGCGCCGATGTCGTCAGTGAGTACACGACTAAGCAACCCAAGGACGCCCCTAGAAGCGAGGCGCCACTCGGCAAGGCAGTGGTCGGCGCTTACCTCGCGGCGAACGCCAAGTGGCTGCACATTACCTCCATGCGCGTCGCTGAGAAGATCACATGTCTCATGTTGTCAATTCGGCTTCATGGATGTGCGCACATCGGGCCTACCACGATGCAGTGGGAATCGGTGGCTCGCATTGTGCTTCAGTTTGAACTCTGACAGAAATGGAAAATATGAACGAGTATTCCAAATATTCTAAGCAAACGGCACGCTTCTGATCCTCAGAGCCTTCAAGAGCAACATTGAGGACTACGGTTGAGTCCAATCTGTGCACGGTGCAAACCGGGCATCGCTGGAGAAAATGGTCATTGCCAAAGTCGAGCGGCAGATTTCGTATGAGAGGTCGCGGTATTCGAGGAGAATGGCCACTTCAGCGGGTTGGCACCTGTCGGGTTCGGGGCGTTAGAGAGGTGATCTGAAGGGCAATCCCAGGGGAGGGAGCTAGACTTCCCCGGGCCAGTGTAAGGGTATATGGTTAATTGCAGGGCCATTGTAGATATTCACTGAATGGGTATAGATGTCAATCACATTGCACGATGGTGGAAGATAACCCATAATAATGTAGTGAATGACTCTATTGGAAAGATATATATCTACTCTCCAAGGCTCCAGCACGGATTGAAGTTCGCGGCCTCAGAGTCTAGCAAATAAAGCAATGCGGTAGATCATCGAATGACCCAGAGACAGAGCATGCCGCCACTAAAGCACCCCCCCCCCAAACCCGGATGAGATAGAACAGGCACGTCATGCCGCGGGTGGGCGCTGGGCTCTGAGATCTGACAACGACCTGACGGCGGCACACTTGCAGAAGGGGCGACGAAGCTCATCGCAGCACAGCCAAGCGCATGTCGGCACATAACAGAGCGTGCCGGGCGCCGGCAGCACTATTGAACACCGATGCGGCAGGCTGGGGTAGCACGTCTGGGCTGCCAGCCAATGCAGCAGTGGTTATATGCTTCAGCAGCCCGAGAGCGTCCTCCGATGAATGCTTCCCTCATATGAAAACAAATGCCGCAACACCGTTGGTTGCCATTCTGCTAATGCCAATTACGTAATCAGGGGTCTTCTCTACTCTCCCTTTTCGGCGTATTCGGGTACTGCGCGTGCCGGCCCGCCGGGGCAGAGAGACACTTCTGAAGCCGAATATACGTAATATCCGGCGCAGTTTTTCTGGGAGAGCTGCGTCAGATTGACAAGTGTCTGCTACCCATTCCGTCTTTTACAGATCGGCTGCATTCATACGTCCATGAATATCTGCCCGTGCAGGTCCGTGTTGGCGTTGTGGTTTCTGCATTGTCTCCATATCATATCAGGAATTTGCTACTTGTACATATGTGATGGAGTCCATGTTCGCTCCGCTGCTCTAAAACCAATCTTCGGAAGAGCAGTCGGCTGCGTGGACCCCTTTGGGCCCCTCCGGCCGCTGGACCAGCTTGCTACGTCCAACCGATCCTTAACACGGCTCGAACCTCTTGGCGCTCTGCACGACCGCGCAAAAGACGAGTGGATCATCCACCCCTCAGAGCCGAGCGCAGGACAAGCGTGAATCGGAGTCTCAGGTGTCACGGTTACTCACGGTGTCGTCGTGGCACAGTTGATCATTCCGACTGAGTCGCCCGCTGCAGGAAGAGGAACCTACAGCTTGCACCAGTTCCTAGTGCCCTTTCAGTCGCCCGAAACACATGAGACGCTTCCAGGAATGGAAACAATCGAAATTGGCCTCAAACTGGTAGATGGTAGAGCCCTTGTGATGGACAATGGTTATATCGTCTTCAATCGCGTTGGCATACCGTGCGCCAATCTTGCCCGTTTTCAGCACATAGACCACGATGGACGATACAAGCTACGAAATGCGGAAGCAAAGGTCCTAACGAGAGGAATCACGATGCTCGTACGCGTTGGACCCATCGAAATCGCGGCGCATTTTCTCTCCCACGGCGTGCTGATCGCCATCCGCTATGCCGTAGTCAGGAGATAATGGTCGGCGCGTACATCCTCCAACGGACTGAAGCTGCAGATCATCGAGTACCCACATGTCCAGCAGCGTCTCTTCAATGCACTTGCATCGTCCTACGTTCTTTCCTTCACCGGCCGCCGCCTGCGCAAAATCTACAATCGAATGGTTGCACACTTAACTTCCCCTGAGGAGGATTCGCCGCTGCTCCGAGTCGTACATGGCTTCTAACCCACGCTGAAAGCCGTTTCGACGACCAAGAGGCTTGGGGGGAGTTAGCGATGCAGGAACAACATGGGCGTATATGGCTACAGCTTGGCCAGCGGATTTTCGGCCTTTGAAGTCAACCAGTCGAGTGCGAGGCTAATGCGAGAGGGCGATACACTCCTACTCCTCGGTGGACTCGCCGCGAACTCTCTCGTCGAGAGGTACGTGAAGGCGCAACAAACCGGCGAAGTGGAGCGCAAGGACATGGAGTGCCTGCTTTCCACTTCGCGAAGCGTCGATGATGCAGGAGCTTTTAAAGCGGACAAGCAGAGCCTCATGCATCCAGAGCGGCCGCCGCAAATCGTCTGAAAGCCGGTAGATCGCCTGACCGCGCAAACTCGCCGAATTGCGTTTTTTTGGTGGTGCGAGCTCCCCCGTAAGCGTTCGCACTCATCGCGACTCGGCGCGGGTTGTGCGTGCGAGCAAAGCCGTTCGCTTTTACCTCAGCCTTCACGCACTGGTCGCCTACCTCCGCGCGCGGCGTCGCCAGAAACTGGAAGCAAGGCGTTCGCAAGCTCATTGCTGGCGATGCGTTAACCATTGCTGTGGGCAAAGAGTCGCAGAGGCAGTGGGACACAGGGAGGCTAAATGCACGCAAAGGTATACAAGGTTGTAGAATATAGTGTAGGATACACGCAATCTCAATCTTGTTGATGGAATAATAATACTACAGATGGTATGAATGCACTGTATGTCGTTCAGAGCAAAGATGGAGAGAAGAAGTCAGCTTAAGGCCGAACAAGCCGAAACATGCGGTGACACTGCGAAGGCGTTGAGTTGAAGAGCAAGCTTCCAACATCCACCCAGGCTTCCTCTAAGCTCCATCCAAGCCAGGTCTTGGTGAGTGAGACAGGTCAGTGTAACTATGACATTTGTATCTCCGGGTCTTCGCAACTCCTCCCAAAGGAAGGCCGCTCGAGAAAATTGGGAAAGTTATCATCCTTCCATCTCGCAGAAGCAAGGTCCCTTCCATGAAAGACTCTCGCCGTTCCATATTCCCCTCGCTGTTCCTTTCGATGGCTCTCTAGCGGATACGAAGCATGTACTCACATTGTCTGTGTAAAGCTTGACAGAAGGGATGTCACAAAGGCATCAGCGAATGGGTCAAGAAGAAAGCTTCTTTAAAAAAAGTTGCACGCATATAAATGCAATATTCTGAACAGCTCCCATTTCCGGGTTCCGAGTTCCGGGACTTTCATCAACATCCGCCGACTTGTCTCCTCTCCACTTTATTCATGGCCTTGGCTGGGCATACGTATGGTGTCACACTTCGACCCGGAAGGAAGCCAGCCCCAAAGCATTTGCAGCAAGGTGACAACCCGCCTGCAGGGCTACAAAACATCCGGGAACGCAGGATCCTCCGTGGGCTCCATGGGACTGTGAGCTGGCAGAGTGCGAATCGGTGAGCGTCGTAGCCGAACAGAAAATCGCGTGTCGCCCCAGCTAAGGCCATCTCGCGCTCACTTGCCTATCAGAAGAACCGAATATATCGATGGGGCCTCCAGGTAAAGACTTTCAATTCGCTCGTGCAAAAGGCGGAGCACTGCTCAGTAAGGGGAGGGAGAGCAGCTATCATGCGTCGCCATCAGCGTGCGCTACTCTCTCAGGCCCACGAGTCGCTTAGGCGGGCCGCAAGCGGGAGCGGGGGCGGGAGCAGCAGCAGCAGCGGCGGCGGCGGCTGCAGTGGTAGCGGCAGAGGCAGCCGCAGCCGCAGCAACAGCAATAGCTACAGCAGCTCTGAGGTAGGCTGTTTATCTGGCTCACAATACACTGCACTTCCTTGCTCATCGCTAGCCACAAGCTCCAAAGTCATGCTACCTCCTCCTCCGCGGGACTTCTCGGTGCAAGAGCTTCTCAATCCTGGTTCGAGAAACGAGACCGAAGACGTTCGAAGTGATGGCCTTTTCTCGCGGCTCACCTTTCTCTATCCTCGGGCATGCTTTTCATACCCTTTCATGCCCGCTATTGACCGAACGATAATTGTGGCCAGGCGGCACGCCAGTACCAGCAGCGGCAACACGTCCTTGCTCACTTCGGTCAGGGAGTGCTCCAAGGTAGTGCTTGGTCGGCGTAACAGCTCATCACTAGCACCACAGTCGCCCGAGGCGGGCCGGGAAGAGATGCAGTACGACTACCAGCCACAGAGGTCGCTGTCACCAAGCCTTGCGGAAAGAGCAAAGGAACCAGTGGCATATTCCCACAGGAAGGAGACGTGGTGGGAGAAGCAGCAGCAGTTGCCACTGGCTTCAATACCCCAGGCAGATACATGCGAGTCTTCAATAGGGGCCCCATACCTTGATGGCGGCGAGGAGTGGCACGCCAGCCCTTACACAGGCCAAGCTACTACACAGCGGGTTTCCGGTCGCTCCTCCTCAGCGTTAGACCAGATCAGGATGCAAGTTGAGCGCAGAGCCTGGGATGCTGCAGTAAAGCAGGTCATCCACCTCATACAAGGACATCAAGCACAAATGCCGAGACTCCGGACTGATGAGGTCTTACGGCGACAGGAAAAGGCGAAGGAGAGCGATGTGGAACTCGTGTCAGTGGCAGATCTTGTTCTGGCAAGCTGGCTGGGCAAGGCGAAACCGAAAGCGAAGAGGGAGCACAAAGAGATCATGTTGCATCTCTGGCATGTCGCCTCGGAAGCGGGATTGCACTTCTCAGACACAGTAGCGGCGCGATACACGCATTATCTCGTCAAAGCTGGCGACTCCAAGGCTGCTGCCGGCGTGGTTAAGGCTCGGCTCATGGCTCTGCGGCAGGTTCAAAGCGGAGGGGCCAACGAAAATAATGGCAAAGCTCCAAGTCTGCACGTACTTTTCCGACAGTCGCAGTGTCTCGAGCGAGAAATCGATAAGGTCTGCACTCAAGGAATGTCTGTATACCGGGATATCATGCAGATGTGGGCGGATATGCTTCGACAGGGTTTACTGTCCACTCCGACATTCTCCCACTTGCGCTGGCTCATCCCCGCACTCGTGCGATTTGTGCGGATGGCACCGCTCGAAAATGCAGACCTTGCTTCGGCACTCAAAGTCTTCGTTGAACTCGAGTGCGGCAATGATGCTCCCTCATTGGATCTGCACACATTTACCACCCTTCTCTCTTTCACGCTATCCCATATTGGCAACAGCGAGCTTGCCTTGCAGCTTATCCAGCAGCACATTGGCCCAGCTTCGCGCTCCGGGCTAGTAGCGGACAATGCTGTGCGCAACGTCCTCTTCCAACATGCTGCATCCAAGCGCAGTCCAGACCTGATGACCATCGCAATGCAGCGCTCTCTGCTTGGGGCATCACCGGGAGAGGGGCAGCATCCGCCGCCGCCGCCTCCACCTTTCCAAACAGCACTTGCATTCGAACAGGCTTTTGGAGATGCAATAGAGGCCAACAACGTGCACGGCCTGGCGATCATGATGCGATGGGTCGTGCATGAGAATCTATGGCCTGGCGACGTACCTGACTTACGCAAGCAGCGCCTACGACGGCTGCTCGGCCACCTCTGGCCCGAACTGTTGACGCAGCCTGATCGCACGCGCCTCTTTCCGCAGCGTGGTGAGCAGGATTTCGCTTGTGCAGCGGACGACTACGTACTGGCCGCCGGCATGCATCTCTGCGTTGAGGGCGGACAGCGCGGCCTGGCACTCAAGATTTGGGAGCGCTTCAAGCCGCGAATTACCAAGCGCGCCAAGTCAGGCGTTCGCCCGGTGCCCTTGGAGCCTGCGACGATCTTCTTCAAGGCGCTGGGTGAACGAGCGGAGAAGCAGCGCAGACTCAAATCGCGTGGCGATCCTGCATCAGCGGCACGGTGGGCTGACCAGACGCTCCGCACGGCACGCATTACTTTTGGAATGCTGGACAGGCACTGGCAAGCTCACTCGCCGGCCATCCGCGTCGATCAGGCGTTCTGCAATGCGGTGCTCGAAGTGATCGCACAAGCGCTCGTCACGGTCGACATGTGCATGACTGGCAGGGAGTTTCAACGCATCCGCGGAACCATTCAGCGCGTCTTTGAGCGCATGATCGAAACCAAACTGTGCGTCTCTCCGCGGCATCAGCATCTCTATCACCTGTTGCTTGCGTCTAAAGAGTGACATGTAGTGTACAGCGAATTTGGAAAGAAGCGCGAAGCGCTCATAGCCACTGTGAATCGCAAGCAAGTTAGAAAGTGATTGTCAGCTGCATTATCCTCCCTTCCTGGGATAGGGCCGAGTACGCACCTCGATAGTTGCGGGAGGCTTGGAGGAGATGTCAAGGACGACACGGTTGACGCCGGCGACCTCGTTGGTGATGCGATTGGAGACTTTGCACAGGAAGTCGAATGGGAACGGGAACCAGGTGGCAGTCATGAAGTCGGTCGTCTGCGCCGCACGGAGGGCGATGACCTGGTCGTACGTCCGCTTGTCGCCTTGGACGCCGACGGCGCGTACCGGTAGGAGCACCGCGAACGCCTGGCTAATCTGGTCGTAGAAGCCAGCATTGCGGATCTCCTCGATGTAGATCTTGTCGGCGTGCTGCAGGATCTTGACCTGGTCGCGTGTGACGGGCCCGAGGATGCGGATCGCGAGGCCGGGGCCAGGGAACGGATGGCGCCCAACGAGGTGCTCCGGGATGCCCATGACGCGGCCGAGAGCGCGGACTTCGTCTTTGAACAGCTCGCGCAGCGGCTCAATGAGCTTCAGCTTCATGTCTTCCAGCAAGCCGCCAACGTTGTGGTGCGTCTTGATGGTCGCCGAGGGTCCCTTGAAGCTGATGCTCTCGATCACGTCCGGGTACAGCGTTCCTTGTAGCAAGAACTCAAACTTGCCCTTGGCCTCGTGCGCCTTGCCGCTGGCCAGCGCCGCTAGCTCCTCTTTCTCCGCCTGCTCCTCGAGCTTGGCGACCTCTGCTTCAAAGACATTGATGAAGGTGTTGCCGATGATCTTGCGCTTTTTTTCTGGGTCCTCTACACCCTCCAGCCGACTGAGGAAGAGATCAGAAGCGTCGACGATGGTCACGTTGACGCCTAGATCTTTGTTGAGCATCTGGTCGACCTGCTTGGCCTCGTCTGCTCGCAGGACGCCGTTGTCCACCATGACGGCGTGGAAGCGGTCGCCGATAGCCTCGTGCATCAACTTCGCGGCGACACTACTGTCCACACCTCCTGAAATGGCGCCGAGGACGCGACCTTTCGGACCGACGATGTCCCGGATGCGTTTGATCTCCTTGTCGATGAATGTCTCCATCGTCCAGTCTCGCCGGCACTTGCAGATGTTGGAAACAAAGGACTCGAAGAGCTCTTTGCCGCGCGGCGAATGCGTCACCTCGGGGTGGAATTGGATTCCATAGATAGGTTTTGTCCTGTGAGCGATGGCAGCGAACGGTGCCGTCGGCGTGCGCGCGACGACCTCGAAGTCAACAGGAGCCTTGGAGAGCTGATCGCCGTGCGACATCCACACGGGTACCTCGCCGCTGACATCCTCGAACAAAGCATCCATGTGCTTGTCTCCCGTCTTGACAATGCTAATAGTAGCACTACCATATTCGCGGTGATCATGTGGGTCCACCTTACCGCCGTGGTTCCATGCGATCTCTTGCAACCCATAGCAGATGCCCAGGACGGGGACACCAGCTTCAAAGACGTCTGGGTCGACACGTGGCGCACCGTCGTCGTAGACCGAGTACGGGGAGCCGGACAGGATGATCCCCTTTGGCTTCCAGTCCAGGTCCTTGATCTTCTGGGTGCACGGCAGCATCTCGCAGTACACGTTCAGCTCGCGGCATCTTCGCGTGATGAGGTGCGAGTACTGAGAGCCAAAATCGAGGATCAGAATGGTGTCATACTGACTGTGGATAAACGGGTCGGCCATGTTGGGCAAAATACTGCGAGCTGCTGGATCGGCACACGATGTATCTCTTTGTCTTCCCAGCAGGCTGCGAAGACCTTCAAGGATGACAAGGTCTCTTCCCGAAAAGACCACCCTGATCAGATGTTAGCATCTCTAGTCTTTTTTTGCTGAGAGGTTGAGGTGAACTCCATTCCAGATTCTCCGACGAGACGCCCAAGAAAAAAAATTCTTGTCTCAACGCGACGCAAATGGATATGCAATGTAGGGTTGCTACACGCATTCTTTCTTTTTCAATTCTCGTGCGAGAAAAGAAATAACCCAAACTTCTACCCGGCTGCTTTGGAGGCTATCACCTTTGTCGGTGTCGTAGGTCCTAAGTTACGGACACGTGTCTTCATGCGTAGTGGGTTGGCGACACCAGCATCTCGTCGGACTGGAACCTGGCCGTCGCGCGCGAGCAGCTGCAGCGTTTTTGGGTGACAGAAGCGCTCAAATCCAGGGAAGGCGGCCGAAGCGACGAGCAGTCGGACTGGGCAGCGGTCAAGATGCGCAAGGATGTGCGCATCGTGCTCGCCGGTGATGCCAATGTGGGAAAATCTACGCTCATTACATCCTTGATCAAGGAGCAATATGTCGCCCGGGTGCAGAAGGTCCTACCAGAGATCACCCTGCCGGTGGAAGTTGCGCCAGAGGGGGTGGTGACCAAGATCAGTGATACCAGTTGTGAGCTTGACTCCTTGCATTTGTGGCCACCTGATACAAGTAGCTTGACGCTGAGATTATATACACCCTCTGGCAGCCTCCCCAGAGAAAAGGTCACATATGGAGAGTGAGCTACGACGAGCGAACGTGATTTGCATCGTTTATTCCATCGAGGCTCCAGCATCGTTCGACCGAATACCCAACTATTGGCTGCCCTACCTGCGATCGCTCGGCATCAATGTCCCCGTCATTCTCGTAGGGAACAAGATCGATCTACGGTCAGGTGATGTCACAAACAAGGCACTGGAAGAAGAGCTGGCACCAATCATGACCGAGTTCAAAGAGGTAGAGACGTGCGTCGAGTGCAGCGCCAAGATCCCTCTGAACGTGAGCGAGGTGTTCTACTTTGCCCAAAAAGCGGTTCTATACCCTACTGCTCCCCTGTACGACTCGCGGAGCCACGCACTCAAGCCTGCCTGCGTCGAGGCGCTCAAGCGGATATTCAAGCTGTGCGACATGGACAAGGACGGGCTGCTGAACGATTACGAGCTCAACGATTTCCAGCGGAGATGCTTTGATGCACCTTTGCAAGCGCAGGAATTGGAAGGTATTAAGGACGTCGTCGCGGATGGAGCACGCGAAATTGGATGGAGTCCAGAAGGGAATGGCAGCGATCCTGGGCTCCACAATGGTGGGAATGGCGATTACTTTGGGCGCGCCTCCAGCAGCAGCGATGGAGGCCACAGCTCGTACTACGACAACCCACATTTACGCGACAATGGCTTGACGCTCGCTGGCTTTCTCTACCTCCATACTCTGTTCATTCGCCGTGGAAGGCTAGAGACGACATGGACTGCGTTGCGTACATTCGGCTACGGCTCGGACTTGGCGCTGGTCGACTCATTCGTACACCCGCCTTTCCACGTCTCGGCGGACTGCTCAGTGGAATTGTCGCCGCACGGGTACCAGTTCCTGACAGACATCTTCGAGGTCCACGATAAGGACCATGACAGTGCCCTGTCGGATGAAGAGCTCGCGAATCTGTTCAGCACCGCTCCTGGCAATGCGCATCCATGGAAAGGGACTGGCTTCCCGCAGGAGACGACCATCACGAACGAACACGGTTCCGTGACGCTGCAAGGCTGGCTCGCGCAATGGAGCATGACAACACTGCTTGACTACCGCACGACACTGGCGTACATGGCCTACCTCGGCTACCCTTCCTTCTCGGCGCTCGGCATGCACGTCAGCACGTCCACGCCTCCGAGCCTGCAGTCACCGGTGGACGAGCTGCCGGGCGCGCGCAGAGCGGGCGGGGACAACACGGGTGCGGCGAACGGAAATGGCTATGGCGGTCACAGCAACAGCAGTACAGCCAAGGGAATGAACACGTTGGGAGCCTCCTCGCCAGCACCGATCTTCTTGAGGCGCAAGGGCAAGGACGCGCTGCCACACCCGGACACGACGTCGGCGTTGAAGGTGACCAACCCGCGGCGGGCGGACCGCAAGAAGAAAGGCCGCGTGCAGCGCAATGTGTTCTTAGCGCTTGTATTTGGCGGTGCGGGGAGTGGGAAGACGAGTCTGTTGCGTGCGATGATCGGGAAGCGGTTCAGCTTTGAGTACGAGCCTACTGGGATACCGATCAGCGCCGTCAGTGCGGTGGAGCATGCCGGTGCTGAAAAGTATTTGGTGGTGAGTGAACTCCAGTGAGCGTCTTTCTGCCGGACAGGTCTGAATTTGCTTTGTGCCCCTTTCCTTGCACAGCTCCAAGAATACGGCTCTCACAACGAAGCCGAGGCGCTGCGGTCGACAGCGAAGCTGAACGCAGCGGACGTGATCGTCTACGTGTACGACTCTTCGGACACGAACTCGTTCTCGCACATTTCCAACCTGCGTCAGAAGCACTCGTCGTCGACATTGTCGTACGGGTACCTGCTCAGCGGCATACCGTGCCTGTTTGTCGCGACGAAAGCGGACCTGGACCTGGCAGTCCAGAGGCACGAGGTTCAACCGGACGTGTACTGCCGCAAGCTAGGGATCGCCATCCCCGGACTGGGCGCAGGGCCGCTGAACGTGAGCGTGCGGATGGACCAGCTGGCCGAACTATTTCAGCGCATCGTCGGCATCGCGGTCGACAGCCGCGGCGCCGTACCGGGTGGCCGGCGCGCCGACGGCGCACTGACTGGTCTCACGCGCGGGCGGTGGTGGCTGTACGTCCTGTTCGGCGTTGTGTGCAGCACTGGCGGCGTGCTGTTCGTGGCAAAGCGGTACGGGTCCGTGCACGTCAGAGGGATTGGCCTGTCAGCGTCCGGCTCCCTGCCCTCTGCGGGCGGCTCCACTTCTTCGGCAGGCACGCCCGGCGCAGGCGCAGCATGGCTCGGCGCGCTCTGGGGAAACGTCGCAGGCGGCAAGCGAGAACTGTAGGCGGGTTTTTTTCCTTTTTCTTCACTTGCGTTCGTCGCTCTCTCTAGTTGACCCTGTAGCACAATGGCATAGTATCAGCATCGGCTGTCCAAACGGCTCCCCCCCCCTCCGGGAAAGGTTCTGGCTCCCGTCGTGATCACTGCCTGCGGACTGCCGTCGATGGAGTGTCGACAAGAGTGGGGGGTAGATCCACGGCCGACGATTCATCAAGTCGCGAAGGTCACAAAAGAAGTAATACTGCAAATGAGATGGTTCCTCTTTCTCTCCACCCGCAGTCGCTTGACACAATTGGCTGCACACACAGAGCGAAACGGACATGGAATTAAGTGCATGCACCGAGTCCGACAGTGGCTGGTGAATGTGGCGGTTGTATAAGCCGATCGTAGAGTATCGCTGAACCAAATGTCTCCCCGGCAATCTCTTGTGCGCGCGGTAAACGCGGCAATCTGCCCTTTTAGTTGCTGAGCTAAGAGTGCGTTTCCCCTTGTCGATCGACATTCCTCTATTCCGTATGCACTGCGTTGCGCCTCGTTGGGATGAGGTTCTGTCCTCGCTCGGGCATCCCCCGCGAAGAGTATCAATATAAAGAGGATCCGGCGACAAAGGAATGAATTATTGCATCTCCCCAGCTCCTCGCTCTGCCCTCTTCCTCCCAGCTTCTTGCATTCGGCCCCGCTTGCACCCAGCCCTCCATCTTCGACAACCTGCAAGACAGCATGGCACCCGTCGCTACCGACTCGGCCGTGCCCTCCCTCAAGGAGAACCTGACCTTAATGTGAGTACGATGTTTGTTGGCTAGTTTGATGGGGACATTGCTTCCTCGAAGGGGGTAAACGTAGGACGGGTCGGGCCTGCTTTGCTCTCTGCTCCTCTGTGCTGATACGAGTGGCGCAACTTGCTGATATCCTACGCTCCCTTTCCATGTATGATCTCGCTGCTCTGCACCTGGTTGCCTACCTGCTCTCTAGGGCCACGCACGATTGTCAGCTCAAGCTCGTCAAGTCTGATGCGCCCAAGCCTGGTCCTGGTCAGGCTCTCGTGCACGTTCGTGCCACCGGGTATGTTTGAGAAAAGCTCCTTCAATTGGAAAGTACAAACTGCTGATTCCTTACATCCTTATGCTCGCCGTTTTTGTGACATTTGCTTCTTCGCTCTTGACCAGTGTCTGCGGCTCTGACGTGCACTTCTGGAAGCACGGCTGCCTCGGCCCCTGGACCATCACCGACCAGACCGCGCTGGGACACGAATCAGGCGGAATCGTCATTGCTGTCGGTGCAGGCGTGACAAACGTCAAACCTGGTGACCGCGTCGCTATCGAGCCCGGTGTACCATGCGGTAAAGCTACGTGCAAATATTGCCTGACGGGCCAGTACAACCTTTGCCCAACGGTAGATTTCTACAGGTGAGGTCCTACTGCTCAAGCAATGCTGGCGCTGTACTTATGCAAATGACCCATGATTCACTCCCCTTTCCCTCTCCTTTCTTCTCTTTCCTTTCCTAGTGTTCCGCCCGCAAACGGCACCCTTACACGCTACCATGTCCACCCAGCTGGGTGGCTTCACAAAGTGCCGGACTCGCTCTCTTACGCCGAGATTGCCTGCTTGGAGCCCTTGTCCGTCTGCTTGCACGCCACGCAACGCGCCGACATCCGTCTCGGCCACCCGGTTCTGATCACTGGTGCAGGGCCTATCGGGGTAGTACAGCTTCTTTGCGCAAAAGCAGCCGGCGCAAGCCCCATCGTCATTACGGATCTGCAGCAGGACCGATTGGACTTTGCAAGAAAGCTGGTGGCGGATGTGGAGACGTACAAGGTGGATGTGAACAAGACACCTCGGGATGCTGCAAGGGAAATTGTTGCGCTCTTCACCAAGGCGGCGGGTGGCGTTGAGGAATTGATGCCCTCGATCGCCATGGAATGTACTGGTGTTGAGTCCAGTATCTCTACTTGCGCGTGTGAGTGATCTCTTCAGGTGCAACCTCAAACGAACTTCTTATGAAACCACTGAAAAAATCAATCCTCTCTTGGCTCCGTTCTCCCGGCAGTCTCTGTCGCTCCGGGTGGAAGGATCATGGTCATTGGTGTCGGCAAGCCTAAGATTTCGATCGATTTCATGCACATTTCTACCAACGAGCAGACTTTGCTCTTCCTCTTTCGATACCGCGATACCTGGCCCAAGGCCATCCGGCTCGTCGCTTCCGGAGTCATCAACGTCAAGCAAATTGTAACCTCTACCTTCCCCCTCGAGAAAGCAAAGGAAGCTGTCGAGCACGCGGCTGACCGGACCAAGTTCTCAGTTAAGACAATCATTGTCGATGATGAATAAACGAGAAAAGTTAGCGCTTGAGGACAGAATTGGGCTGATGCTCAGTAATGGATACATCGGGTTAATAATAGTATACGCATTGAGGCTAGCGAATCGATCAAGAGGAAGGCAAGCCGGCCTGTTTTGCAAGTCCTATCCATTGACATCATTGTGATAAAAAGTTAGACTGCCACAATCTGTCTCACGCCTGCTATCGCTTCGGACAGCCAGCTCGCTTCGATCGCGCTGACGCAGCGCACAAACAGCTGAGACGTCAAGACCACTTCCTCAAACACAATCACATCCGGCTGTCGATGTGCGAGGACAGAGGATGGGTGTATTTTAACGATCTAGCAGTGTCGGAAAGCAGATAGTCACGTCAGAGCCGTGTAGCAGAAGCGAGTGAGTTCGGCAAGTTCTTACTTACATCACTACCACGCTTGTACCCCGGCCCTTCGGGGTTGCGGTAAGCACATTGGTGCGTGCGCGCAGGCAGCAATGCCTTGCGCAGTTGCTCATACGATTCATCCTGCAACGTCTGCCAATTGGCGCGCATAGCAGCTTGCTGGCCCGGGCGACTGACAAACATGCCATCCGCAGTAGCGGCGCCGGCACCGGCGAAGAACGCTTTATCTTGGCCGTCGCCGTTGTCGCCATCATCGTCGTTGTTGAAATCTTGCGAGGAAGAACCCGCGGTGGACCCGTCGCGCTTTCGATGCAAGGAGCTGCCGTCCTCGTCATCGCAGACGATCCCCCGCTGCTTGCAGATGCGCTTGAGCTGCTGCCGGATGGCGAAAATGTTCGACATGGTGCGATAGTGGATGAAGTGCTTCTCGCACCAGGCACGAACCTCCTCTCGCCCTTGCTTGGGCGTTTTTGCGAACTTCACTGCTTGCTCTGATATGGCGATGAATTGGTACAGCACAGAGAGGAACGTCGCGTGATCGCCGCTCCGATGAGCCAGGCTGGCGCGCGCAAGTGATGCTTGCTCTTTCCGCTCCGAATCGTTCGGCTCGAAAAACATACCCCGGTCGGCACTGAGGATCGCCACAAGGTCCCGTGCTTGTCGCGCCACCGTCGGTGAGACCTGCCCCGCCGCCAACAAAACACGAGCAAACGACGGTGAGAGCGGAAGCATAGCCATTTTGGCCCCCAGCGGAGAGATCGCAGGTGCCTCCTGCGATTCGCCCGCCTTCTCCAGAATAATCGCACCGAGCTGCATGAGCCGCACCATGGTTTGCGCAATGTCATCCCCCGCGGGCGCATCGAGCCAGTCGAAGCTCATCGGGTTGCGGCCAACGGCACAGAGCTGCAGGCATGCGTTTGCAAGGTCGACTTTGAGGATATCAGGCGTGGGGCTCTCCGCGAGGCCTTCGAAGGCGTGCTTCGTGTATAGATGAAAGCATGTCCCCGGCCCATCACGTCCTGCACGACCTGCACGTTGCATCGCTGAGGACCGTGAGATGGGCTCGGACTCGAGGATCTCGACGCCGGTCGCGTGTGAGTATTTTTTGACTTTAGACAGACCCGAATCGATGACATACTTGATGCCAGGGATGGTGACCGACGTTTCGGCAATGTTCGTCGCCAGGACAATCTTGCGCGTGCGCGGCGGCGTGGGTTGGAAGACGGCCATGCTTGCGTCTGAGCCAAGCGCAGCATACATAGGTAGCACGAGCATATCATCTGGCGGCTGTTTTGAAATCCGTCGTCTTTTATTGGGATTGCCTGCTCCATTGACGTCTTCCGCAGGTGCGCCTTCCAGCTTGGTCTCGTGCCATGCTTTCAACTCTTTTCCATACGACTCGAGCTGACTGCGCAACTTTTCGATCTCCTCCTGACCAGTCATGAACACCAGAACATCGCCTGGAGGGTTCTCCAGATGGACCTGCAGAATTGTTCGAAGTGCTGCGTCCGCCCAATCTTCGCAGCTGTCGACTGTGTGGCATATGTCGACCGCGTGCTGTCGGCCTTGCACGTATAGGATAGGCGCTGGCGCTATCTTTCCTGCGCTCTGTTGTCCAAAAAAGTCGGCAAATTTTTGTGCGTCCAAAGTAGCACTCATGACGACGATCTTGAGCTCTGGCGGTGCTTCGTCACGTGCTTTTCCATTCACTTCCGTGCTAGCGTCATTATTCTTGGACTGTAACCATTCTAGCCGCCTGCGCTTTCGATCGCGTTGAATGCTTTTGGCGAGGCCGAGGACAAGATCGGTATCGAGGGTCCTTTCGTGCGCTTCGTCGATGATCAGAACCGAATAGCGCGACAACAGCGATGGTTGTAGGTTTCGGCAACCGGCGTTCGTTTCTATCATCTGCGCAAGAGTTTGCAGGCCTCGACCCATCATCTCACGAAGGACAAAGCCATCCGTCATGAATTTGATGCGTGTCGATGGACCGGTGCGATCGTCGAATCGAATCGAGTAGCCCACGAGGGCATCGTCTTTGCTTGGGCCAGCATGTGCTGCAGCAGAAGCTGCGCCATCAGTCTCGGCGCCGCCATTGGTAAAAGTGCTCTTTCGCCACATGCTCCCTTTAGCGGAGCCATGAAGCACAGCATGACTGAGACTTTGCGGATCAGGACACCCCATCTCTTGAGCGACACGCCGGGCCAGCGAGATGGCTGCCACTCGACGCGGCTGGGTGACGCCGATGAGAAGGTTCTGGCTTCGGTCGTTGGAGTTGGAAGCTGCACCGCAGAAGCCAGCCTCATACAAGAACTGTGGTATTTCTGCCCGGCCGCACTCAGTGTCGTCAGTGGACATGTGCCAAGTGTCTCCGTCCAGCTTTCACTCACGGGTCGTTTTCCCGCTGCCCGTCTCTCCCAGGAGAATCACGGTATCATTTTCACGCACAGCCTTGACGATTGCGTCTCTCCCTGCCCAAATAGGCAGCTCTTTCCTGGATTCCAGAATCCGGGTGTCGACATTCCTTTCCAACGCTTTCCACTTGCCCTTCATGGGGTTCGCCGACGCCCCACTCGCGTTCTTCGTGGGCGAGAGGCCAGAAGAACCAGCCTTGAAGTTGGCGAAGCCTGCTTGAGCCGCAGCCTTGAGAACGGATGAAGAATCCTCGTTGGTCCACCCTTGGGCACCCTGGCCATTCGAAGAGTTCCGGGCGGTGTGGAGACCATTAATAGCAGTTAGATGTGATTTCCTCCGGAAGTCGCAGCTCGAATCATCGCCATTGGTGCTGGCGCTGGCCGCATCGTGATCAGATTCTTGCGCAATCAACCTGAGGTCAGGGTTGATACTGGCGCCTCCGTTCGACTTAGACCCTGCAAATACCGGCTTGTAGCTGTCAGGGCCAGCATCGGCCTGGCGGTGTTTCTTCTTGCCCATGTTGTCGATATGACTGGCTCCACTGGTCTTGGATAACTTCGCCGCACTGTGCCTGCCCTAAAAGGAGACAGCTGCGCGATTCGGAAGCATCAGGTTTCAGTGGTAGAATAAAGGCACCCTTCCTCGTTTCAGCGATCTTTCCAGCACTCCGCTGTCTGCCGTGGGAGTGTACCTGATGTCTCGAAATGCGGTTTTTGTGCGTGTATGACGGCGTACCATCTTTCCGAGTCCCTCATCTCGAGCGATGACCATGGTCGCAAAGAAAAATGATTTTTGGCGCGCATTCCGAATCCCGCCGTTCCCGAAACGCACAAAAAAAATAACTGAACCCTCGCATATCCTACTTCTATTGTACTCAAAGATGCCGTATGCGAGAGTAATGCGCCATCAATCCCATACATTGGCTTAACGCGAAAGCAACGCAGATGCATGCAGTGAATATCGCGCTGCTCTGCAACCGCACTGATGCGACTTGGCGAGCATCGTGTGTCAAGCCCAGCTGAACTCAGTCGGTCCGACATGAAAGATGGGATTGAACAAAGTAAACTAAAATACTGGAGCCAATACACCTCGTTCAACGATGGTTGGACGCGAAGTGCAGGCGCCGCCACTACCAATGCAAGGTATTCGTGCGGATAATTACTCTCGAGAGATGCTGATAAAGTCGTGAGCCGATCGTTGCTGATGCGTCGTGTGCAGAGTGAGAGAGTTGGGGAAAAAACGGAATCAACAAGTGAAGATATCGTGCGCCATTCGTATCTTGATCAGCTCGAGAGCTTGTTCTGCTTATTTTAATGGAGGGACGCCTATTAACTCGGTTCTTACTTCATCGACCCATCAAAAGTCTCTGCTATCCATGTGACCATGCATGTCGCCTGTGTCACCGCCGATGTTTCCGAGAACGCCACCCTCGAAGTCACCATCGCCCAGATCCCCTCCACCAGCATCACCTCCATCATCCGTACCACAGTCAGGTAAATTGACAGGTTCTAGAGTGAAGTCGCTCGGAGCCGGCTCCGGTTCGTGGGCAGGGGCGCCTCCATCGCAGGTTGTTCAGCTGGAGGATAGGGGTCCGCTGGTTCATGGGGATCACCGCATTCTCTGTCTCGCTGACGACCTGTTGGTACGAGAAGCCGAGGATGGGAATGAGGTCAGGTCGCACCGCCAGCGCACACCGTTTGCATGTGGAAAGTACAGAATGGCGGGAGAGCAAATCATGGGAGATACAATTTTCCGGACCGGTACCGTCGCCTTCACCGGGTGCAGGAGATGTATGGATGCATGTACCATCACCGGCAAGAGGCCGCTACCGTCAGTGGGAGGGGTGCTGCCGTCAGCAGGGGGGGCTACCTTCCGCGGGAGGGGTGCACTGCCGTCTGCTGTAAGGGCGTTACCGTCCGTTGAAGAGGCGCTGTCGTCAGCTGGAGGGGCTGTAGGAGGGCCGCATTCAGTAGCAGAAGGGGTGTCACCAGCAGGGAGGGGCGCTGCCATTGGTGCGAGGAGGACCGGCGCTGCTGGCTACGGGAAGGATGGTAGGAAGAGGTGCACCAGTGCCGCCATCGACAAGAGGAGCGCTAGGAGCCTGCTCGGCTCTCCCCATCAGTGCCACTGCCAGCACCTAGTGCAGTTGGGCGTCTGGGGTCGTTGAGCCTGGGTTGTCGCTATCTGTTGTGTTGTTGCCCATTCCTTTCGTTCCAGAGCCGGGAGTCAATGTGCCATCGCCGCAGCTTCGAGCGTCACGACCTATGGGCGTCAGTGGGTGAGCGCGAGGACTGTCACGCTGGATGAGAAGATGAGCTCATGCGAGATACATCCTGCTGACTAAGAGTCTCCGCCTGGTGTGGTGAGGCTGGTGCTCCTCGTAAGGTTGCTTCCCTCACCTGGCTTGTGTCGGGTACAGATGGAGCGCCCGCGGTAGGCGGACTGTCGGAAGGTGAGCTGCCAGAGGATGGGTTTCCAGCAGGAGGATTGCTTGCGGGAAAATGATTGGCAGGCAGGTGATTGGCAGGCAGGTTGTTAGCAGGAGAGCTGTTGGAATCAGCAGCACCGCTGTTGCCATCGTTACCGTTGTTTCCGTTGTTTCCGTTGCCATTTCCGTTGTCGTTGTCACCACCGTTGCCACTAACGACACCGCTATTGCTACTGTTGGCGTTGCTGCCATGGTCCCTTGGTACTGTTCCTAGGAGGCCTGAGTATGGCCTTCCATGTGCGCGACATCAGCGCCCTCGAAATGTTGGTCGAAGGTGCCTGCATCGCGCAAGATGTCGTTGACCCCCGCAGTGCGTTGAGGATGCTGCGTTTTGACGTCCTCAGTTCGTGTACAAGGAAGCAGTGTTTACCGCATGAGAATCGACGGTGGGACCGTGCTGATGGACCCATGCTTCTTACTGACGACGGCAGGCCGATGTCTACTGGGCCCAGCCGTACGCACCTGGAGACTAGATTAGGTGGATCCCTTTCCCAATACTGTGAACCCTGTTGGGAAAGGGAAGGATGAGGCAGGGGGAATGATTCATGAGCAAAGACCAATGTTCTTTTGGCTGATATTGGGAGGGAGGTGAAGGCCCCGACTCCGTATGCACTAGTCCTTTCGTGTTAATATTACCGCGAATACAGTATGCGCCGATGCCGTTTAACTAAGGGAAGTCATGCAGCGACCGCTGCACCAGATCGGGGACTCTTCTGGTGAATGTCTGAGGGTTAATTCCTACACCCCATGTTCGGTGGGTCCGTGACCTGGTGCGCGTTAAGGAGCGCGGTGTTGACATTGATTGCCGCTTTCGTGTCTACAACTACTGGGCTCGCGGTAATCGACTCCACCAGTACGACAAAGGTCATGAAGCCCCCTTGCAATCGCAGGAACTACAATAGTGCTGAGCCGAATGAGAGGGAATGCTGACAGTTATCATGACCAGAAATCCAGCATTGGACTGGATTTGGCACAGACACGCAAGAACTCACTTGCATCGGAGCAGCTGCGCCCTCGCAGGCTAATGGTCAGACTTGCAAGGAGCAGACAGCTGGAAAACCACAGCAAACCAGACCAGATGGACCAAGGCCACGGATCTCGCTGCTGCAGGACGCACGACGGTGGGGAAGCAGCCTCATTTTTCCAAGGGATTCTCCTTATAAATGTATTTGGGGGATGTTAAAACATCCTTTGGAGGATTGAATGAAGCTGGGTCATAGAATAGGCCTCAAAAGAAGCTATTGAATACCCTGATTCCGTCATTCCCTCGCAGCGTTTCGATTCGAGTAGATATCATATTGCGCCGAAGCATATGGCGCATACAGCCAGCCTCGGAAATCAGGCAGCAGAAGGCGCCAAAGACCTGTGCATATAGCATGTTTTCTTGAACAATGTTCAAGCGTCGGCCGCCAAGCTTCAACGATCCAACAGACAATCCCTATGTATGTGATGCAGAGTAGTATGAAGATGGTCGGGATCTAGTTGGGATCGGGTATATAGATACTGGAACGATTTGACTCGTTGGTGAGGCTTGTACTGGCGCTTTACCACGTACAAACTATGGACTTTGGTTGATGGTATAGTCGGGTCTACATGGCTGTGATGAGAAGCTCGAGGTGATTCCACGCTGTGTACAAGGACAAGTACTCCAGGGAGCCAGGCGTCGTCGGGACGCGAATCTCCGATCTCCGTGTGGCTGGTTCCTTAGCCTGCACAGATCTGCGCTACTCCGAGGTCTAATCGTTCCTCCTCCATGCGTGAAAGTGCCGTCCCATGTCGAAGGCTGGAAGAGCTGGAAGCTGAGTCGCAAGTCGGAACCGGAAAATGTTGATGCAATGGAATCAAACGGATTGCCGTCCTACGGAGTTAGTCTAAATGTGGTACATGGGCTGAATCGCAGCAAACATGGCGCAATGCTGGCCCTGTTCCACTCGCGGGCGCTCCGAGTTCAGACTTCAGGGCCGGGGGTTCAGATCACGAGTATTAGCTGGTGAAAGGCAATGATGAAGGAGCATGTCATCATCATGCCTATGCGAGTATTGAACGGGTTGATGTTGGAGTGTCGATCAGTTGCTGGAGTGTTATTGCTTTGTTGTAGCCCGCGTCCAAAGGCTAAATTTTCCCAGATCTGCAAAGATGATGAAGCGTCTGTGACACCCGCCAGGCGTGGTGGCCGATGAACAGGGCTCAGTCGTGATCGGGCTCATGAAGATAGTGGCGCATGGCAGGGCAGTTGTAGAGTAAACGATGGGGAGGGATCCTCTTGTACAGAGCTACGCACATACTGACCCTGACCTTGTGGTAAACTGGTTCCCACTCTATATGTAGAATGTAAGACCAATTGGGGGTGACCATGACGTGGGATACGTTCTGGCCTCTGGGCTCGGCGACTGGTCTGGGTAATCCACACGATCATGGTATGGACCATACGGCGCAGTAATACGTAACCCATTCATCGTAGATTTAAATAAAATCCGTGATATACGAATGAAGCAAGCAGAGTGTGGCAGAGTTGATTACGACCACTCATGCTCTAAAAGCATCTCCAGATCCATAGTCTGAAACTGTACAAAGTAGAGTACCTTGTGCAAATGTGTGAAGCGCACACACATTAACACCTTCGACATTGCCAGGTCTGGCTCACACACTTTCAGATCATCAAGTAACAATATATGTATAATCACTTATTCTCGCTCAGCCACTTTGTCCCTTATGAATGTGAACCGTTCACCATTCATATGCACAATTGCCATTTGACAAGGCAACGTCCCGTCCGATTCACTTGCATCACAATGCCGAATGTGTGTGAATTAGTCGAAACTCACATTTCAGATGGACAGAGGGATCATAGTCCTCGGGTAATAGGCAGGAGATGCTACAAAATGTCACATTTTTGCAAGGTAACTGTGTGCCTTCAGCCGAGCTCACTTCCCTAAGCCTGTACGTCGTGTACATATCTTATTAATCTTTCTGGCGTTCGCCGAGCTTTGCATTGGTTCTGGAATCTGAATCTGCAAAATTGGGAAGTGGGCTTAACGTGTGTTGCGCAAGGCCATTTGTATGTACACTCTAATTTACACGACAGCCTTATTGTCTGTAATCGAAGCCAAAAAGCGGTTCGTTAGTCCTTGGGGGTAGAAAATAGGCTGCGCCTGGAAGAATGCTGAGCGTTGTGAGGCCATGTAGTTATAGAATACAGTGAAGTGCTTTGGGAAGTGAGGATCTGAAAGCCCATGATGTAACCCATCCACAACAGAAGGTCGAATGCTGCACATTTATAAGTATCGCCTGCATGTCCAATGTGTCAGATGATCGAGGAATTGCTCTGGCGATACCGAGCTGCAGTAAACGCAGCTCAGTCCCCAAGCACTCAACGCCCAAGGCCTATAGGTGGCTATATCTACCTTTGTATCTCTTTCCATTCTTTCATCCGCAATCCTTCGGGTTAAAGACGTTGGGCAGTTGGGTTGCCTCTGACACTTCGCTCAGTATTTCACGACCCTCCAGCTCTGGCTGGCGGATGTCTTCCGCGATGAAAATCTGGTCAGCAACCTCAAGCAGGGGCCTAGTTGCGCACGTTCAAGCTGGTTCTCCTGTTCGTCTTTTTGTGCGTGTAGTTCTCGTCCATGAGGATGAACGCCATGAGAACGATGTTACGGACAGCTTATACTTGCATTTTTCAATCTATGGCAACATCTCCGCACTATAATCAAGATTTGGCACGTACAGCGCAAGCAGCAACTGGTTATAAGTAGTTCAAACTGCAACTGTTCATTGTAGCGTCGAGTTCCGAGTCCCGGGTTCCGTATTTTGATCTGGCACTTCCCTTAGAAAGCATGAAAGCTACCGGCTTACGAGCGCGTGGTTGATCGCTCCAGATAGTAATCCTTGATTGTCGTCAAGGATGTGTCTGACGGCCATGCATAGGATATGCACATCTTTCGGGCGAAGCGAACGGGGATGAAAGTGTTTGTTTTTTGAAGCGCTGGCCTGACGATAACCACTATGGTAAACAAACGCAAACGAGGGCCTCTCGACGGCAATGCCTCCGCCGCCAATGGATCTGGTCAGGTGGCCAGGAGTCCATCACGCAAGATACAGAGGATGCAACAAAGGCGCGATGCGCGTGTCATTGCTGCAGAGCAGCCATCCACCTTTGCAGCACCGATCCCCAAATATGGTGCTGGCCAGCCTCGAGACGCAAGCTCGCGGGGCCCGGTCCAGGCAGCGAATGTTCAGCCGTCTCTCGCTGCCGAGATTTCTTACTTAGGCGGTATGGGCCGTCGCAATCTTCCGCCTCAGTTGAGTGTTGAAGCTGCTTTATCCTCGCGGGCCTTCCAGGTACGCGCCATGCTCAATGCTATGGCCTCCGCCCGCTCGTCACAGACGACTCGCGCCTGGCAGCTCCTTCCGCGACACATGCGCCGTCGAGCCGCTTCGCACAATTTGTTGCGCCTGCCAGCGAGGCTTCGCAGCAAAGGGGCCAGAGAGTTGCAAGCAAGCAAAACGCTCGCCAAGACTCGGTCGCAAGTGCGGAAGCGCGACGTTAACCGGACTGTCAAGCTGGCAGATTTGCGAAAGCAGCGATTGAGAGAGCGGAGCAAGAGGCAGGGTGCGCGATGGCTCGAGACGCACATGTGGCATGCAAAACGCTTTCACATGACGCGCAGCCCAGACGACAAGGTTATCAAGCGATATCGGCTCAATTATCTGCCTTCTTCGTCACTGGAGACAGGTACTTTAGGAATGAAGAAGACTCGCAAGTCCCATCCGCCGACGTCGGTCGGCAAAGATCTGCACCTCGTACCGTCCCAGCCGCAGACCGGCTTTATTGTCGCAGAGAAGCCGCACATGAAGGCCCATCGTGCCAGCTGGAGGAGCGCGCAAGAAAAGATCATCATACATGATGCAAGCTACGACAGCTGGTTCAAAATCGCATGCACCGCAGTTCCGTTGCATCCATCACGCGCAGGAAGGGGAAAGGGCAAAGGGAATGCAGAGGATGAGGAAGGTACCACCGTGCTTGATGCACTAGCTTTCTCTCAGACCGTACTGGCTCGCGTGATCAAGAGGGGCGGCGTTGCTGCAGGTTGGGAAGACAATTCTTCGGCCAGGTACTGGGACGGGAGCACAGAATGCAGCACGGTGCTTCTTGGCAAACCCGGCGGCAGGGTCATTCGATCGAGGTATGGAGGCAGCAAGGGGAAGGAGATGGACTCGGAAAATGATCCAGTCCTTCAAGGAAAGCTTGACGTCGCAGACACTGGGAAAGGAGCGGGGCCAAGTGGCTTTAAGGATGATGACCCTGTCGACATTCTTGGAGATGAGGCGCTTTCAGCCGGCGAGGGCTCCCTTCTCTCGCACGCAAGGCTCATTGCGCCTTTGAGGCTTTTTTGGTTGCCAGAAACCGAGTCGCGAGACCCGCACTCTAGTTCGACCCGCCGCGAAGCCCTCATTCGCTGTCATCCGAGCGCAGCCACTGTGCTGCATCACGCTCTGTTGCAAGCTGCTCAAGAAGAAAATGAGTTGCAAAAGCGCAAGACACGGCATCGACGTTCTAGCCTTGCAAGGTACGTCAATCATGATAGCCAAGCTATGGATATGGATGCTCCTGGCACTGGCAGCTCTTCTGCTGAAAATCAAAAAGCGACCGAAGGCGACTTCCGACTCGAAGTGGGAGTACATCGGTTGCGCAGCGCGCCTTCCTCCGACGCTGTCGTACCCTCAGGGCGCAGATCCAACAGAAGAATGCTTCGAAAGAAGCTCTCTTTGGCTGCCATGGCAAGGGATGCTTTGCATCGGCTGACGCAGCCGCGAGAGCGCGCCCCGATTAGCAAGACTCAGCAAGACAAACTGATGGCACAGCTTCGCCTGCGTTCGTCCTCACTATGGAGGAACAACAGGCTCACTCGGGCGGAGAAGGTGCGCCAGCGGCTGAAGCGATTCTATTGTGACTACTCAGCATGGCAGAAGGAGGCGGGTCTTCTTACCACTTCGACGCTGACAAAGGACGAGACCCAAGTTGCCAGATCTCTTGAAGGCGAACTACATGTAAAGATGGCGGAGACTCTTGACGCCAAATCAAGTGTAGACCTCGAAGGATTCAACACGTTCGAGCTTGTTGGCCCTGACAGCGGACGACTGTTAGGTGGCGTTCTGCGACCAGTTAACACCACCCCGCCAGCAAAGCGAAAGGCTTTCAAAATGATCACACATGGTTTGGCGCCGAGTCAAGTACCGCCAGGACTTGTACTGTCGCTTGATGTGCATGATCCAAGACTCAGGTGAGAAAATGCCGCCTCCAGTGATCGTATCCTGCACAGTCTTGGCTGAATATCTTCGGCTGGCAGCTTTCCTCCCTCGCTCCCTCGCAACGATGCTGTAGCTGCGGTGACCAACTGTTCTAAGAGTAAAGATGACTTCGGAGCGCCATTTAAGGGGAAGCACAAGCATGCCCATAATAAGAAGCGGGGACCCGGCTCAAACCAAACGGATATCCCTGAACTGAACGTGCAGGACCTTGCCGTTGGTTCGTTTTGGCGGCGTAAGCCTGCAGCACCCGTCTTCTCAAAAGGCGATATCGATCACCGAAGGTCCAAGCAACTGATTCCAGGCTCGCGATTAGAGCCAACTTCGATGGATGATATTGTTCCGGTGGTCATCATCCAGCATACGTCCAACGCTGCGACTACGCACGATCATCAGCTCCAGCGGCAATCGCTTCACGGGTTCACTTTGCTCGTCCCATGCCGATGGGGGTCGATCTTTTGGCATTCGCTTGTGCACCCTGGCACCCGCGTGGCGGGCCAAGCGCAAGTCCGCCAGCAAGCCGTCGAGGGCGGTCGCTTAGCATTTCCACATGACTATCTCGGTACTGCTGCATTTGATTCGTATTGGAAGCAAGAGGCACAAGTTCGGAAGCGAGAATGGAAAAAGCGACCGAAAGGCAAGCGCATCGAGTTTGACAAGCTAGGTGTCCACTTTCCTTTTGGAGGGAAGCAAATGTGGACGAAATGCATGCGGAATGCATTTCAGCTAGCGCAACATGAGGCAAAGCTTCATCCGATTTTGAGCGACATTGTCATCAACGAGAGGACGCAGCCTTGGCTGCTCCACATCAATGCTGGCGCGAGCACCCAGGCTTTGACAAGTCTTGCGCGCGCTCTGCTCGAAGAGCCTACGATCTCGGCGGAGGACTTGTCGGCTCGCGTCCGCGCAGTTCTCAGCCTACCAGGGAGCCGTATAACCATCAACGATCTTTCGCGTTTGTCGACTGCTATGGTGCCTGTCAGAGTGACCGCCTGCCGCCGTGGTAAATTCGAAGAGATGAGCAGCATTTTCGTCGACAAGCCAGAGAGGGACGTCGCTTGGCGCAATACGCTCCACGCAGCTGCAAGCGAAGGACTCTCCGACCATCAGGACGAGTTGCTTGCCTTGGAAATAGGCCAAATGGATCAGAACCGCCAAGTCGGGGCTGTAACTAGCGGAGGAGTCTCTCTAACGCAAGGACGAGGATACGGCGTAGGCAGCATTTCGCTGTTAGCTTATGCGCAAATACTGCTGCGCGATGCGACGTGGACCGCGCCTCTGCACAAGAGGAAGGGACGTAATCCTGTAGATACCGACAGCTTAGCCGTCGTACGAGGCCTGGGCGGACCGGTACTTAGAACAGCTAGCATCAAGACACTCTCTGCCTGACTTGGTAGCTTCAAGCTCCGGCATTGCAACATCGTCTCATCGCACCCAGTCATAAGACAGTACAGGTTGATACTTGCGTTCAGCACCTTGTAAACGTATTGAAAATCCTCTATCTATCCTTTTGTCTGCCCTGCAGCCGTCTTAGCCAAGCTTAGCCCGCTGGCGACGCCACGACTCCTGGGCACCCACATGCGACGCTTTGGCAACTTGCCCGTCGGCGGCACCTTCAGATTCTTGAGCCTGCTCTCAGGCCCCACGATCATCTCCTCGTCATCTAGCAGATGATCCATCTCCGCCTGTGTAACTTCTTCCTTCGCGCGGCTCTTGATGCGCTTGTGCTCACGCAGGCGTTCTCGGAAGAAGGGCTGTAGCAACCCGATCTGCGCAGAGACTCCCTGGCTGTCAAGTAAGACGAAGGGCTCCGGTGGGACATAGGGAAGAAGATCCGCTGCATTCTTTCCTGTTCCAGTACCATTGATGCCGAGACCTGCCGGTCCGCTATTCGCACCTCCCGCGCGTCCTCGCCCGTGGAAGAGCCTTGCAGGTACGGACAACCCGCCAATGCCGAATTCCTGGTCCAAGCCAAGCTCTTTGAAGCCAAAAAAGTCATCGCCTATCTCGTCCGCAAAATTGCCCGCCATGAGAGCTTCGGCACCGTCATCGAACATCGCCTCGTGTTGCACAGCATTTCGCTCGGTGGTTTGCTGGAAGCGATAGGGAGGCAAAGGTCAGCAAGCGCAAAGAAACATCTTAAACAGCCCTGGCATGGCTCACCTGCAACTGGGCATCGTAAGCGACTTTGACCTTCCTGAGCAAATCGAGCACGCGCCCACAGTGGCGTTCCACACTATGTCGTATGTGCCCTTCCAGCCCGGGTACATCTGTGTTCGTCACCTCTCGAAGCACATGCTTGACCATGTCCTCCGACGACATTTTATGCGCGTAACGATCGCTGTAGTTGCGTAGGGCCCTACCTAGGTTGGAGATGGCGTTCATGCCCATGCTCGCGAGCGCTTCCATCGGCGCCTTGGTGCTGCCTTGTAAGCCGTGATGCGCCATGAGCAAGCGTGTCACATGTAAGAGACGCTCCCTCGCGGCATGCGGACTGATGCGTACGCAAGGATTCGCCCCTGAGTTACTGAATACATCAGCAGCGGCATCTTGGCGCAGTGGCGCTCTCGACTCGAGGTCGTCTTCTTCGTCGCTTTCCTCCTCTGAAGCAGAATCTGCCAGCAACCACTCTGGCACGTCTTCATTATTCTATCGTGTAAGATTGTCCTTTCAATTAACTTCTGATACCTGTGCATGTATATTGAACTTAGCGAAAGGACTCACAGCGTTTGCATGCGCCAGTAAACCAAGCTTCATATGCGTCCTTCTAAGCTTTTGTAAGCTCTTGATGCTTTCCGGAACCCTGTTTCTAATCCTCTTCAGTCGACGCGGATCATTGACCGCCAATTCTTCCTCTCCCTGTCCCGATGGTGGAGCCAATTTCCGCTTCAGGACATTCTGACGCCTTCGCAGCTGGTCCACGCGTGCCTGGTGCTCGGCAGGCGTGAGGATCGTTGAGCGCGGCAAGGCCGGAACACCGTTTGCGATCAGATCATTAGACACGATGCTGTCCCACCATGATCCTACCAAGCCTTGGGGATCGACCCGGCTTGCATCGGCGCTCACGCCACTGACACGTGTTCCCGGTCCTATGTTGGCCTTGCGCCCGGAGCGAGCGAGACTGCTCTGCTGATCGATTGTGTCGAATGGCGAGGGTATAATCACAGTGCTGTCAAAGGTCTCTTTCTCCTTTCCTTTGATGCTCGCTGTGCTCTTTGCAGCTGAGCCAGCATGACTCGTTCTTTTCCCCATCCCATGAGGCTTCCCGTTGAGTTTTGCGGGTGTCAGACCAGGGCTTGAAGAGCCCGATGAGCTCGAGCTCGGTTCAGGCGGACCGGAATCCTGATCATTGGGTGTGAATCCCCCGTCCTGATCTCCCTCTGGCTGCTCGACTGTGGCCGTTGTCAAGGCCATGTGGAAGGGACCTTGCATGCGCAATGCTTTGAGCGTCGTCCGTATTGACTCTTCCTCGAGAGGCCCATTCAGGGGACTAGAAAGGGGTCGCGGGTCAGGTATCGGTAGCCTGGAAGGCCCTGCTACTGCCTGTTGCTCCTGGAACATGTTCCATGCATCTCCACACCCGTGATGTGGTCGCTCGTCCGGCCATGTGCCTAATGTCTCTCGCTCAAAAGCAGCGAGAGACTTGTCAAGAGCAGTGAATGATGCCATCCCGTACGGATCTCGCAGCAACGCTGGACGTTGCTCGAAGGGTATGTCCGCGCTTGGAACCGAGGAACGAATGTCAAGCGTGGCCTCGTTGGGCACGAGGACACCTGCGTTGTTTGCGCCTGCTGGCGCATCTACGTCGGTGAGGGGACATAAAGACAAGACGACGGACGGTCAGAGTATTGCAAAGTGAAAATTAAGGTTGAGGACACTTACTATCAGTCCCAACCCAGGAACGTTGCACGACCTCCCACTCTCGTAGGGCATCATTGACGTCATTTTTGTCGTGCACATAATTGAGCAAGTGGTTGGCTTTCTTGCGCATGAAGTGAACATTGCGCCGTAGTGGATGGCTCTGAAAGGGTGGATAGTAGAACGAAAAGAAATTTCGGTCAGCACATTAGGTGTGAACGACGTGCAAGCTCCTCGCTCGTGCGCCCACCGGATCGCTATTATAAACGAGACAGTTGTCCCAGATGAGATCAAGATCGTGAGCGAATTGCCTCTTGTTCTTATAGCCTCCGACTTTGATCTTCTTTTGCATCGTCCCCAAGTCCATCGGGTGTTTGATGACATCGTAATAATCGGGCGCATCTCGCTTGGATACTTTGGCGAGGAATGCGGCGCTGTGCTCCGTATAGCCGCGAAGCTCGGACAATACGCGCTCGATCGATTCGAGAAATTCTTCCCGACTATCCTGTAGCACATAAATCGAATAATGTGGCATGTCAGGCTATACGAGGTTGAAAACATGTCGTGTTTAACCTGTGTCAGTACAGCTACTTACTCTGCCCCGTTGGACATCTGTGATGAGCTGGCGAAGTTCGTTGTCGGACAAGGCAATTCTTGCCCGCTGAGCCTGAATTGCTTGAAGTAAATACTGTGGGAAAGGGCGAATGGTACAGTTCAGTTTGGTTCTCATCTTACACATGGGGTGGAAGCAACCACGCATCGATGTCCCCATAGGTCGCACGAGCCCCGGTACGAGACACGTACCTTCATCTTGGGTTGTCCCGGCCTCCCTTCCGATGGCCCGATGCGATAACATCCAGCCCTCAATTCACATAAAACCGGCACGAGAGATAGCTCCGATGCTGAGATATCGCATGGTGCCTTTCTCTCCGCCTCAGATGTGTGCTGGAGACACCTTGCCCCATGAGCACGCGAGGTGTTCTGAGCCTGAAGTTCAGCTTCTGAACAAGGTGGTGGTCATTGTCTTACATACTCCTGCCGTTGAGGGTGGAGTAGCTCCTGCTCTCGTGTTGGTGGCTGTGATCGTCGCATAGCATCGCAACCCTAACAAGGTTACAACCCTAACTCGGAAACCATTCGGCCTCGAGTTAAAATATTTTCGTTGCGTTCATCGACAGAGTTGCCTTCATTCCATGAAATGAGGATCTCGTTTCAATGCCCATTTGTTCGCTTGATGTTGATGGCAGCTTTCGATTGAAGTATCGATTGTGACGCGAGATTGGACCAAAGGGTACTGCTGGCCGTGAGACCGAGTCCGATTGTGCAAGATGCCAGTCGGAACGATCCCAGATGTCTCCCTTGCTGAGGTAGATTTCGTGTACGCGGCGCTCGCGTCAGGCATCCGCGAGGATGGCCGAGCAATCGACGATTTTCGGCAGCCCAGCTTCCGATTTGGCTCCAGTTGGGGCAACGTGGAGGTGACACTAGGGGAGACAAAGTAAGCTGGGGAATCCTTAATGCGCATAATTGAGTGCTGTGCTGACGCAGCTGTCCTTCGCTGTCGACAGGGTTCTCGCGGCCGTCTCATCATCAGTTGTGACACCACGTGACGGCAGGCCGTACGAAGGCTTTCTGAACATTCAATGCGAGCTTGGCGCAATGGCGGGCGCTCAATACGATCCAAATACACGCTCCTCATTGGAGGAGGAAGCAAGATTCGAACGGGTATTGGACAAAACACTTCGACGAAGCGACGTAGTAGACAAGGAAGCTTTGTGTCTCGTGGCTGGAAAACAGGTGAGATGAGCACCGTTTGTCTTCAATCATAGTCAATGTCTGACTGTAGTTATGGTCTATACGGCTAGGTTTTCGCGATAAATCTTGCGATACACTTTCTCAATGGAGCAGGCTCTCTCATCTCCGCCGCTGTCCTTGCCGGTATTGTCGCCCTACGACACTACCGTCGTCCCGATTTCACTGTTATCGGATCGGACGTGACGATTCACTCACCCTCCGAGCGAGTCCCCATCCCGCTTGCAATGCATCATCTTCCGTTCTCTCTGGAATACGCGCTATTCCGCTTGCGCAGTGCCAAAGCCGCAACGTCAGGCGCGACGAAAGGATCGGCGGCAATGGGCGAAGGGCGCGTCGTTGCTGTGCCCGATCCGAGCCTATTGGAAGACAGGCTGGCAGAAGGGGTCTTCATCGCCATCCTCAATGCGCATCGAGAAGTGTGCGTTCTTGAAAAGGGAGGAGGCGCGCCCATCGATGCGGACATGGTCCTTGCGCTCTTGAGCCGCGCGGCCGTGCGTGTCGAAAAGCTCCACGAGCAAGTAGAGATAGCCCTCAAAGACGACCTCAAGACGCGATCGCTCGCCCTTGGCGCATTCTAGACAAGGGAGTCCAGAGAAAGGAGAAGCAATGGAATGGGACGCACCAACTACGAATGACAGCAAGATGCTACAGTGCAGTCCATTGGAACTTGCTTTGTGCATAGGCGTAGAGCACAAAGCTTGCCTCCGATCCTGGCATGTAAGTGCTCGCCACCACGACGTACTCGCCAGCTTCCAGCCAGCTCTGATCGATCATGACGCCGCAAAGCGCGTCATCGTAGGGCCCACTTGTCGCCACTTGCGCTCCCAGTGCTATACTGATTGTAGGAGCGTGGTGACGAAACACACTCACGTTGATCGGAGGACGCGGTCGAGCCCCACTGCCGACTTGAAGGCGGGCAAGGAAAGATCCAGCAGAAGACAGCTGCAGCAAGAATCTTGGGTTGCACTCGTATCGTCCATGAGAGGGCGAGCCCGCCGCTGTGCCCGCTAAGACCTTCCAGGCGCTGCGAGAGGATCGTGCAAACATGCCAGAACCCTCTTGTGGGATCGACGTGATGTCGACACGCGACGAGCAAGCGACCTGCAGAGTGTACTCTGCCTCCTGACCTGGCTCATACGTCGATAGAACAAGCGTGTATTTGCCCGGCTTAACTGCCGTGCTTTCGCAATACACGATGCGGTTATCGTACGCTCCGCTGCTCGCGACCAAGTCACCCTGTGAGAGAGAAGTGACACGCATGCCTGAGCCCCAGACGAGCTGGGCGGATAGGAGCAGGTCTTGACGCGCGCTCCGAAGGGTGACCAGGAGACAGGAGGCGGGATTGAGATTATCCGGGTGGACCTGTACGGCATACTGAGGGTTGTGCATAAAGCTCGCATGCAGACTGCTGCCCCCTGCGGACTTTCCCGACCATGCGTCTTCCAGCTGAGCGGCAAGTACCCACCATCAGCTAAGGGTACCGCGGTTGAAAGTCCGAGAATGCTAAGACAAAAACTCACCGATTGCTGGAAAGGAAGGTCCCAAAAGCCGCTGCTGATTTGCATCTTATGATGCGAGTAGAAGTAGAGCGAAAAGGGGTTGCCGACTGAGCCAAGGCACGCGGCATGAAGGTGCAGCGTCTCCTTTTGCCGCGCAAGCTTTCGCTTCAGCAGATAGTGCGTGCTATCAACCCATGCACCCTAAAGAGGGAAAATCGGGTTCCAATTAGTGCATTGTGCGAAAAGCGCAGACATGCAAACATGGCTCACCTCTCTGCTCCGAGCCGGATGAGTGCCTGTGACATCATGTCGCTCGGAGAGACGCAAAGTGACGTGCTTGGAGCCCGCTTGTTCATCCTCTCGCGATATGATGTGCCTAACGAGCAAGACACACAAGTCATCATCGCCCTCCTCCTGTGACAAAGCACTCTCAGTCTTTTCGATCGTTAAAAGCAGCGGAAACGTTGCGGCGCTCCCAGGTCGAGGCGGCTCTTGGCCTTGCGCTGGTTCTTGATTACTGCGTGGCAGGACTCCGACCTGACTTGACTCCCACGTCAAATGCAACTGCGCACGATGCGCCCACTGCCCGGGATTCCAGTTCAAAAAGAGCGAGTCAAGGCGCGCGCAGAAATCTTCCCATGTTAGGCTGAATGCACGTTCGTCTCCAGGTTGCACTTCTTTGATTTTGTCCTCATGCCACGGGTTGAGTAGCGTCACGAAGCGCCTCTTGTCGGGTGTCTCGTACATGTCAATGATGCAGTAGGCATGGCTGGGGACGATGTTTTTCGTCCGCTTTGACCGCGATAAATGGATCGCGGACACAGCTGATTCTGACACAGCAGGCTCTGAAGGGCCGGACCCAGCGGTGAGCAAGCATTGGCCTCGGTTCCAAGCTGCATACACGCGTTTCCAGCCCTTCTCGCCTTGAAAAGCACCGCCCTCTGCGCCGGATTTGCGCAGGTGAACTTGCTCTGGGACCCAGCCGACAAGTATATGTAAGTCTACAGATGGGTTCGAGCCAGAAAATTCATATCCGCCTCCGGTCACTTTGAGATATGCTTTCTCTGCGAGGCCTGGGAAGATCTGTCGGTCATCGGCAGTTCTGGCGCAGACTAGCCTGCCAAGCGCGTCGTGAGGAAGCTCATCGTCGACGGTAACGCTGCGGTCGGCACCGTTCAGATGCAGCTTGACTCTGTACCGTCCATCGATGCTCGACTTTTTAGAGCCCTCTATAACCTGGGGATAGAGAACAGATGGCGCGAGCTGTTCGGCGCGTGGATACTTCCCATCAGTCTGCCATATTACCTTTGAGACTTGAGACGTAGCTGCCTGCTCTCACCATGGTTCCGAACCGCGTGTCGTGAACAGTCATGGCCTCAAGCGCAGCCACCAAGCTGCAGTCCGACACAACATCCTGAACAATGTCCTGCGCTTTCAGGCCTGGCTCGTAGACGGTCCTTTCAGGCGTGAGCGCTGAGCGATATTCGGCGCCATGGGCTATTTGGTCCTTCGAGAGCGTTGGTTGCGGTTCAGACAGCGCTATCCGTGATAGGTCGAATGGCTCGGGACCGGGGGTCCAGATAGAAAATGTGCTGTTGTTTATGGTAGACGAACGCTTCAGCACCAATGATTGTGATTCTGCAAAGAACCGAACGCAAATCCATCAATGACATGCAAAAGCAACCGGTGCGATGTATATGCCTACCCTCGCTCAAAGGATTTGCCTTTGGAGCTCTGAGATCCTTTCGAGATTTCTTGATCAGCTCTGCTCTAGAAATCAATTTTTTTAGCGTGGCATTGAGTTCAGTCTTGGCGGCTACTCCCGATTCCAGCTGCAATCCGGTTGAACCGCTGTCCATGCGCTGGCCAATATGAGAAATTAACCACATGTATTTTTCGCCCGCATTGTAGTAAGCTTGGAGGGCAGATGAGTAGGCTTTGGCTAATTCGAGATCTGTAGCTTGCTTGGCCGCTTTCTAAAAAAATTTCAAGGGATAACGTATCGAAAGAGATGTCCACGTGGAAGTAAGCTCATGGGACGGAGCTTGAGCCCACTCACTTTTGCCTCTGCCAATTTGGACTCCCACGTTGTATTCAAAGATGTCATGCTGCTTTGAGCACCACAAGATGCGTCAAGCTAGTCTTGCCGCTATCACCTGCCTAATTGCATGCTGTGGTCGAAGGTTAGATTTGCTTTTGCAGAAGAGACAGAGCAACTGATGTCTTGAAGGGAGCAATCAAGAGTGGTGTCGAGGTTATCCAGCCATGAACACGGCTTATGAGCGCGCAGTGAATACGTCACAAACCTCAGCTAAATGCATTTCACTCTGTAATTAAATATCGCTGTCATGGCACTCTTTCAGGGATGCGGTCCCTGTGGCGCGCCCCGCACTAGTTGGGCTGCCGTGCAAGGACTGAGGTTGCACCGAACGGCGCGTCTGCAAAGCGTGTTTAGTTCGAGCTGCATAAATGGCTTGGTATCAATTTAGGTCTAAATCCTATCTTTGGAGGAGGTGGTCACCCGCGCACTCCACCACGGCCGACCTCAATCGAACGTCTCGTGCGGATCACAGTTTCCATGCTTGGGGACACTTGTCTGAGAGCGCGCTACAGTCTCACAAGATCGCAAACTTCCTTTCTTTTTTGCGTGTTTGGTGTAGTAAACGCTCACTGCATGGATCCCTGCTGTAGGGGGCGTGGTGATTGCGAATTGAGAAAGCAGGGTTTTGTGCACGTGCCGTTCTTGCGCTTCCTAGGCCCCTGAGCGGTGTCCAATGAGGTATATCTCAGTGCAAAGGAAAATATTGCAAGATATTAATTATATTACACGACCAAACCCTCGCAGCTTTGCCATGATTGCAAATGGCCGTGAATCTCTGAGCGATCTGTCCACTGCGGCTTCCGTCGTTGTCTTCGCGCCCGCTCCTGCCGAAGTCTTAGCCGCGAGTGCTTTTCCATCCTCATCGCTCAAGCTCGCCGCTTGCTTCCATGATAGAAGCCCGCCATCGTTCGGATCGACGTTGAGGACGTCCAGGATGCTACAGAGGTACTCCAGATCCGTTGCGAGCTGCTTTGCGCCCGCTGGGCTGAGACGCGGCAGGCTGGGCAGCGCCTCAGTCGTCATGCGCGTAATTAGAGTGAGGATGAGCGAGCGCAGCCAGTACGACAGCGTCTCTCCTGCCGACAGCTTGGCCGTGTCTTCGCCCTCTGCAGTATCGAAAGCGGAGGGACGCCGTGCGGGGGTAGGAGACGTGGTTATCGGTGGCATTTGCTCGGGGCCGTCTGATATACGCGGCACTGCGACATGGCTGTAACGGCGCCCATGGAATGACGCACGGCGCTCAGCGCTGGGCGATGGCGCTCCTGGGTGAAAGGACGAACGGCGCGCGCCCATCGGCGTGGTCGGCGGCAACGGCGTAGCGGGAGATCCACCTGCTTGCTGCTGTGGCAGTTGCCCCTCCGCCTTGGGCACCTCCAGAAACGGTAGAGCGTGCACACAGAATGCCAATGCTTCATCCTGCGCATACACTTCGAACAGACGCGGCAGATCCAAAAGGCCTTCGCAGAGGCTCGCCATCGTCTCGGTCGGGCTCAAGCTGAATGTCGGCATGTGCAGGTCGTACTCGTTGTCAGCGCCAGGTAAGTTGCGCGCCGTCCAGGAGGGCAGATATGCATAGACGAGAATCTGGGCGACGAGCGGCTGCAAGATGATGTTCTGAATGCCGAGCTGGGTCGTCTTGACGAGCTGCAAGAGCTTCTGTCGCGCATTTGGTAGAGAGACCAGCTCATTACTGAAGAGTGATCGGGCAGGTCCTTGTAGGACGATGAGAGTGAGACGCTCCAATGTCCTGGAGAGTGACGCAGACTTTAGTGCGCTTTGTTCGAGTAGCTTCAGGCTGCCCAGTGTCGACCTCTGCAGCAGCCTGGAACGCGCTTCATCTGCGTCGTTCTCGAGATACTGAGCAGTCAGTGAGGTGACCTCCGCCACTTTCTGCTCCGTCTCTTGTAGCTTAACGAACAACTGGCGACATGCATCGAGCTTGCGAGCAGCGTATTTCACATCTTTCTCCAAGATACCTTGCTCGATACCGATGGTAGAATTGCTCAATCGAGCGCGCTCGTCGAAGCTGGCCAACACAGCCGCAACCACGTCGTCTGCCGCTTCCAGCAGCAGTGACGTCGCAAAGCCTTTGGTGAAACTCATGCATACTTCCAGAGTCTCTTCTACTAGCTCGAAGCTAGACGATCCAAGCTGGATCAGCTCTGCAGAGTCGATCTCCGGACTCTTCGCATCACGCAGTGAAGACCAGGCCTCCGCTTCTTTCTTCCACTTGGCCATCATTTGCCTGTTGCACAGCTGGCGAAAGTTGCACTGAAAGTCGAGGAATGGCTCAAACAGCGCAATATCCCAGTTCGCATTGGATGGCAGAACCACCGGCTCGGGCGCAAGCTTTTTAGCCGTTGCCGTAGGGCTCTGCATGGGAATGGGAGGCGTCACCCGCGACTCGCCCGCCTTGATCTCGCCCGTGTTGTCGGCTGCGGGCTTGACCTTTGCGACCAGGCGCTGGGTTGCGAGTGCGAAGCTTTGCGTTGTTTCCCAGCAGCGCATAAGACTCTCCAGCGCCAGTTCGCCCTTGTCGATGACCATCTCGCCCAGCCGCTGCGCCATTGATGGCTCCAGCTCTTGCATGCAGGCAGACAAAAACCGTGTGATATGAGCCGATGGATCCTTTGGAAAGAGGGTGGGCGCGTAGATCCGTTCTTCGTTGAGCAAATTCTGAACCAATTGGTGAAAGCGAGGGAGGTAATCCGCCAGCGAGGCAGCGTCGGGAGTGCTTTCGCCGCTTCCCAACAGTCGAACTGACTTCCATTCAGCAAAGACGGTTCGCCTTCTAGTTTGCGTCCAGCATCTCTCGAATATGTGTCCTCGATTTACGCATGACAGTATTTCTTCGAGTTTCGAGCATGTCTTCAAATCTCTTGCCTCTACCGCCTCCTGCAGACGACCTGTGACAGCGTCCTCCAGCCGAGCAGTCAGACTGTCCATCAATGCCCGACGCTGCTCGTATACTTCCGTCCTTTCGAATACAGCTAATGAGCTCAGCGCTTCTGCCAGACGCAGTGACGCTTCTGCAATCTTGTCCTCGCCGAGGTAAGCTGTCACGTCAGCTCCGAGTGTGGACCAGGACTCAGCGTCTCGGAGAACGTCTCGCGCAGCGGACATGCGTTCTTTGAGGAGGGTCAACCGACTGAGGCGCTCGAGAGATGTCGTCTCAGGTTTCTCCAAAGAGTCGGTGCCGGACACCGCTGGGATTCGAGAGCGTTCTTGCAAGAGCTGTGCACTTGTCTTAAGCACCAGGGTGGATTCTTTGAAGAGTTTGAGATCAAACTTCAGCTGAGGGACAGACAACTGCAGACGCTTCATAGTGGCATCCGTCTGACGTTGCGACTCAGAGCTGGACCGTACAACAAAGTTGGAGACGCGCTGTAAGTCTCGCTCGAGCGACTGCATAGCTTCCGCGAATGGCTTGGCATGGTCGCGGCTGGCATCGGCATCTTTGTGGGGGTTGGAGAGAGTTTCGTTGAGCCAGTCGATGGACGAAGTGCTCTCCTCCAGGCGTTCCAATAGTTCATTCTCAAGCTCGTCAGCTGAAGATAGCTTTAACTCTGGACTGTGTTCCTGGCTTGCAACTCCGAGGGAACCTTTTCGCTGGAGGTTGGTAAGATACTCCTGTGGGGTCTGCTGGGTCTGTGGCGAATGCCCCGGGCCCGACATTTTCGGCGAAGGAGAAGCTCCTGCCAGCGCACATAGACACGGAAAACTAATCACTGAATTTCTCTAAATACCAATGATCACTACTGCACCGCTCAGCATACTAGTGTGTATTGTGATCGTGAATTGAAGCTGCGATCGAATCCTCCGGATGGAGAAGACGTTCAGGGCTTTGCCCATCGACAAGTCATCTTCCCTACTCACAGTGCATCGGCAACTGTCGGCGACTTTGCCTTCAAGGCGAAAAAGACGCCGACGACTTTGGGCAAATGCCGTTGTTGCCGCCTCCCGTTCACGGGCCAGCATCATCGTCGGTCGCAATGCATCTGTATAGTCTGGCGTAGCCCACCGTCAATTCACCCCTGTCGAGGCGGCATCGAAACTCGCTGTCTCCCAGGATGGCGCCTACAACCCGTGCAAAAAGAGAATGCGAAAATCGGATCACAGTGCTGCGTTCAAAGCTCTGCAACCATGCAGTCTGATAGGCTGCGCATCGTCCGTCTTGGGGACACTATTCTTCTCACCGCATGAGCCCATCAAGGCACTGAGGGCAGCCCTAGCAGAGCTCAGCCAGGATAAGGCGCACCAGATCTTATTCGATTGGTACCAAGCGAATGACCAATTTTGCAGATGATAAAGAACGCCACGGTGGGGCTCGTCTTGACCTCACTCACAATAACCCCTGCAGTGTAATGGGAGTTTACGACCCTCTCTGTGAATTACGACTACAGACGATTGCCGAAGCATTTAAAGAGATGCTTTTGATGACCTTGTCGCTAGCTGGTATCAAGCTCGACTCTGGGAGTGCCGGTTTGCGGGGAGGCGAGAATGCTTACCGGAGCTTGCGCGAGGCATTATGGAAGCACTGAAGCGTCTAACGCCGCGACCCGACATGCGACACGCATTCTTGAATATCTAACGCAATCCGACTCTCGTTCCCGCTAGGTGCAATTCAGTTGCGTTGATGGGCGCAACCAATGGGTCGCGAGTGCTCTCGAAATATTTTTCCGCAACCCCTTCCGTGACACCTTCCGCCCGATGCAAGTGGAGGGCCAAATGGTAAAGGAGCGGGAGTTGGAAGCTTCAGCTGCGATGATGTGCATATTACCAAGCCTCTTCCTGGATTTTATGAGGTTATCAAGGAAGGTTTTCGATCGCCGAAGGGTGGGGATAAGCAGAACAGTGTTCGAGGAATGGGGTGTGTTGCGAGTCACATTTGGGTGAAGGAAATTTTACATCGATCGTATTTGGGTATACCCTTAGAGCTTCCGGGTCAACTTTTCTTCCCCAGGATCTGTACGCCGCTCGAATTTCAAGTTGGGTGTGCTTTCTGCGGGCGTGTCCAGCAGCCTCATAGATCAGACAAATCTGTGATCGGACAACTTCTGTAATGTTTGGGTTAGCTGCGTGGAGTACTTCATGTGCCCGAACATCTTCGGTCAGCCTGAAGTAGTGGAAAAGGACATGGAGGAGATAGTTGAAAAGGTTCTGGAGTTCGAGATATCATTACGGTGACGCAGCCGCAGTACCTTGTGCAGTGTATTACATGCATTCGTCGACATGGATTGTAAGAGTATCGCCCAATTCAATTGAATGAACCCCCAGGATTTCGAAATCATACTAAATCGGCAATGAGGCAATAATTGATTCCACTTGAGCCCCAAATGACTTCAAATCAATTCTGGGCCGTTTGTAGTATGAGCGAAGCACCCATTGCATCAACCCGACCCGCAAGATATTGGTCCTTTTGGCAAGCCCGTTCGATGCCTTCTCCGTCTGCCCGCGGAAGTATCTCCACGCGACTTCTTCATTTGAGTGGCAGGTTTAGACTAAGCCGCTGAAGCTGCCCAAGGAAGTTCACATGCTCGTGTTTTTGATCAGGCTGCGGGATAGGTCCTCCTCGTACATCAATTCCAACAGTGGACAAGATGTGTTAGAAGTAGAATATCACTGAGCTGAGCCTGACTCAGATTATGCCTTATGGTCGAAATTAAACAATCAATGTTCGAATGTCAGACCGATTGACTACAGGCTTCAGAGTCCAGGGCCACATACCCTTCATCGAAGTACAGACTGCTCTCTCGATCACCGACATTCAATCAGATCGATGATCTATCTGTCGCACTTTTCTGGGTGCTGCGCCATTGGCTCCGTAGAGGGCTCCGAAAATAGCGCAGCCAGCATCACTCGCCTCGCCAATATGAGAGTCAAATCATCCTCATGACTGACAGGTGTCACACCGCGCCCAGCCCATGGCCTCGCCTCAGAAAGCGCCACGATGGACACGGGGCTCCCCGAAAAGGCTCCACGCCATGGTAGCGTACAACTTGGAAAGGAAAAGGTGCGGACCAGTAGCACCGCGACTATCTTCCGCAACTCTGTCGATGAAGGTCAAGGCGCCGAACTTTCCGATAAGCATCGAAGAGACGATGCGATGGAGCGGCACAATCAGACTGCTGAGGAGCCGAGCAAGGATGCCAAAGAGACAACTTTCTTCAAGTCGATGCAGATTAGCTTGCATGAACCAGTGGGGAGCATGAGCTTGAGTCCAGGTGAGACGTACCACCTTTGAGGACGCAAATGTGCAAACTAACATCCACACGCCGTGCTCTTTTGAAGCCAATCGTGACGTCGTGCTTGGAGCCCGCAAAGGCCTATTCATTATAGATCTCGAGAACCCGTACGATCAGCCCCGTTTCCTTGCTCACCTGACCACTTGGGAAGTAGCAGATATACAGTGGAACCCACATCCGGCACGGGCACACTGGGTCGCAAGCACTTCCAATCAGAAGCTGCTCGTGTGGAACCTCGATAGACCAAGCAGTGCACGATCATACATCAACCGAAGCGCAACGTCGTTATCAGGTGCCGATAGCTTGACGCAGCCCTCTGCCCGACCTAGCCTGGGCGATCGCCAATCAACGTTCTCACGAGTTTCTGCGGGAGGCACAAGTCAGCCTTCCGGATGTCGCGCATCGTATCCCCTTCAATCTGGTGGGGGGAGTATTCAATTGAAAAGCAAGTACACTCATAGGACTGGCTCTATTACCACTGGCGGCGAGTCGAGTTTCTATCCAAGTAGGTGCGGAGGCGTCCATATGACTGTCCAACGGAGGCTCTCGCCCATCTCGCACGTGTTGCAGAATCACACCCGTGCTATTACTGATATCAACTGGAGCGCCTTCAACCCGGACGTTCTCGCAAGCTGCGGCATCGATACATGGACTTGGATATGGGATCTACGAATGTCTTCGAGCGACGCACAAGGCGGGACCAGCCTTAGCGGCAAGCCTGTCCAAGGATACTCTGCTTGGAATGCGAGCGCCACACAGGTTAAGTACAATCGAGCATCTCCACATCGGCTGGCCACTGCTGTAGACAACAAGGTGCTTATCTGGGACGAGCGCAAAGGGTCTCTCCCGCTTGCGACGATCGAGGCGCACGAATCGCGGATTTACGGCATCGACTGGAGCCGCGATATGGGGGTTGGTTTGGACCGCTTGATCACATGCTCACTTGATGGCTCAGTCAAGTTTTGGAATCTCGCCAGCGAGCATGCTCAGGGCGCGATTGGACGCAGGGAGCTGATCACAGGCCCCGAAGGGGTCATCGAAACGCCCACACCAGTTTGGCGAGCGCGGCACTTGCCCTTTGGCGAAGGCGTCATGACCCTGCCGCAACGGGGAGACAATGCACTCTCTATGTGGAGTAAAGAAGAGGCATACCAGCAAGAGCGACGGCGCGAAGCTGGAGAAACTGACGACTCCGAAATTCAGCCTGTGACACGATTTGAAGGTCACACTGATATCGTCAAAGAGTACCTTTTCCGCACTCGCGGCGGCACAGATCGCGCATATGATGATCGCCAGTTCCAGCTCATCACTTGGAGCAAAGATCAGACGCTCCGCCTTTGGCCCGTCTCCGAGCAGATCACAAAGGCCGTTGGGCACAAGCCTGGGTCTGCGATTCGGATACGCTTCACGCGCAACAACGCTCGCGATATATCCTTTCGCGTTCCGCGCATTGAGCACGACCACGATTTACTGCCATCGAGCAACATCATGAGCGACTATGGGCCTGGGATCTCATCACCAGTCCTCAGCTCTGGGGCAAATTCCCAAGACGTGCGCAGCTCGTGCGCGAGCTTGCCCGCGAGCGCCAATTCTGCTCGCAATGCGACCCCACTTCAGGTTGCACATTCACCTTTCGGACCTTCATCGCATCACAGTGCTGGCTTCCATGCGCCAGCACACTTTACTAAGGGCATCCTTCGATCCGCGAAAACCCTCTCCTCCATCAAGCTCCCACCTTCCATGACTTCCCATGAACCGGCTTCCGGACAGGCTCCCATGACAGGCGTGAAGTTGGCCACTGGCGCACGTTCTGGCACGAGCAAAAGGCGCACCACTCGCGAACTTCTTGCTAAGGACGCAGCTCGCAGTCGCACAAGCGAACATGAGTGGCAGCAGGCAGCATCAAAGACCACAGGCTTTATGACTGTCAACGGTGTTCGCCAAGGGCCTTTTCGCTTCCATCGCTCGCAGGCGGCCGCCGCTGATCCATTGGACTGGATCGCGCGTGTGAAGATGCAAGGCGAGGGCGAAGATGCACCTGCTAAGAATACTCTGAGGGAGGAGGATGACCCTTCCGAGATGGACGGATCGGTGATGGAGTATGCTGGCGGTGGTGAGAGCGCAGCAAGAAAGAAAGGAGCACATTCACTGAGCGATGAAATCATGGGTCTCAGCAAGCGTCTTCCACGGGTCATTTTTGAGAAGGTACATGTTGTGACTTTGCAAGGCACCGCGATCTCATTGCTCATCTAGGCTTTCCTTTGCAGGTGGAAATCGCGCAACGCAACTGCGTCATCGCGCTCTATGGGCCATGGGCAAGCAGAGAACCTGCATTCGTACGAATCAACTTCTCTTTTCCGACAAACTATCCTGACACACCGCTTCACTACGATCTGGAGCGCTCGGCCAAGATCGTGCTCAAGACACGTGCTTTCCTATTGCGCAATCTTGCCTCCATCACCAGCGAGCAGGCACGTGAGGGACAGCCGAGCATGGAAGCTTGCGTGCGCTTTTTACTTGGCGAGACGCTGTCATCCGACCCGACAACCTCTGCTCAGCGTCCACCAGAACTTGGTGACGATGAAGGATCTTCGGAGGAGGATGAGCCCATCTATCAAACGCCACAGCTGCTTCCCGTCCGTTGCGGTGCTAGCTTTGGTATGCAAGGACAGCTTGTGGTATTCTCGCCGACCACGATGCAGCCATGGCTCCGCGATGTGTCTTCTAGGGATGCGAGCAGGCAACGAAGCAGGTCTCGTCAGGGACAACCTGCCAACTCCACATCTTCACGCCCTTCTCGCTCGGCCGCCGCGCCCACGGACCGATTTTTAACATCATATGATGCCTTGTCCAACGCAATGACGCGGTTGGCTGAGAAAAGCAATGAAGGCCAACGCACCATGCAAGCGCTGGATGTCTTACAGCTCATGAGCTCAGACTTTATCTCACGCAGGGTAAGTCTGAAAAGAGATTGTCAGCTTCTTTCAATCCCTAATTTGGTCATTCTCTCGATTATAGTCTGAACAACAGCAACAGGCTAGAACAGGCGCAAGTCGTCGTGAAAAAAGCTTGGGGAAGGCCGTACTTCCTGCATTACAGACTCCTAGCCAGGAGCCAGACCACAAAGATACCGCTGTAGCTTCGACGGGATATCTGACCTCCCTACAGACACTACACACACAAACGTGGCAAGTGCAAATCTACGACGTCTCGCACATTGTGCCAACACCGCGGACAGCATTCTCGCGACGACGCTCTTCATCGCTACCTTTCAGCATGTCGATCCCCAGTCGACCCAACAGTCTGTCGCTCTCGCTTTCGGGAGAACTGCCTTCGCCGACGGTAACAGTGCGTCATCCGCACTCCCCCATGCTCGGTCCGCTTTCGCCTGTTGGCTCGGACGGGACAGCATCCGGTGTGCAAAAGAGCAAGTCGATCATTGGCTTACAATCGTTCTTTACGCAATGAACAATTTTCTGTAATACATATAGTACTATGCAGTCTGTGTCCATCGCGATTCCTATGCATGCTTTACGTTATGGTCTTTTATCAAAACCCTCCTGCCGTTCATTGAGTTTGCCGATTGAGAAAATTCCTTTGCTGGTCGATCTGGTCACCTTCCGCCTGAGGCCCAGCTTATGTTTCGTACACTTTTTCGCATCTTCCCCACCATCTGGCGCAAAGCCCACCTTGTGCCCACTTTGCCTTCTTGTCGCCGGCACCGTTGGCTCTGTCACCGTCTTCTGATGAGGGATCAGGCTGGCTGTATGTTTTTTTTTTCGCAGCCCCTATACTGCAGTGCAATTAAGCACATTTGCATCATTACTGCAGTACCCAGCTTGCGGATCGGGAAAGACAGTGGAGCAACGCTGCTCATATCTTCCGACTTACATTTACGGGCCAAATCGCTGTGTTTTTCGCCGTGAGGTCGAGGAAAGAGCGACGGTCAGAAAACGAAACTAGGGTCAGAGGAGCTCTGGCAGAGCCATCTTCGTCGCGGCAGACTTTCTGGCAATGACCCGAAACCGTGCAATCGGAATCGCTGCGAGAAAAAAGCGCTGCAGGAGAGACAAATTCTGCCGCAAGCGAACACCACTCAGATCAGCTAAGCCCCCAGGGGGAAGTGCGCTCGATACACACTCTGCAATACGCATCAGTTACAAGCATTGCTGTTCGAGTCCGAATAGAGAATCTCCTTGACGATTTCCGCGCCGCGCTCCCAGCCGATCCAGCTTTGGCCGCGCGTGAAGAACGCAGCCACTAATTACCGCGCGAGGTGGTGTATCCAGCTGGTCTGCTTCAGACAACGCACACTGGCGTCGATCCAGGGGAAGCCAGTCTGCCCCGCCTTGTAGCTCCCCTGCGCAGCCGCGGCTTCATGACGTTGCCGTCTCCATCGTATTGTTTGAGCAGTTAGCAGTCCATCTGGGGGGCATCGAGGAGCCGAATGAGTCAGGATGCGACTTCTCTTATCGACGTGGCGATGTTGCTCGACAATCACATATCTCGACACAGTATTTCCCCAAATGTGCCCAAACTTCGCCGGATCCACAGTGACCTCGCACAAGCATACATCTCTCTGAAAGGAGCTGGCCCTCGCAATGCGCAGGGATGAGCTTCTTTCCCGCCTCCTTGGCCTCTTTGACTCCCCGCTTAACATCAGCGAGGAGCCTATGGATGCCGAAGCAATCAACATTAATGTAGGGTGACAGCAACATCGTACTTGGGTCGGCGAACTCGGTTGACGGCGACATCGTCGGCTTGGCAAACGTCGCGAGGACCCACTTGTCCTTCTTGAGCCCCTCAAGCCAGCGCAGTGCCTCCGTCTCACCGCGGACACAGATGACGTCGCCGCGACGCTGCCTTGACAGGATCTATTCCGAGGCTAAAGGGGGTCGTCACCGCAAATCCAAATTCCTCCCCGCCATTCACCCTTCCCTTGACCGCCTTGGTCGCTGTCTCCTCGGCAGCATGCGCGGCATCCAAGCAGCTGACTGGTTGCTCGCGCTCGCCGCCCAGGCCGGCATCGTTGAGATCTACCGAGGGTGCACCTAGCTTTTCGGTGCAGTAATTCAGACCTTGGAGTGATTTGGCGAGCTCGAATAGAACAGTGACGAGAAAACAGGGCCTGGAACTCTCCAAACCGCTTAGAAAGAGGGAAAGAGCGCAGTTGTCGCCGGCAGCTGCGAAGCGGCTTGCGGTACGAAGGCGAAGAAAGGCATCAGTCAGCGAAGAGCTTCATGCCCTCGGCCTCGGCCTCAAACGCTCCACTACTTACCTTCTGAGACTGTTACATGCTCGTGATGGGGTCACTCTTGTGCTTCTCCGCGAATGCCCGAGTGGGTCGTATGACCAGCGACTGTTCTTCTTGACGACCTGAAGCCGCTCTTATCCATACTTTTCTTGACTTTCCTATCGCGACAGGCAGAGTAGCCAGTGCATTCGTTCTAAAAGCAGATATGCGTGTTATTCCAGTGCTTGACGAGCTCCGATAGCAGCTGCGTCGGATCCCCACGGATAACAAGCAGCGTCAACAGCAGCGCCAACAGCAGCTGGACCGCCTCGAGTATCGAGGCGAGGTTCGACATGAATTGGAACAGGAACCGAAAGTGGTTGGCAGACACCCAGTGTATGTAGATGTACTGTTCGGGGGACGAGTAGTGCGCGGCTGAGTTCTCAAATTGGAGTCAGACTGCCGGGTTCTCCAGTCACATTCGTGTTCCAGCAGCAAACGGGGAGAAAGCAAACGGCTTGATAGGCCCAAGGCTGCATGTGGGGTAAGCGAATCATGCAGGCGCTGGTCAGTCCTGAACCAGTGCAGAACTCGAGGTGCGCTGCTCTCTGCCGGAGCGGCAGCTTTTGCTTTAGGGGGAACATTCCCATTTTCCTTGCAACGACAGAAATTAGGAGGATTGCCGAATCTCCGCGAGTGCGTGACCTGGGCTAACGTGGGCCGTTCGCCTACGCTAAAAGCGAGACGCGGTTCGGGGAGTCCGTCAGGTGGAGAACAATGTGTAGTTGCATCCTTGTCAGAAGGCTAATAGATACTGTAGTTACGGAAAGGATGAGCGACGGATGGCGGGGTGCACAAGAAGCTGGTGCATACGCCGTGTTGTACCAACCTCACTTCTGTGGCGTCGCCGCGTTGCATAACGATGCCAAACCAAGGCTGATCGGCAAGTGATCGACGGGCGAATCGCGGTCGTGTGGCGCTGATTAGATGACTGAGGCAGCACTACGTGACATACCAGTTTGCACCGATTTGCGCAATAGCAGACTGCAGCGTATAATAGAATCTGATCCAACACATTCTGCTCGTGGGAGCCCGAGATGAGACACCGTTTTCGGAAGCACCGAACAGCCAAAAACCATGACAGTGCAAGTATGTTGTGCACCCAGACCACTGCCTGTCCCCCACTAGTTGACCACCTAGACAGCACCATTTCCATCTTCCAGCCTAATAGCTGTTTCGTGGATACTGCCGTTTGTATTTGAACGTGACCTCCGCATTTCAGTCGCCCTTCAATGAAGGGAAGGCCGATATCTTTCTTTTGGAACATCAGCCAACAATCCCCGGGTCTCTGCCACTGATCGATTCAGCCGTGCCCGGTGAACATGTCCACGCAGTATTCCTACCCCCCGCCAAACATGGCGCCGCCGCATCCCTATGCCAGCGGGGCACCCTACGCCGGCGGGAATGTCGGCGGCGACCAGGCCGCGTTCTACAACCAGACACAGCAGGCGCCGGCAGGCTACTACAACAATGGTGGCGGGTTCAGCGGAAAAGATGACAAGATGCTCCTTGCGCCACATGGCTTCGAGGGGCAGCGGTGCGAGCCGAAAAGGCCCAAGTTCAGGGACGTGAGTTGGTGCATTCCTGCATGTCCTTGCTTTCAGACTCGTCTGCTCACAAGATGCGAATTGAATGGCAATTCTCCATCGAAAGCCCATCTTCGCCCTGCTCGTCCTCGCCGTCCTCGCGGGGTTCGTCGCAATCTCGGTTATCTCACTACGCGCATACTCAACGTCAGACGTCAGCGGAAGCATAGGTGGCAAGGGTGGCATCGGAAGCACACTCAATCATCATACCGCCATCCTGTTGATGCTGAGCTGCGCCGTCGCGTTGGTGTTAAGCGTTTTGTACATCGTAAGTGTGCACGTCCTTCTAAGCCTTCGAAGAGGGGAGGGACTTCAGTTGATTTCTCAACGCCTCCATCCTTTTCGGGGATATAGCTGCTCGTTAAGCTCGCCACTACGATCGTCCTCGAAGTGACGCTGGCGTTGAGCGTTCTCGCAAACGTTGCATATGCAGTCCGTGAGTGATGCACTGTCTTACTGCAGTGCAACATTCATGCTGATTGGAAAGTCTGCTTGCACCTCTGGCAGTACTCTGGATCCGTGGCTTCACATCGGCGGCCATCATCTTCACCATCTTTTCCGTCATCTCGATCGTATCGTATTTCTTCAGTGCGTTGCTTTATTGCTTTCCCCGCCCTGCTTCTCCTAATGCACTGACGCACGGCGCGCTCTACCACACAAGTTCGCAAGCGCATCCCGCTTGCCAAGCTAATGCTGCGCACGATCATCCGTGCGTCCAACGAATACAAGTCGACGTACATCGTCGCGCTGCTCGGCCTCGTCGTCCAGACCGCCTTTAGCGTCTGGTGGGCCTGGACGCTCGTCGCCGTCTACCAACGCTTTGAGCCGGGTACCAGCGCCAGCGGGAGCAGCGCCAGCTCCGGAGCTGTCACTGGCCTTGTTGTTTTCCTTGTTTTTGCGTGGTATTATCTGAGCGAAGTGGTGAGTCACTACTGGGGTGAAAGACTTGACTGGAGCTGAACAAAGTGCCCTTCTTCCGACAAGATCAAAAACATCTTCTTTACAACCGTCGCCGGCGTTTACGCTACCTGGTATTACAATGAAACAGGAGCCAAAGTCAACCGTGCCGCCCTGTCGAGCTTCAAGCGTGCGACAACGTTTTCGCTCGGCTCGATTGCCTTCGGCTCGCTCATTGTTGCCTTGCTTGACCTTCTCCGGGCCGTCCTCAACGTTATCCAACAGAGCCAGGCGCAGGAGGGCGACGTCATCGGCACTATCGTCACCTGCATCGCTGAATGTTGTGTCAGCTGCATTGACTGGATAGTACAGTACTTCAATCGCTATGCATACATCAACATCGCTAGTGAGTCGTCTTGCCACCACAATTAGACACCTCTTCAGGCGATGGTTGAGGGTGATGTACTGACAATCTATCGATCATGCAATCTCTTCGCTCAGTGTATGGCAATTCGTACATCGAAGCGGCCAAAGAGACGTGGGACCTGCTGCGCAACAAGGGCATCGACGCGCTGATCAACGACTCGCTTGTCAACATCGTCTACATGATCGGAGCGTACATCATCGCGACGCTGACGGCGCTCTTCGCGTACGTCTACCTGCGCCAGACTAACCCAAGCTACGTGCAGGAGCAAGGAAACTACTTCTCTGTCATCCTGCTCTATGCGTTCGGGCTCGGGATCAACATTGCGCTCGCCCTTGGCCAAGGCTCCATCGGCAGCGGCGTCAGCGTGCTCTTCGTTGGGCTCGGCGAGGACCCGCAGCTGCTCGCGCATAGGGACCCTCAGCTGTTCGAGGCCATCCGTCAGGCGTATCCCGATGTCGTCCGGCCCGTCGCATGAATTCATGCGTGCAATTGCCGAATGCAACGATGCGCACACGCGACGCTTGCGAGAACGATGTTCGCATTTTAGAATTATAAGGAGAAATCAAAGAATCGTTTGCAATTCATAATGCCCATGTACGCGTCTACCTCTATTTGTGCATTCTGTATGTGTGTGTGCCTCCAGTGCGTTATATCTTACCGGTCTCTAGTGGATGACGATTTAACCGCGCCATTGCTCAAGGGTAGTACAAACTGCAGCAGCACTCCTGTCGCTCCCTATCGCCTCGACGGTGTGCCAGAAGGCGTACCCCCGACGAATGGATACGTAGTGTGCAAAAGCTGCGAGCAGGATGAAGACGTGGAAGCTGCTCCGGCGATGCGTCGGTCGAAAAACGGTAGGGAAGGAAAGTGTCAGCTGATGCTCAAAGAAGGTGAAAACTGGGGATCAAGCTACATTTGATGAGACGCGCCCTGGTGTGTCGCAATTAGATAGCAGCGTCGCATCAGTTGGAAAGTCGAGAGGTCGGTCAACTCTTCTGGATCCTCTTCGATTCTCACAATATAATCGAACCTTCCCGGCGCAAAACGCTCCGGCACGCGAAAGACGTAGAGCAAGGCGCCGACCACGTATAGCGCTCCACTAGCGGCGAGGAAGTTGACGCCCATCATTTTGGCGACATTTTCGTGCTGACGATGAGAAAGTGACGCTCAGCTTCACATGCAATCAAGGCTGAAGATTCGACGCTTGAGTGATCACACGCATACTTACACCGTACAGCATGAGGACGTGCGCAGTCGGAAAGACAGCGCTCAGCCCATGGCTAAGGAATATTGTAGTGCGGACCGGTCGGTAAGCGGGTGTTGCATAGGACGGGTTTATGACTAGGAAGGTTGCCAGGGCACCCAAGCTCAGATTGGCGAGGGTGTACATCCTCTGAAGATAAGGGTGGCAGTGGAAGCCATAAAATAGCGCGGGCCTAGGTGGATGGTGCCGAGAAGCGCTGTGCTAGTCAGTGGAATCTAACGCTATGCAGCACGGCCGTGCGTGCGAGACTCACACAAAGCTGCCGCAGATCATGGCGACAATCCCGACGTAGTCGAGCTGGTGGCACCGCTTCGCGACGTCGCTCGAGTGCGCCTGGAGCGTGTGGAATGTCGCGCTGAAGCTAAGGCACGCGGCGGCGCCGACGAAGAAGGCGGTGAAGCTGATGATGTCGAGCGCATGCGGTGGACGGGACCATGCTGTTGCGATATGTGTCGCAGTGAGCGGCATGTCGAACTGGAGGACCTGGTTCAGCGGCGCCGGTCGGCGCAGCAGGCTGCCGGCCATGCCACCGCCGCCGCGATGCACGAGCGTTGAAGTAGTGCTAGTCAGGATCGAGGCGCCCTTTGATGCGACATGCGCCTGGCCCGCTCCAAGCGTGGAAGATAAGGACACTGCGGAACGCAGGCGCCCAGCGAAGCTGGTCGGCTCAGTTACCGTCAGGACCCGTGCGGGGAAGGAGCGCGGCGAGAAGATGGGGTGGTGGGCAAGTGGGTTCAGGAACGAGGGTAGGAGGTCGAGGTAATGCAGCGTATGCAGGAAGGCGAGCAGCACGGCTGCCAGTGCGCCCCATAAGTGAGTGTGAATGTTCACTGGAAACGACAAGGCGGGAGCATCGAGTGGGTCAGATAGGGTGTTGCGGAACTCGAGAGGATGGATATCGAACTCACCAGTCTCGTTGTGCCAGTACAACCAAATCGAGTTCCAGCATTTTTGAAGCGTATCATGCTCGAAAAGGATGGTCTCTTCCGATACTGTCTCTACACCAGTGACAGTTTTTCTCTCATCGCTTCGAGCAAATGGCTCTGATGCTTTTGCCCTCAAGCGAGGCTTGCGGAGCGACTTGCCATCGGATGCGACGGCGCTCGCATGGCCGTTGAGCTGGCCGTGTGTCACCTTGCCCTTGTCTTTCGCATCAGCATACGTGCCGCCCGGCCTTCGGTAGCCGGTAATGACGAAGTCATTGTCGTGGCACCATGCTGGCAACTCGTCATGCGTGCAGAGGTACTCGTTGGATGCCGAAGGGCCCATGATCGTAATAAACGCGGCACGCCGCTGACGCGACGCGATGCGATGCGGTTAGGAAGGTCTGCGGTCTGTGGGTTGCCTTGGCTCGTGCTGCTGGTTACCGTTCGTCACGTTGAAGAGGGTTTGCGCCGTGACTGATGCGAACTTGGACGATCAGGTGCATACTCATAGCATAATTCGATCTCTCTTGCTGGAGCGGGTGGCAGGGTGGTGCTGCGCGGAGGTCCAAAGATCTGAATGATCACCCAAAATCTCGTCTACGCCGTCGACGTCGACAAGGCGGTGATATGTTCTAAGGGGACTCTCGTTCACAATTCTTCAAAAGTGGACGACCCCACCGTCGCTGAATGTATTTCTTTGCAAGCGACGGGCGCAGTAGCCGTGCTTTGGACTTGAAAGAGTGGGTAACATCGGCGATCGTAGTAGCGGGTGGTGAGTACTAATGACCTCCTTTGACCGGGACCCATATTCTCCTCGCCGCGCCAAAGGCAACTTGACGACTCCCGCTTCCCTCTCGATCAACCGCTTATCCTGACATTATTGCCGTGACTCAGACCGAGTTTATCATATCTCTGCAGACAAGTCTGGGCTGCCAACAAATCGTTGCAGGCGGGGGGCGGCCTCGCACATTAATGTGGCGCGCGCCCAGATCGCTTGCCGGGTGCATTGTTGAAGGCCAGATACCTGTAGCGGTCAGCCTTTGTAGTCAGACCTATCTGCCGCGTGCCGAGCCCATGGCCTGCTATCAGCGATGCATCGCGTGTCGGCAACGATGAACGGAGCCACAAAGGCCCCCGGCGACCATATCCGTCGTCCGTCACCTTCCAATCGGTCGTCGTCACTATCGCACGGGAGGTGGGAGAGCGAACCTCCTGCAGGTCCGAGCGCAAGCAATACAGCGGTCGCTTCGGATACTGCAGATGGCTCTGGGAGGCAAGTTACGCAGCAGATCGAGGAGGCTGGGAAGACGGAGTCGACTGCCTCATACGCATTTGACTTCGCAAATCCCATTTCGGCAGTCACAGACGCGGATCAGGCCAACCTCAAGTTCGACTCATTCGAGCTCGCGTCCCCTTCTGTCTCCCGGCCTCGCCGAGCAACCCCATCGTCAAAAGCGACATCAGTCGCGCATTCCTTCCCATCACTCTTTCGACAGACCAGCTCTCCAGACTTGGGTTCGTTGATCAATTTCCAAAGAAGTGGTGAATCAAAGGCGAAGCCCGCAGACCCGGGCTATCCGCTCCTCTTTGGAAATCGCGCTGCCCTGCAAGAGGAAGCAGCTTTCGCTGCGGGCAGTCCACGAAGTGCTGGCGGGAACGCAAGGGCGCACCGAAAGGCTGCATCGTCTTCCTCCATCGCGCTAGGGCAACCGCTTCAAGCAAGCACAGAAATACCTGCCTCAGCGCCTTCGAGCGACCTGTTCCCGAATAGGCCCCCGCGTCTCACCGGTCAAAATAGCGAAGATAACATGCGCTCGCTGACCCACAGGCAGGAACTCCCACGTAAGCCGACCCATACCATGCTGGCATCACACTCGCCGCAGCACGGACCCCAGCCACTTTCACCTACCAGTCAGTCACCCAATGCTGTTATAGGCCGAGGCAGCATAAAAAGCTCAAAATCACGCCACAGTCTTCTACCAGGCTTTTTCCGCGGCTCTTCCCCAAGTTTAAAGGGCAAAGATGCGGCTCTTCCGGCTTCCTTGCCATCCTCACCATCACATTCTCGAGAGGGCAGCCCTGCACCGGCTTTTAAGAGCCTCGCCGAGACCGGAGAGAAGTTGGCGACTGGGGGTCCTCTCGCAGGAAAGCGGCGCATCATTTCAGACGATGACTTTGCATCACCGGATACCCTCATCGAACCAGATGGCCTGCCGCTGGCTTCCGAGCGCTGGCGCAACGGCAGCATCTTGCACTCTGGGTTGGGCGTGAAGCTGGCATCTCACGATGCTCCAATGGATGAGGCCAAAGGGGTGAGCGTAGGTCAGCAGGACGCGCCACCCGCACCGACACCCCCTGCCGCGCTGTCTTTCTCATCTCGCAATGCGTCAGGAGTCAGCATCAACGAATCCAACATATCAGAAGGCAGACCTGAAACCCGTGCATCAGCCAGCATCTCGCAAAACGCCTCGAGCCAGTCCGATCCGGCAACCTTCACAAAGTCGCAGGCCGCCCATTCGGCTGGCATCTCCGTACGAGATCTGCGTCCGAAGAGCTATCAAGGTCTGCAGTCGAACGATGAGACGCTCGTTCGAACAACGCAGCAGTCGTCCTCTTACAACTCTTTCCAGGGCTCGCCGCTCACGACTCCAAAGCGCATGCGTCCACGACCCGCGTCGCTCATTGCAAGCCCGTCGATGCCGAATGTAGCAGGCCAAGCCAGTCGTCGTGTGCACGATGAGGACGACAAAAAGCTCGATGATGCGCCAAGGCGACGCGGCAAGCAGCGTATGTCCATGCTGGAATTCTTGCGCACTGACACGGTCACAGGCAGCGGCAATGGCCTAAGTGCGCTGGATCGCTCGGGCTCATTCAGTGCCCCCATCGCATCTACTTCCTTTTCTCCGTTCGCATCCTCCCAGCCCGCTGCTCGGCTCGAAGGTGGTCGCGCAACGAGGGACGCCTATGATGCTGCACCACGTAGCGCAGGACCGGCGATCATGTTCAACAGCAGCAGTGGCCCGGAGACAATTTCAGCGACCAAGGCCGGCAAGCAGCGGCAGACGGGCTCCAGCTGGTCGGGTGCAGCCGGCGAGGCGCGGCCGTCACCCGCGGCTGGCGCTGCAAACACATGGACTGTTCACGTGGCGCTTAAGCCCATGACGGACTCAGTCACGATGTTCGGTACCAGTCAGACAACGTCCAAATACTCCCTCTCTGGCTCGGTCGTGCTGACGATCCCGAGGAAGCGGAGAGGCACAAGAGGGTGCGAGCAGCTGACGTTCAACCGAGAGGTTTCTTTGTCGCCGGCTAATCGCCACTTGAACACTGAATCTGACGCCCCTGTCCCATCAATTGCGTTACCCGACTCTCCGGATGCCGAAGAAAAGGCCCACATATCGATAAGAGACGAAATACACGTCAAGTCTATCAAGCTCGTCTTCTCCGGCTACTCGCTATACTTTGATCCGGCTGGACGATTCTCGGGGCTGAAGCTAGCGGACGTGACGCAAGACCTGCTCCCAACCGGCGCGAAAATCCCGCTAGACTTTGACGAGTCATCGCACGATCCGCTGAAGTATGAGATCGAATTCGACATCTCTATCCCTGGCTGCCTGCCAGCCAGCATCCGCACTCCGTTCGGCGCAACATTCTACACGTTGCGCTCCACTGTTCGGTACTTCAACTCGACGGAAGCGGCAATGGCAGCGTCGTCGACGTTGACTCCCGCAGGCATGTTCAAGCTTGCGCCTGGTTTGAACGTCTCGCCGCCGACTAGGTCCTCATCTGCAGGTTCCGGAGAGGTGGATACATCCTTGGCCTCCGCCGCTCTTGAGGCCTCAGGAGGCGCAAAAATCGCATTGTCTTCGGCAAGGTCCCCCTCGCCCATGCCCGCGTCCGCTAGCGCGCCTGCTGGCATGTCTCTTCCTCTGGCGGATCCAAAGCAGCAACCTCAAGCGCATGCGGGGGCATCAGAGTCACGCCAGAAGAGCAAAGGTGGTTGGTTGACCAAGCTGATCGGCGCATCGTCTAGCAAGTCACTCGAGCCGAGCGCCGCAAGTAACGAAAGTGCATCCACCCCACAGAAGCACCGCAAGATGAGGGAGAATTCGAGATTGCCCTCTCATCCAACAGATGGAAGCACGGTCACCGAAAGCCCGATTGTTCCTATCATCGTTCGCAGATGCAGGGACGTCGTGCCTATCCCGGTGGCTCGCATGGCGCATGGCGAGATGGAAGGCATCCCAACCGATCCTCCGCCCGCCACTCGCAACGCGCGTAGGGTCGTGCCACCTCGCATTTCTTCGTCATCGTCTGAGGTGCCAGCGTCCTCGAGTGAACCCGACTCTCAAGGCGCACAACGCCCCGCGACGCCAGCAGCGCCCAATAGCATCTCTGCAGAGGAAACGCCGGAGATGCTGCTTCCACCATCGCAGCCGGTCTCACTTGCACGTGCTCGGAACGACAGCCTCGCTCTCATTCCAGGACTGGACTCAAAGCGACCTGCGCTATACGGCCGACGCTCTTCTCTTACCGACCAATCTTCGAATGGACATCTTCCGCCTCATCCCGCTGATGATCGGCCTTGCCATAGTAGCAGCAATTCGTCTCATGCGCCCATGCGGCACTTTCTCCATCGGCCTGTCTTGCACCCTCCCATTGAGGCCGGCTGCAGTGAAGAAGGACTGCCATTTCTGCTCACGGTATCGGTGCCGACGTATGTCCACACGAGCGGGCCTCAGTGTGACATTCTGAATTTTGGTATTCAAGTGGATCTGAACGAGCATCTTGGCTGGAACAAAGTGCGGTTATTGGGTGGTCTCCGACTGCGACACATGGAATTGCTGTTGACGCAATCAGAACGACACAGGTGAGGCGGTACACTTTAATGGAAACGTTGCGAACCTTCTTGACTCACATTCCATACATCTGAAGCACACTGGCCTCGCGCGGTTTCTGCTTCAACTTTCCACTCCCGAACTCGCCAGAAGTGGACATCCACGACCTTCCCTCGCTGATCGATCCTATGCATACACCGAAGAATCAAAATCTGTCGACTGATGAGCTGTTGCTTCGACGTGGCTACGATCGGACACATGTTGAAACATGCAAGAAGATTATTGCTGCGGGTCAGCAGCCAGACGGCGAAGACAAGAATGTCGAGATTGCCAGGACCATTGTGATTGGCCCTCCTTCGATGATGAAGAATGAAAATGCCGAGCAGCCTGCACACTCAAAGAAGCTCCGAAAGAAGAGCAAGCTGGCTGGCACAGGCTTCGGCATAGATGCTGTCGTTCAAGAGCAAGGACCGTCGTCAAGCTCCAGGGTTGGTGTACCTTCAGCATCAGGCTCGAGCAGACTTACTCGCGAGCCAGCCTCCGAATGCATTGCAACCCCAGCCCGCCCGCCTGCGATACCGCAGACAGCGATTCCGGACACGGGCATGCAGCCAGTGCCCCCAACCAGTGCATCCAGGGAAGGAGATTTGCCAGAACTAGCGGCTGCTGGGAGATCTGCTGGCCCAAGCCTTGGTTCGGGTCAGGCTGTGGCATCAGGCTCAAACACCTCCAGGCGAGGTAGACGCCTTGCACAAAGCGCATGGTCTCGTTTGACGGGCCTCGCCAACGCAGTTCTAGAAGCTGGCATGGACTCCTTCCATGATGAAGAAATAGAGCGACAGATGGGAGAGCAGTCTTTGAGGCCGCATGCGACATACAGCTTTACAGGCGATGACGGGCATGGTGTAGACTTGACAAAAGGAAGGGTCCGCATGACCGTCAACTTGCCGCTCATCACGTCAAGGAGCAACCCCGACCGATCGTTCCAAGCCGCCGTGCTCATGGCTGACTTTGAAGGACCGTTTGCTCGAGTGCGACACAAGCTTCAAGTCAAGCTTGGCTTCGGCTTTGGAGACAAGCCTCTTGGCGAAGGTGAATGGGGCCAGGCCCTTGTCATGTGTGTTCCAGTTAGTATTCCAGACTTTTTGACGCCGCCTTTCCACGAGAGCTTCCATGCGCCATGCGCTAACTTGGCCTTACTACCCACTCTTGCAGGTCCGTTTCAGTGAGCCTCCGCCGCCAGAAGTCCGCCATCAGTTTGGTGCGACGGCCAATCGACTGGCCGCATCGACATGTAGCCCCTTCAGCGTGCATCAGACACCGAATTTACCCGCACAGACGCCGGTTCTCCCAGCATACACGCAGCTGTTCCGGGAAGATGGATCTCGCTTGGCGGATGAAGGAGAAGACCTACCGCGTTACCCCGGCCACGCGGCGGAAATGTCACGTCGTGGCACCATCTCGGGCCCATCGCCTCGGCCTGACGGACAGCCGGCTGGAGATGCGCACTGGAGCATGATCACTGCCTCCGAGGTGGTCGACGACTCAATCGACCCGGACGAGGTCGCAGCGTCCGAAGCGGCTGCAAGGGAGCATGCACAAGAGTTCTCCGAAGATTCAGCTCTGGATGAGCGGGTCGACATCGACACGGATCTGCCGGATGAGGAACGAGCACGCGAGGTTCAAGACGACGAGGATACCGTCACTGTCACGCCCATGTTCGTTTCCGCCTGTGAAGGGGCACCTTGGGGCACAACCACCCTACGCTAGCCATTTCACAAACTGCAAAAGGTATAGCTATGCGCAATGCCAGTCATTGGACCATGGCAGAGCCATTGCATACACAGTCACTTTCCGTCTGAAGTCTCGGAGACTTCTTGAAGCGTGGGGGCCTTGTATGTTGGCTTGCTCAAGCATCTCGGGATGTCCAAGTACACTATGCGAACGCTCTCGATCGCCTTGTCCGACGAACCTGCCCGTCGAGATCCTCTGAGATGCCACAACGTCTCCGGACGTCGGTTCTGCAATGCAAGTGCTGCTAAGATGACAAGTTCCGTCTCTGACAAGTCAATCACTTTGCAATTGCTGAGGATCAGGCCGTAGTTGATTGGGAATGTGAGCAGGACGAGATCTTGGCAATTGCCAAAGCTTTCGTCGATGCTGGCCATGTTGTGCTGGTACGCCTTGCGCAGCTGCTCGCCGCCGCGCTGATCGACGTTTTCGACTGTCTCGCCTTTTTGTGCAAAAAGCCTTTCTCGCCGGTGCGACCCTGGTGCTCTTTGGCTTCCTCGCGCAGGTACGCCGTCAGAGCGAACGTGCCCTCGATCGCGGGTGGAATACCATATAGGACCGAGCCTTTGACCAGAGTTTCTTTGATCCGCCGCGAGATTGTAATACACTCGGTATCGATTTCTTTTGAAGTGCAGGAGGCCTATGATTTGGTAGCAAGCTTATAGATTTCCGGGACCGCACAACCCTCATGAGCGGAAGCGCAGGTTGCCTTGAAGATGGTGCTGTTGAATCAGGCATTGAATGAAATGTGTATTCCTTTCGGTGCGGGCGCAGAAAACTCCCTACCAATTCGTCTGCTGGAGATCAACATGCAGCTGGCTCTTCCACTTGACCAGCTCCGTGGAGCTGATAGAGGGCGGTCAGCCGTCGGGGGCAACCTGCTGCGACATGGCGGTACGCACTGTTGGCCCCACGGCGTCTTCATTTTCCAGCCTTGGTTTATTGTGAATACAGAAGACGAGATTTCGCGGTAGGGAGCTGACTCCTCGGGACCTTCTCTGCAGCATGTCCCTGTTGCATCGCTACATCTCAGCCTTTTGATCCCCAGCGTTGACTCCCTGGGCTGCACACGTCATAAGAACCATCCATACTCCTACACATGTGCACGGCAGATGTCACTAGCAGCCTATCCGGTACAACTGCTGGCGGAACACTTGCAACACAACAGCAACAGCGATGCATTCGGTCGAAAGTAGGGTTGAACCACCCCACACCCACGTCGCTCGCCGCGAGCCGCGCAGACGAGCCAAGGACGACTTGCTTTCTTGTGCCCGCATCTCCAACAAGGTTGCAACGTGTTTCTCTGCAAGCAACTCTTCTGACGCACCTCATATTCAAGCTGGCCCAACGATCAAACCACGAACAGCAGACGAGGTTTGAGCTGAAAGCAGGGCACACGCTCGAGGTTGAACTGCAATATGGACTCTCGCATGCGGGACGTGTCCGGTTCGCGCGGCCGCGGCGCCGGCAGGCAGCCAAGAAGGAGTGACCCTTACGACGTGAGTCTGACGTACCGAAGGATGCACTGCGTGACGCTCAAAGCATAGCACCTCCAGATAAAGCACTGATCGCTTTCTTTTGGTATATATACAGCGCTCACAGCGGCTAGAAGGGTCGCGGATGGCGTCGGCAAGTGCTTGGGACAATGCAGTACCAGCAGGTATGTGCAAATCGCACGCGCGCCGGACTGTGCGTGAACGAACTGAGCCCACGAAAACTGACCCTTCTGCTTCACCGCTGCAGAAACATCACCATCCTATCCGCCAGCGGCGATCAGCATCAAAGGCTCGGGCGGTCCATATGTAGTGGTTGTGGGAAATGTGGCGAAAGGGACGAGTCTGGAGGACATCAAGGTAGGCGATGCTTGACCGCTAGGCAGGAAAGGCCGCAGCAACTGACGATGATGTGTCTGTAGTTGACTTTGGAACCATATGGAGAGGTTTTATACGTAAAAGTGAGAATTTCATTAGGGGACATGCTAAAGATGCGCCCGATGCTGACTGCTCCTCTTCCCTCTTTCTAATCTTGTGCTACCAGGAACGGCCGCCTCCCTCGCTGAATTACCCCTCCATTTCCTTCGAGGTCTTCTTTGCGCGCAAAGAAGATGGCCAAGCGGCATGTCACTCGCTGAACGGGTGTCTAGCTGATGGTCGCGTCCTGTCCGTGGCGGCGGCGACGCCAGAGACCGTCAGCTCAGCATTTTCCAACTTTAACGGTCAAGTCTCCGCAGCGGCACGCCAACGCGTCGGGGAGACAGGAAACATTGTACCCGGCCCTGCGCCCGTGCCACGCGGTGCACCGGTAGCTGGCAGCAGCAGGACCCACGTCGGCACACATGCTGCGCCAGCTGCGGGCAGGGAGCTGATGGGCGGCAGCAATAACCATATCAACTCAGGGAGAGCAAAGGGACAGAATACATCGGGTCCACAGCCTTTTACCGGTGGCAATGCCAGGAAGACTTTCGCACCGGCCGCAGGAGCAGCAGGGGCGAAAGCAAAAGCAAAAGCGGTGCCAACGGCTCCGGCGCCGAAGAGTCTGCAGAACCGCCTCGGTCTCGGGCCAACAGCAGCGGAGAAAGCGCGAACAGAGGCGATCAAGAAGGCGCAGAAGAAGGGCACTGTCGCTACGAGGAACGGGAACGCCAGAGGTGTCGCAGTCGCTGTTTCCGGTGCTGCTGGCAGCGGCAGTGGCGGCAAGAAAGGCGGTGCAGCGGCATTGCCAAAGAGCCTCAAGGAGCGCATCGCCGTACCACTCGCGGAGCGCCTGGCGGCTGCGTCGACGAGCGCGTCGGATCCGTGAGTACGGCCTTCGCATCCCGGTTGGCGAGCGCGTCGCTTCGGTCAGAGCATGTCGCGCTGACCGTCATGCTTTATTTCCCTCTCCCACCCTTCTCTTTTCATGGTTCGCAGCGCAACCGCCGAGGCCAAGAAGCGGAAACGCGAGGCGTACAAGGCCAAGTTGGCAGCTAAGAAGGCTGCGGCGAAGGGTGGCATGGATGTCGATTGATTCATTCTTACGTTCGACTGGAGAGAGGTACGGGATGCTGCGTGGAGGACAGAGCAGAGCAGACCACGTGCGCCAGGCGTAGGAATAGCATGAAGCTAGGGAAGGGGTTCCCTCTCTCTTTTTTCCTCTTTGTAATCGTAGCTCTCGGACTTTTGTGAGCTAGATACAGGCAGGCAGAAGGCTGAGCCCAGAGTGAGGTGGCCGTTTCTACGAAAACCTGCGTGGCGTGTGACATCTGCCTCCTGGTCGGTCAGCGGGTGAACCAAGCACTTGCTCCAATGCGCGCTCTTCCACCAGACCACTGACGGTCGATGCCACGGAGGGCACGCAAAGCCGTCACGTTCATGTCCAGCTTCCAGGATGCACAGGTCTACCGAAACGCCATTGCGCGCAACGGGCCCATGCTGTTCGCTGCTCCCTCCCCACTTGCCGGGTGCCCCGCACGGCTCCGAGCAAGACCGTGCTCCAGGAGGCTCTTAAGGAGACTGGAAAAATTTTCTCGGCGATTCGCAGCGTCAGGCGTTATAGAAGCAGAAACTAGCAAATCGCGGCGCACCGTTCTGAACCTCATTGGCATCGGGGTCAGCGCTTCCATATATCAAGCCCGCCTCCAGCTTCGACGGAGTGGAAAGGAGGTGACAGCGACTGCCTTGCCTCGTTTCTGAGAATCGAGTCAGCTGATTGGAAGGAAAGGCGCAATGACTGCAATCCGAATGGAATACCTGGCATCCCCTAGATGGTTGTCTGGAAATAAAATGTATTGCAAGTCTATGCCGGATAATTTCAGTATGACCCTGCGGCAGCTAGCTGGGAGGCTTCTCCTCCGTTGGCCTCTGCAACAATTGCCTTGGTCCCGCTCGCGCCGACCCTGGTCGCACCATGCGCAACCATCGTTTTGACCGTCTCGAAGCTCCGGATGCCTCCGCTCGCTTTGACCTCGACCTTGCCGTTTCCGTAGCGCTGCGCGATCTCGTACATAAGCCGCACGTCCTCCGCCTTGGCGCCACAGCCGCCGTACCCTGTGGACGTCTTGAGGAAGCGCGCGCCAGCGCCGACAGCGATGTACGAGCTGATGGCGATCTCGAGCGGTGTCAGCTGCGCTGTCTCGAGGATCACTTTGACTGGGCTTCCCGCCGCGGCGTGCACGACGGATGCAATATCTGCCCAGACGGCTGCGTAAAGGCCAGACTTGAGCAGGCCGATGTTTTGCACCTTCTCAGATGGCATCAGTTTGCCAAGTCTCCGGTTGAGGTGAATGCGGTGCGCCACACGTACGTACCATGTCAATCTCTTTCGCGCCGTCTTTGACGGCCTGCACCGTCTCCGCGACCTTCCCCGCGGTGTTGCCGGCGCCGAACGGGAATCCAACGACGGCGATCGGGGAGACAGCACTGCCTTTCAGCGCCTGCACGGCATGCGAGACGACGCTGCTGTTCACGCACACAGTCTTGGCGCCGCACGCGACAGCGTCGGCGCACACGGCATCGATCGCGCTCAGCGACGACGAGGGCGCCAGCAGCGTGTGATCGATGAGCGCCGCCACGGCGCTACCACTGCCGCTGACGAGCGCCTGCAGCAGTACCGGCACAGGGTACAGCGCGGGCAAGGGCTGCGTGTGCAACGCGAGCGCCGTGAGCGAGCCGATGTCCACGTCCAGTGTCGAGGGCGCTGCGACGTGTGCCGGCAGTGGCGCTTGAAAGGTCATTGTAAAAAATAAAATAAAAATTTGACGCAAAGGCCTGGAGCTTTGGCTTGGATATGAAGATGGCGTGGCTCTGCCTCTGGCTCTGAATTTCCAACTACCCGGCGACGCACGTCGACTGGGAAGAGCCGCGCTCGATTCGGGGGTATCGGATGATGGAGCAGACGTTGGAGAAGTTGCCGCTCTACCCAGGCTGTCTCTTGCCAAGAAAGCCGAATGGGCGACAAATACATGTCTGAAGAGTGGAACTAAAGGTAGGGTTGTGATACTTGCTCGATTGACAATCAATTCTCGGCCGAGAGAGTGGAAGCGCTCGGCCGGCTGTCTAATCTGCTCGGCACGGCACCAGTCGGCTGACTGTGGGCGATAGTGATCGACTGGAACAGAGTAGATGTTCCATCCATTGCTGCTGCTATCACCACACGCCGAGGTTGGCATATACAGCCAGCCGACCATTCCATCTCGTCGCAGCCGGCTGGGAGATCGTTCATCGCGCAGGCTGGCCTTGCGAGATATTCTGCTGCTCCCCTCCATCTTCGTCAAAACGTGCTGCTGGTCAGCCGAGCACAGAGATAGTCCCTGGAGGACTCATTCGAGCCAACCATCCCGCACGCGCTGGCGCACATCTCGTCGTACAGACGCAGGAAACAAGCATTTGAGGCGTCTGCACCTGCGCACGCTCTGCTGCGTTGATAAGATGCGTGCCACCGGGGTCGACTAACAGCCATCACTCCAGTCAGCTTGGCCAAAGATCGATCGCCATCAGGGTCCTGCATAGCGTCATACCTAGTGCCAGCAGCGACCGTGTGCCAAGCAAGTTCCTGCCCCCCCCCTCCCTTGTTGCTCGCTTCGTTCAGCTTCACCATCCACCACCATCAGCATCAAAGCTACGCTCCTTTCTTTTGGGTCTTTGCGCTCCTTGCTTGACAGCATCCTCCTAACCCCCCATCTACGGGCTCGGATTCAGCAGACCCGTCAGGGCGCAAAGTCCCGTCCCTTGGCACTTGGTACTGCTCGAGGCTCAACCAATCACGTTGCACACACTCCTTTGATCCGGCCTCAAATCGTCCGCTGGACGGACCCAACCCTCAAAAAGATCGAGGACGAGTCATTCCTCCGACTCATCCTCACAATACACATCCAGAACGAGCATGTCGCAATCATCTTCGGCTCCTGCTTCGTCACTCAGCACACGCCTGCGCGTACACTCACCGAGGCGGCCGCACGCTCTCACTTCGCATGTGCGGGTAGCATCCGAGTCTGCATCCACTTCCAACGCGACGAGTAGGAGTGGAGGCGTGCTGGAACACCTGGCCAGGCAGGGCATCCGCCGGACGCAGGACGTCAAACCAGAGGACGCGTGGGGGCTGTATGGCTTTCGGAAGTGTTCCGCGCCCGTGGGCCGGCAGAAGGACTCATTGGGCGCTGAGGACCAAGACCACAGAGATACAGGAAGCGGAGACGGGCCAAAGATCCCACCTGTGTCGGAGCTCAGGACATTCTCACCCGCGGACAAGGGGGCTTTGAGCTCTGCATCTGCGCCAGTCCCGGACGGCTTCGGCGGCTATCAACTAACACCAGAGCTCTTCCCTTCCTCTCCATCCCCATCGCCAGCCTTGACATTTACCCACTATGCAGTGGCACCTGCGCCACCTGCAGCAATACGCCCCCTAGCGACAACACCGCCCGCCGCGCGAATCCTCCCTGGCCCGGCGCCCAGCTCGGCAGCTCCCGCCTTCCAGGGAGGCCCGGCGCTATCGCCCTTAGCCCTGCCGCGCATGCGACCGCTGAGCACGCCAGATGCGCGGCGGACGCCTCTGCGTCTGCCTGCGCCACTTGCTGCGAGCAGCCCCCACCTCCTGGCTGGCCCGCCCGCTCAGCCGGCGGCGACGGACTACGCGCAGCCGCAGCATGCCCGCCAGATGCGCACAGTCAGCGCTGCCACGGCTCGTCTTGACCAGTACGACCCGCGCTCCGGCATGTCGCCGTCGCTGATCCAAGCGCAGCAAGACCGCCTGCGGCACTGGCGATGGAGCGCACCAGTCCAAGCGCCGCCGTCATTACCTCAGCCCGGAATGCCGATGCAGCAATACGCCAGGTACCCGACGACAGCGATCGCACCGAACAGCCACCGAAGGAGCCTGCCGCCTTCGCCGCTCACGCGCTCCTTCATGGCCGCGGACGGCAGCGAGGTTTCCGCAGCCCCATTCAGGGGAGCCATCTCGTCGTCGCCCCCGTCGCTGTCATTGTCCTCGTTACCCTCCGCTCCACACCCACAGGCGTTCGTACGCCAATACCCCGCCGCGAGCGCCAACATTGTCTTGAAGCCCGGCATGCTCGCCCCCGCGTGCATCTCCAGGTCTTGCTCTGGCAGCGACGACGCCAGCGGTGGTGCATGCGGCGCAGAGCCGCGGCTGATCCAGTCCGTGCAGCGCCAGGAGCAGAAACAGGGACAAGGGCAACGTGCGCAATCGAGCCCGATGCTCAAAATCGCCGCTGCTTTCAAGTATGCTGCTGCGTTCTCGCACAACCAGCTCGAAAGCAGGGAAGTAAAGAGAAATGGGGATGTTGCTTCGAAAAGCCAGCAGCAGCAGCACGGTCGCCGCTTGCAGAGGCGTGCACGCGGCAGCTCGTTGAGTGACGATCCGGCGCAGGGGCATGTTCAAGACGCGCCAAGCTCGCCTCGGACTGAGGCGACCAGCAGGACGCAGAGCTTGCTGTATAAGATGCGCAACGGCCGGAAAGGCCCTGCGTCTGATTCAGTCGCAGCGGCCTCCGCGCCGCCGGTGCCGCACGGACACGCCATGCCATCAGAACCGTGGAGTGCAGCTCGTGGGCCGCGAGGCGGCGTAGCGCAATCTGCGGGATCGCAGCGCCGACAGTTTGCCGGTGAGCAGAGGCAAACCAGCTCGCTCAGGCGCAGCGACCGCTCTGCATTTCTGCATCCGCAGCAACCCGCATCCAACTCGGTCGCGGCGGTTGAGATGTCGCGCCCCAAGAGCGGCAGCCGCTCGACGCAGCATTCTAGCTCATCCAAAGCTAGCTTGTCTGCCTACCAGCCTATTTCTGGCTCACAAGGCAGGAAGCGGGCGCTACGATCGGGAGCATCTTCATCGTCCATCACCTCTGCGTCCTCTCGGCACACGCAGCACTCCCGCGCATCGGCATCTTCATATTCATCGTCATCAGTCTCAGCCTCGTCGCGCAGCACAGGCCACTCGTACCGCCGCATCGCGCTGACCGCAGCGCAAGAGCTCAGCCGAGCGCTCGGCAGCGCGAGCCAGAGCAGCGACAGTCGCTATGCCATCTGCGCTGAATTCAGGCGCGACTCGTCGGGGAGCGCCAGTGCTCCACCGAGTGTCTGCGTCAGTAGGAAATCCAGTGATGCCAGTAAGAACACTAAGGTAAGTGATGGCTGTGTCCCTGTCCATACTTGACCCCAGCTGACTTCGACTGGTTCTCATGGCGATTGCAGTCTTCAAAGACAAGCATGAGCAAGTACGCGCCGATGAAGTCGTACGCCGACGCGGTTCGCTCCGCGGCACTTCAGGTGCCACCTCGCCCGCAGCCTGCAGCAGCGTTCCTCGCATCACCTGCGCGCGGCGCTGCTGCTGCTGCTCCATCCGGAGAGGCGAGAGCATTGCTACGCGCGGACGCCCTCCAGCGGAATGTCGATCGGCTAAAGGAGCAACAGCAGCAACAGCAGAGGCCGCCTTGTTCTGCTATGGCGGCTGCTCAACTACCAATACAGAATGCTGATCGCACCAGCTGGGCAGCACCTGCACCTAAAGCTGCGGTCGCAGAGACTTGGCCGCAGTATAGGACTTGTTCTCTGCCTACTGCTGTTGCTGCAACGCCTGCGCGATATCGCATGCATGAAGCAGCTGTTTCACTATCAACATCTGCTTCCGCCCCAACAGGCCCGCTGGGAATTCGCTCATCCCCTCCGCACGCGGGGCTCAACACGGCGCCTGCTCGACCTGCCCCTTCCAAGGCTGCAACACTACAATCTCGAGGTACTCCTTGCAAAGCGACATCTTCGGCTCGTTCAGCTCCCCAGACTCAGGCCCAGGCTGGCGCCCACCCACTGAGGATCGCGCGCGATACCTCTGGACAGCGCAGCCCCTTGCGCAAGACGGCGATCAAGACGACTTGCACAGCGGCTCAACAACCATCTAAGACCGCCACAGCACCGCTCAAAGCCCATACTAACCGCACCTTGGCCACTGCCTCAGCCAAGCCTGCGCGTGCGCCGCGACAAGCATCGCACACGGGTTCAGATGAAGAGGATGATCGCAGCTTGCGCACCGATGACGAAGCCAGTGAACTCTGGAAGTCGCTCGAGAAACGTCTCGGTATCGACCTTGGTGCTAAGCTGCCAACCAAGCTGCCGGCAAAGCCCACGCTGGCAGAACGACGAGGTCGGCAGGCGGTCAAGCCCGTCCTGGCCTCTGCCGACACTGGCGTGTCTCAGCAGCACGCGCGCAAGTTGCCTGTGACGCCTTCTCGTATCCCTCTGGCGAAGCATCGCCTGGAGAAGTTACGTGCAGCTCGAAGCGTAGGAGAGCTGCAGCCAAAAGTTCCCCAGGAAGCATTGCCCCCGAGCCGTTCTCCTACCGCAAGTGTTGCGAAAAATGCACGGCGCGGTCCCGGAGAACGGGATCCGCTTCCGCCTTGCTCGCCGCGCCGCGGTGCCATCTCCGTCATTCCGGGCTTTCAACGCCTGCTTCCTTCGTCCAGCATGCCGCAGAGTCCAGTGATGAAGGACCCGTCGCTCAGCATCATTACTGAAAGGAGCTGCGAGTCCCCGCAGAAGCGCAACTCGACGATCTCCTCGACGGAAGAAATGACCGAGAGTATCGACGCGAACGCGAACGCTGCGCGAACAGACGCAACAACCGAAGAGGGCATCCTCGCTTCTACACTGGTTGCTTCATTGCTCAGGCAATCCTCCGAATCGGGTTCCGAATACAGTCAGAGCTCGGCTTCGAAGTCTGAAGCTCGCACCGAGCCGGACATGGACTTGCCGACGCCTCCGGCGCACCGAGAGATTCCGGCACCGCACGCTCTCGACGCTGCCGACCTCCGCATGCGCCTAGCGTCCCTTCTTCCAGGGCCTAATATGAAGAAGGAGGCGATCGACACTGCGGCAGCGGAGATCACGAATGCTAGCCTGCTACTCCGCAGTGACTCGATGGGCACGCTCGACTCTGAAGATGAGAATAGCCCGAGCTGCGATGGATTCTGGCGCGGCAAGGACTCGTACGTTGGTTTTGCCAGCGGCAGCCATCGTGCTGCACTCTGCTTGTAATCTATTGACCTGCACATAGACTATATATCCAATCAGTGCGTTATAGTTTGATTTGTGTGGTGGCTGTTGGTTCTGTGATTTCGCTTTTCAGAGGTCGCCATTCATGTAAGGGTTGGCTACTAAGAAAAAATGGCGCCGCTGTGTGGAGCGTGGAGATGAGAGGTGAGAGAGTCGGTCAACGCTGATGTGACCAAAAGCAGAAGCGAATCTACACTCTTTTCTCTTCTACGCACCTCACTGACAAGTTGCTACATGCATCATCGGGGACCCAGAAGCCAGTGCTCAGCTGCATTCAAGGTTGCTAAGGCCATTGCGCGGCTGTCAAGCCAAGCCTGACGCTGAGCCAAGGCAAACGAGCAGCGGGCGACATGGCCTCGGACGAACTTATCGCGTCGACTTCAAAGTCCACCGCATCCCAAAGCCCGCAGTATGGTTGTCTCTGCCTTAATGTTCAACTCGCCACTCAGGGGCTTCCTGTCGGAGAAGCCAGCATATCTTCTCAGGGTGGCGTAGCAGGAATGGCACAGCTGTTCGCAGTCGACTCAGAGAGCTTCCAGGTGGTGGGTTATGCTAGGAGGCCCTGATTGTCCGTCTTGCTCCAACTGATCTGCCTCTCAACGTCGCATTTGTCACAACAGTCTTATCCATCCCTAGTGTTGCGGGAGTCCATCAGCATCAAAGGCCAAACATGTCCTGCGCTCAAGTGCAAGCATTGCGATACCATCATATATGCTGTGCGCAAAGTTGCAAGCTCAGGGCCGAGTCGACTTCTTGGCTTTCAGGTCGCTTCCAGTTCAATATTGCAAGAGAGCAGCTCGTCGAAGGCAGACCCACACCAAGCTCCTGCGATCAGCCCATCTGCGGCGCCTTTTCGGAAATCCAGTGTCGGATCTGCCAATTCCTCATCGAGAGAAAGGGAGGACCAGGAGCGCGAGGCAGCCGCTCTATCTGCAGCGATCATCAAGCCGGCAGACGGGCATGTATGGATCTTACCGGGCTGTCTTGATGGGCAAGGGATTTTACAAGCAACGGAATCCTCCCTATACTCGCCAATCTATGGTATCTGCTTGGCACCGCAGTCGGAAGAGGCGCTAGCGAGGACAGAGCAAGATGGCGAGGAGGAGCCAGAGGAGGAGTTACCTCTGGGACGGGGACGCTCGCGAGCGCGACGCTCTTCGAGCTCGAAGATAAGCCCCGCAACAGTAAAAATATTTACAACGCCAAGTTCCGGCCTGCCTCCAGTTCCATCTTCACTGCTGCACTCTCCACCAGCATCGCCAAGTCTCAGCACGGCTCCAGGGGTGCCAAGCTCGCTATCCGCCAGGTACAAAAGCCCAACAAGGGCATCTGCTGCCTCACCTACCGCCCAGATCTTTCGTTATCAGAATGACTTCAGCTCGCAGCTTGAGAGCCGCGCTCTTAAGCGATTAAAGCAGGCTCGGGCGGAGGCTGATCGGGAGATCCAAGCGTTAATTGCAAAGCATGCCGACGTGTTGCAGAGGATGCAAGCACAGGCCCAGCTACAAGGCAAGGTCTTGATGGCAGAAGCGGAGGGTAGGGCGGATGCGGGTACTTCGGCCCCAAGTAGCTTCAAACAAGCACACTGGACTCTCGAAAAGTCTCACGGCCTTGGTCGGCGGCGAAGCAATGAGAGCATCACGACTGTGACTGGGAATCCAGCGACACCTTCCCACTCTGTGCTCCAAGATCACAGTATGGTATCATCGCGCGGCAACTTCGCGCCCACGCCCCATGAGATCGGTGGCACAGCAATGGGGCGCACCCGATCCGACGATCCCGCCGGGCACACTTCAATTCAGCCATCTGCGCCGGTGTTCCCACGTCGGAACCCTCCCATGGCAGCAGGAGCAAGGGCGATCAACGGGGTCAGCGCTAATGCCGCCTCTTCCTCTCATACTAGCATACAAACCGTTTCTTCTTTAAGCGCCCTCTCTGCCTCCTTCGCGATGCGCGGCCGAGATCCGCCAATGCAACCAACGATCACAGCTGAGGATTGGGCAGCAAAGAAGAGATTGAGGGAGCGATACCCAGAGGGCGACCATTCGGCGATGAACTCGGAAGTCAATTCTGTCGTCAATAGCGAGGACAGCAGCGAAGTGGAGGACGAGGGTGGGGAGGATGAACGCGGCCGAGGTCGTGATCGGGGTCGCGATGAGCGGGGGCGAGGGAGGAGCGCCAGACCCCTTGAGTTGCACCATGTGGCTAGCGAGCAGCAGCACAAAGCGAAAGAGAGCGGACCCACGTTCGCGCCAGGCTCGGCGCACCTTGGGTCGAAAACCACTCCGAGTCAAGCTCAGCTGAGCATCGCAGATGTCGAAACGGAAAAGCAGGCGGGCCAAGCGGGCGAGATTGTGCTCAAACCGCGGGATCCGCCACCCAGCGGCACCGAACCGCTCAAGCCGGCGACGCGCAGGGCGCGGGACAATGCTGAGAAGGGTGGCGCTAAAGATCAGCAGCACAGGAAAAGCGTCGCTTTTGCGGAAACGACCGAGAACGTGCAGGCGCCCACGGTCGATGAAGATGAGCAGCAGGAGGAGGGAGAGATTGTTAATGAGTTGCTGGTGGACGAAAGTGACAGTGAGTGAGAAGTCGACACAGCTGTCAACGTTTGGCCTGACACTTTTTACCTGGTTTTTAGACGCGGTGTTCGAGATTGACGAAGAAGTGGAGCGCGAAGAGGCCGCAGCTGAGGAAGGCAAGCTCGGGGAAGATTTGGTGGATGAAGCTGTTGAAGACTATCCCTCATCTTCTGATGCCGAGCCTTCACTAGCAGCATCCATGGAGGGGAAACCTGCCAGCATCTCCGCCTCACTAGCCATGGGAGGATCTCTATTAGCTCTTGCAGCCGGCGAGACCCACCAGCTTACGCTGGAACAGCAATGGTCCGAGCCCAACTTCGATCCGAGCTCTCTCCGCATCGAAGACTTTCACACGCGACACTCTGCTTCCGAAAGCTCGAAGCGCGTCGCTTTGCATAACCTGCAGATCGCTGCGAACGACGGCCCGCGGCGAGAGACGGAAAGAGGCAACATCACAAGCAAAGGACATATTTCAATTGGGGATGCAGAAGCTCGATTGAGCGGTCTGCTTGCTCCGCACGCACCCTCGCATCGTGACTTTTGGAAGAAGGGCAAGAGTCGTAAAGTTGCTAAATTTGAACTCAACGACGAAGAGGAAGAAAAGTGGGCAGCTTGGAAAGATCGTGTGCAAGCAAAGGAGGTAGAGGCGGCTCGGAGAGCGCAAGAGGAGGGGGACGAAGACGTATCGTACTCAGTGCCAAGTGGTGATGAGGCTTCGCCTGGCAGTTGTGCGATCCAGATGATGAGCGGCATTGGCTTCTCGTCAATTATCCGCGATGGTTCTTCTGGCTTTGACAGGGAGCCAAAGACGTCCCTGCCTTGTAACGAACGCATGATGGTGCCTTCGTTGCGGAAGGCGATGCGAAGAGCCCATATTGACAAACCATCCGCCGCAGGCGCGCCTTCGCTGCCGAGCATCGAGGACGAGAGCCCTCGATCGCTGCGAGCGGGGCAAGTGGAAGCCAGCATTGCTCAGCGCATGGCTGACAAACAGGCTCAAGCCGAGCATTCGCGCTCTATGGTCAAAAACGCCACAGATCAGGTGCTACCCGGCAGCGTATCTCAAAAAGGCTTTGCATTCGGTCAGCTGACCGCACAAGGTGCTTGTCTGGCCTCCGGCGTTGACCCAGAGGTGAAAAGTAGCGTGCCGTCTCTCAAGGCACCGGTGGCGATCCTTGCCGGAATCCAGGCTGGCGCTGGGAGTGCCTCTTCTTCGCCTCGGCGATCTCCTCGCCCGGAATACGTGCCCCCGCCGCCACCAACCTCGTCTTCGACCGTGCTGCAGCCTGATCCAGCACACATGCCCAAGGCGCTGAAGCTGTTCGATGTTGAACCGGACAAAAGCTTCGCCGTCTCGGAGAAAGGGGAGGAGGAAAGCGAAGATATCGAGAAGACGCTCAAGTTCATGCACCGGCTGCAGATGCTCAAGCTCAACAAACGCACCGGCTGGCTGCACCACCGAGTGAAGAGGCCTGAGTCGATCGCGGACCACATGTACCGGATGGCGCTGCTCGCAATGCTGTGCCCTGCGGACGACATTGACATTGGAAAGTGCGTGATGCTTGCGCTTGTCCACGACCTTGCCGAAGCAGAGGTGGGCGACCTGACGCCGTTGGATGACGTGCCGAAGGAGGAGAAGCTGCGGCGGGAGCGCGAGGCAATCGATTACTACGTGCATGATTTGCTCGAGTCATCGCCTGCGGCGCTGCGGATCGAGAAGTTGTGGCAGGAGTATGAGGACCGGATTACGAAGGAGAGCAAGCTGGTCAAGGATCTGGATCGCTTCGAGCTTTGTTTGCAGGCGCTCGAGTATGAAAGAGGTGAATGTCCCCTTCGCTTCCCTGCCCCGCAGCGATGTTGGTATAGCTCTGGTGTCTTGAACAGCTGCGCTGACTCCAACCCTCCCCCTCCCGGGCCGCCGCTCTCGCTCACACCTGCGTGCTGCTCGATAGAATACGACATCCGAGATCTGCAGCCGTTCTTTGGCAACTCGATCAACCTTATTTCGCACCCGCGCCAGCGCCGATGGGCAAAGCAGCTTGCGATCGAGCGGCAGGAGATGTGGGCCGCCCGGGGCGTGAATTACAAGCAGGAGTTCGTCAACGGCGACGTGCATTGATAGACACGGGTGTCTCGCAAAGGGAGATGGGGTAGGAGAGGTGGTGGCGCGCTGCATTGGTGCGCGCGCGCCTGATTACGTGCATCTCTTTGAAAGGGTACTTTTCAAAATGAAAGAAACGCTACAAACCCAATGCAATTCGTTTCACAAGCGCGCATAGCATCTGCCAGAGGAGAATAAACAGATGCGAGGCATGTCGATTTTCGTGCAAGTATTAGTGTACACTGATCGAAACCGATCGGAGGATCGAAGCACTTGCTTCCTCTTCCAGGACGATATAACTCTCTGGCTCTACGCGCGGCACCCGTCTACGCGGTTCTAGAGCTTGGCAGGAAGGTAATCCGAGTAGGCCTTCTTGCTCTTGGCCCTGTCGAGCTCTGCCTCGGTAAGGCGCTGCGTCTCGTAGCCAACATTATAGCCGAAAAGCTTCTTGGGGTCGTACGCACCCTGTTGGAAGAACGCAGGCCGGCGCAGGACGGTGACGACACATGAGCCGCCAAGGCCGATGTTGTGCGTCAGCGCGTGCTCTACGTTCTTCGCCTGCAGCGGGCCGGCGGTGCCCCGCAGCTGGTGGACCATATAGAACTGCGCAGGCGGGTCGGGTGGCAAGGCGCGCGCCAGTCAGTCCGTCCGCCCGTCTGTCTATCCAAGAACTCGGCGGCGGGGGAGAAATGGAAAGGAGGAAAGACTACTCACAGCCATCCCGAGCCCGGTCGCGCCGAGCGGGTGGCCCTTGCTCTCGAGGCCACCTGACGGGTTGATGACCCACTTACCACCGTGTGTATTGTCGCCGAGCTCGACGATTTTGTGCGCCTGGCCTTTCGGGCAGAGGCCGAGGGCCTCATAAGTGACGAGCTCGTTCGGTGCAAAACAGTCGTGCTGAAGGAAGGGTGAAAACCGCTGTGTGAGGGGGAGGAACTATTGCGCCAGGACTGCGGCGTGAAGGGAAGAAGAGGGAAGATGAGGAGCGGGGCGCACGGACTCACCAGCTCGAGGACTTGGACGTCGTTGGGGCCGATGTTAGCCTGCTTGTACGCGCGTTCAGCGGCGCGACGGCTCATGTCGGCGCCGGCGAGCTCGATGCGGCTGCGGTCTTCGTAGAGCCTGACGCTGTCTGTCGCAATTCCGAGACCGGCGAGCTCGATGGCGCGGTCCTGGAGGTTGTGCCTGCGGACAAAGGCGTCGCTGCAGATGATCGCGGCGGCGCCACCGTCGGATGTCGGGCTGCACATAGGCAACGTGACCTCGCGGGTGACCTTGCGCGCCTTGGCAACGTCCTGCGCCGAGGGCGTCGTACGGAACTGGGCGTAAGGATTGTGTTTGGAGTGCTGGTGGTTCTTGGCGGCGATGGCGGCGATGTGGTCCCAGGTTGCCCCGTAGCGCTCGCAGTACTCCTGGCCGGCTGCGCCAAAGATGCGCGCCGCAAATGGGCCAAAATCTTCAGTGACGTACTCCTTCTCGCCCTCAATCTCGTAGAGCTGCGAAATGGTGCCCTCCATGGGCGCCGCGCGGTCGCTGAATGCATTGGAGAGCGAGCCGGGCTGCATCTTTTCAAAGCCGAGCGCCATGGCGCAGTCGACCTGCCCCGCCTGGACGGCCTGCGCGGCGAGCGCCAGCGCCGAGGAGCCGGTGGAGCAGCTGCAAAGGAGCGCCAAAGAAAAGCACCGTTGCGTGTCAGTCTTTCTGGCCACGACAATGATGGAAATGCGACGCACTTGTTGTTGACGTTGACGATGGGCACACCGGTCATGCCGAGCTGGTAGACGGCGCGCTGGCCGCAGGTGCTGTCGCCGTAGACGTAGCCGACGGCGACGGTCTCGACGTCGTCATATGTCACGCCGGCGTCGATGAGCGCCTTCACGGCGGCCTCAAGGCCGAGTTCGGGGTAGTCGCGCTCGCCGCGCGGCTTGTCGAATTTAGCTGGTGACAGGTGAGGGTGCGGGTGCAGTCTGTCAGAGGCTAGCTCTGGCTACTTGTGGAAGAAAAAAGAAAGAAGATCAGTGAGCGGATGCGACTCACTCATGCCAACGCCGACGACTGGAGTTCAGCAAGGGAGGGAAAGGCCATGCAGATTCTTGTTAGTACTCAAGCCGAGGCAGGGCGGCGGCGGCACTGTGAGGGCAACGACGGAGCCTGGGTGCGACTCACTGTAAGCCTTGTTCGTCATGGTGGAAAGGGGTCTGCTTTGGGAGGCAAGGAGGGGTATTTCTGCCGCTGCCGCTGCTACTACGTCTGCTTGCCTGCTTGTCTGTTTGTCTGTCTGTCTATACGAGTATGCAAGCTGGCCTGCGAGAAGAGATGAGGCATGGTATCTATATATGTATATGTATATAACGGTAGCATGCACACCCCAGTCTGACGACTGTCGGTGCGGAGCCATGTTTGGCTGTTGAAACAGTCGAGGCGCTGTTTGGCGGTCCGGCGGGCAGCACACAGCCGGATAGCCGGGCTATGTGCCAGAGAATCGGTGCATTTGCCCAACCATCTAGCTTAGTTCTGCACAGCATGGAACTGGCTCTCAGCCTGTTCCGCTCCCACGCATCACTGGCAGCATGGAAGTAGGGTTGACCATTTCTAACCAATTATTTAACCACCCTTCACACTCTCTTTCTCTCTCTCTCTCTAAACACCAGGTGCAGGTGGCATTGCATACTTGCAGGAGCCACTTACCCTGCCCCCCTCGAGGCCCCAACATGGACCCATACGCTCACCCTTCCCCTCAGCCACCGCGCCGCATGCGCCCCCGCTGCCCGCAGTGCGGCTCGCGCCGCTTCCGCCGCGACGCCGTGTCCGGCCTCGTCGTCTGTCAGGACGGCCACGTGCTTCAGGGCTTCCGTGACGAGCTCGCAGACGACGAGGACGGCGCTGCAGAGCGCGCCTCGACGCGCATTCGCTACCGCAGAAAGGGTAGGAGCAACAGGAGCGCCGAAAAGCGCCGCGCTGCCGCGCTGCAGCAGCCGAAACGTGCGTACTCGTTCGCCTTCTCCTTTCTCTCCACGCCTGCGCGGCAGAGCGTCGCGTAATGGATCCATTTCGCAAAAGAACCCAAAAAGAAAAAGAGAAACGACGCTGAGACACCCCATGTTCTCGTCCATCTGCTACCGCGTGGCGCCTGCCTGCAGAGATCTACGGCCTGCACGCTGCCTTCCGCGGCTATCAGTGTCTGCAGCTGATGCTCCGTCTGCAGCTCGACGCGCTCCGCACTCTCTTTCCGCGCCTCCCGCATGCCCAGCTCGAGGCGGCCGCACGCGAGTACTGGACTCTCTTCCTGTACATCATCGAGAACGACGACGCGCCGGAGCCCGCGCGGTACCGCCTCAGCGCCATGCCCGTCGCGGACCCGGTCTCCCCGCCGCTGTCGCCGCACCCGCATCACGTGGACGACGGGTACGGCGATGACGATGGGCACTCCGCATACTCTTTCGCGTCGTCCACGCGCTATACCTCACATGGAGCGGAGACAGACCGCAGCAGCCAGCACAGCCCGAGCTCCAGTCGAAGGAGTCACGGCCGCAGCCGCTCGCGCAGCCGGTCCCGCAGCGCAATCGAGGCGACCCTTGCGGCGCTCCACGCTCGCCAGAAGCAGCGGCTAGAAAGCCAGAACCAACGGCAGCAGCAGTCGAGCATCGCTCCCGACACAGACGACGATGTCGACTTGCACCCTGACTCGGATTTGGAGTCGCAGGCACGCTCGGATGTGTCCGCGCGTCGACGCAAACCAGCACACCTTCAGGGGCGCGCACGCGCACCCCGGCGAGTATCCGTTTTCACCGGCTTCCGACGCCCTCCTGCCAAATCGGACGCAGCCTCCAACTCGGAAGAAACGGACAGCAGCGTCGACCAAGGGGCCACAACGGACGGTGCCTCCTCCAAGCACGGCGGCTACTCGAGCCGTGGCTTCGCTTCTTCTTCCTCGTATTCCATCGAGGCTGAAACAACGAATTCTGAGCGCAGCCGCCGCCGCAGCAGCAACAAAAAACGCAGCAGCGGCCGGGCGCGCGGCGGGCATCCACTGGGCGAGTACGCGAGCATCGCCAAGCGCTCGGCCCTGCTCGACAACACGCTCTGCATCCTGTACCTCTCGCTCTGGACGCTGCGCATCCCGCTGCATCTGGGCGACCTGCGGCGCCTGCTGCTGGCTCGCCGCCTCCCGTACCTCGACGCGCAGCAGCACCTCCCGCGTGCGTTGGTACACCAACTCAACGCGTCCGCCGTGCGCCACTTCGGCCTCGACGCGGCGCGCGTGCCTCCCTCTGAGGCGCTGTACGCCGCCGTGCGCGGCTTCGCGCGCCAAATCGCTGCCGTCACCAACATCCGCCTCCCGCCGCTGAATGTCGCGCCGGTACTGTGGAGCTGCACGCGCCGCATGCTCTTGCCGCGTAAGTTCAAATGGAGAAGTTTGTTTCTTTTTCAAAGAGGGGCTTACGCGCACAATGCATTGCTTGGACCCTGCTCGCTCGCAGCTTCCGTCTACGTTGCGGCAAAGGCGCTGCTCATCTTTTGCGATTTTCTCCCTCATCTTTCTGTCGAGTTCGCGCGTGCTGCAGCGCTCCTCGACAGATCCAACGCGGCAGCGGAAGCGAAGGAAAATGTGGGCAGCAACGGCGAGAACAACATGGATGCCGCGGGCAGCGCTGCGGAGACACGTTGGAATGCACCGCTCGTCAAGAGTACGCTGAGCAAAAAGACGTGGGCGATGCCCAGAGAAGTTCTGCTCGTCGCTGCGATTGTCGTCGTGCTCAAGATGCGCTACGGGCTTGATGGCCGCAAACGGTGAGGGCTGGATACCTTTGCACTGCTGCTGCTCTCCTATCGTCTTGCATGGCCACACGCTGACTGTTATCACTTGTGCTTGTACTCCTCAACCCTCGACCGGCTCCTAGCTATGAACACCAGGACGGACCCTCTGCAGGAATGCCGAAGCTCAATGTGTGGCTGCGAGCAATGCAAGAAGTGACAGCTGCGATGGAGGCGGACCCAAGCGCGGCATATAACCCATCTTGGTGAGAACAGGCATCCATTTCCTCGTTTGCCGAGCTGTATCGCTGACTGCACAACAATTCTTCTGCGCCTTCAGCGATGTCCTCGATATGAGCGAAGAGCAGTTGGACGCGTTTTTAGACCACGCGGAAGACACTCTAGTACTCAAGAACGAAGCTGTCATGCACCGAGCACGCAACGCAAATGGTGAGCTCGTTCGCAAACACACGCTGTCCTCCTGGTTGTTCGGCAAGGATGTCTCACTGATCGTGGGTCATGCCATATCCTGAATGGTTGGACACAGAGACGCAAAGCTTCCTCAAGTTTACATCTCCAGCCAGCTCGCGCACGAGCGACCCGAGCTCAACAGCAGCGCGAGAGCTGCAAGCGCGGGAAGAGCATTTGCAACGAGCGATGGCCAGCCTGTACGATTCACCGCACTCCGTGCCAGCGTCCGCGTCTTTGTCGTCGTCTCTTGGGGCAGACGGGCGGCTCAAGTGCGGTCAGGCATACCGTGCGTACGTCATGCCTGTCCCGCACGAGGACGATGGGCAGCTCCCAGAGGAGCTGCAGCTCGTGCTGGAGATTGGCGCCGACGTCGCTGGCTGTGAGGTCGAGACGCTCAATCGAGCTCTGGTCGCCATCGAGTCAGCGCTTCGGAGCAAAGTGTGCAAGAAGCCTGCGTCGATTACGCGTGGCAATGCTTTCCCCGCTTAAGCCTTTCCAGAGAACAGCGGAGTATGATGGAGAATCAGCAATCAAACAAGCACAGTATTTGTAGCATTATATCATTTCATTCATCGTACAACAATAGCAAACCCCCGCCACAGCGGTGATCAAAGCTTGGCCTTCTCCTTTTGCAATCGTTCCCGGGCGATGATCGCTCTCCCCGCATTGCTGCTGTTCAAGCGCCCGATTGCGTTGGAGATCCAATCGCCAATTCTGGCTGCTTCTGACAAGTCAATCCCTGTCTCGTATCCCTCCTTGTGCAGCGCATACACGACACTCTCCGTGTCAATGTTTCCTGTCGCACCCGGGCTGTACGGACACCCGCCTAGTCCACCGACGGACGAGTCGACCGTGCGCACGCCCGCGCGCACCATCGTCAAGACGTTCGCCAAGCCCATGCCGAAGGTATCGTGGCAGTGTGCAGCGAGCGCATCCACGGGCACGCCCGCTTGGACACACGCATCCAAGACGGCAATCATTTCGGGCGGGGTGGCAACACCGACCGTGTCGCCCAGGCTAACCTCGTAGCAGCCCATCTGGAGCAGCTCCTTGGCGATCTGGCCCACGCGCTTTGCGTCGACTGCACCTTCGTACGGGCAGCCGGCAACGACGGAGATGTATCCGCGTACTTTGAGCTGGTTATCTCGCGCACGCTGCGTCACTTGCGAGAGACGTTCAAGCGATTCGGCAATGGTGCAATTGGTATTCGCTTTGGTGAATGACTCGGTGGCGGCGGTGAAGATCGCGATTTCGTCCGTTGGCTTTTGGCGTGTAGCCCAGCTGTCAGAAGACAAAATGGATAGGAGCGTATCGAGCCCTTTTGCATTCGGAACGAGAACTGGATACGAGACACCCGACTTGATTTGCATTTCCTGGATCACCTGTGGAGTATCGGCCATCTGTGTACAGCGAATGAGGTAAGTCGCCCGAGAGAAAGTTGGCACGGTCGCAAACTCCGTAGTCACTTACCTGCGGCACCCATTTCGGGCTGACAAACGACCCTGCCTCGACCACAGATACCCCGGCTTTGAGCAGCCAATTCACAAGTTTGACCTTCGTTTCCGTAGGTACGATGGCTTTCTCATTTTGCAGACCGTCTCGCGGAGAGACCTCGACGATCTGGGGCCGTTCAGAATGTATACCAAGTCCGTAACCATCAGTCCTACTCGCTCTGAGTACCCAGTTCATGGGCTTTGGGCGTCTTCTCACCTTGACGAAATTTCTTTGGCCTGCCACAGTGGCCAATCCTCGCCGGATCTGAGAGCATGCTGTGCCTCGCTGATCGGCGACTAGGCGTCTGAGGCTTTGCCGCAACATGCCCAGGTCGAGCTGTGTAGATGTCGAAGACAACCCATGCAACAAGAGCAGATAGCTCGACTCAACGGCGAGACTTTGTTAACGGTACACGTTAAAGAAGAGGATCCAATGAATGACACGTTGCAGCAATCGAAATACATGGTCAAGCATGAAGGTACCGCGGGGGGGGGGTAAAGAGTGTGTGTACCAGACGTTGATCTTGCAGCCAAAAGCAGATGCATTGGACCAAAGCATCTCGGCCGAGAAGCAACAGTAGGCTTGGAGCGGTTATTCGCGCACATTGTACATAGTAGTCAGCTGCACAGAGGGCTTCGAGGGGCCGAGACTGCGCTCTCCCCCAGCCAGGTGAGGTACGCTACGAAAACGGCCAACCAGTCGATGATTGCAGACGTTCGATCTCTATAGCAGATTGCAGTAGTTACAGTGTGCAAAGGAGGGATGTAAGAATCTCGCACGATCAATTACGTATCACCAAACGGTTGCAGAGCTGTAATGCCATCGTCACACGTCAGCAACACCCACGTTCCGCGTCTTGGCTCGCTGTGACTCACGATCGTATGGGAACTTGCGCACCGTTACATCGCCACGGTAGTTCTGCAGCGTCGGGTATGCGTCGCTGAGGTTGTACTTCCAGTTCGGCGCAGGGGACGCGCCGAAGCGCTCGATGTTGGAAACGACCCTCGCGTTGCTCGAGTCGTAATCGAGTCGAATCTGCTGATTCGTGCGCCGTGACGGGTCGCTAAGCAGGTAGTTGTGCGGCGAAAAGATGATTGAGGCCTGTGCGGTCGTTTGGACTGTGTTGGGCAAGTCGCCAGTGTGAGGGACGTGTAGCATCCCCAGGCCGAATTGCAGCACCAAGTCGGTCTGATTGAGCGACTCTCCGTTGAAGTACGTCGAAAAGTCGATGATCGGGTTCCCGGTATCGTAGTTGTTCCAAGGGGACGCGCAGCTCGCCTCCGAGTCCTTCCTTTGGAGCACGTAAAGAGGATGTGTGGCAAATGATTGCGACTTGAGCAGGTTCGGAGAGCTGCGTGAAGGTGAGAATCAGCTGCTGATCCGTAGTCTCGGGTCTACGGGCCACATGGACTTACTCCTGGATGTTGACGACATGCCCGCTGCCTAGCGAAGGCATGATCCTGAATCCACGTGGCTCGCCGTACGCATTTGGCTCGTCCTGGTTGACGATGACGTACATCTCCGAGCCATTCGCTGGCCAGTTGAGTGCACCATCATCTTCTGTCTCGACGACGGAGCGCACCATCTTCATACCGGGTCGTGAGATACCGCGCGACCAAGGATAGGTTTGGTTGACCGGGACAATGCTGTGCTTCGCGAACGTGTTGTTGACGCCGAGGATATCTGGGTCGAGGCGGAAGGATAGTACGTGGTCGTGCATGCTTCCGGATAGGCCACTAAAAATTAAAGAAAGCGCAAAGCCCATGAGTGACCAAGGTAGCCGTCGCGAAGGGATCTGGACAAAGGGCTCACTCGTGAATTTGGTAGCCAAAGTCTTCGTTGTGGGCATAGAACGCGGCCTGGATGTACCCGCTCGCTTGCACACGAGTCTCGATACTTCCGTCCAAATAGAAGATGTACGACAAACTGTAATCGTAGTTGCCTGTGTATGAGGATGTTGGCATGAGAGAGAGAGAGAAATGAGAAATAAGATACTCACACAGAGCGCTGAGGTGCACGCAGCCGCTCACTCACCAACAGACGAGACGCTCTTGATGATGAGAGCGACATTCGAGGTGATGGAAATGTAGCTTCCGGACGAGTGACGCTGAATCGGGTAGTCCATCGGCATCTCGAAGGCACAAATGGAGTTGTGGTGCGTCCGGCTTTGCTCTTCAGCGTGGAAGGTGCTGTTGAAAAAGTACGCTCCGGCTGGGCAGTCGTAGCCTTCCGCCAATTCGAAAGCGTACTGATGAGTCAAATCGGAGAAGAAGCATCACGATCAGCACATTGCCGATTTTGCCCAAGCAGGTGCGTACGCGAGAGCTCACCGCGCCAAACGAGTAGTACGTGTCCAGGTAGCTCGTGCCGGCTTGCACAGGATCGTTTCCAGAGTCTGCCAAGGAGCGATGGATCCACACGGTGGCCGGTAAGCTACGGCGCACCCAGCAGCTGCTCAGCGAAGACGGCCGCGCGCAAACTCACAGGATGCGATTGCCTCATCGAGACCGAGCTCGTAGATGATCCTCTGGCCATCGTAAGCAATGTCGAATAGGCGCAGTCCCGTGTCTCTTGAGAAGCCCATGTACGCGGAGAAACTGCCCCACTGGATGAACTTGCGCGCGGAGTCGACGCTGAAGCGCTGTCCCTCGGGTGCGATGACGACCGGCCGCGCCTTGGCGTCTTCGGCTAGCGGCTCACCCTGACGGTCCGTCGCCGTCCACGTGCCGTACGTGTTGCGCTGCGCGGCCTTCTCGAAGCCGGGCTGCGACCACGCAGTGCGGAAAGCGGCCTTGTCCTCATAGTAGACGTTGTTGTAAAGCCAGCCCATCTCCTTCCACTTGGACGGGTCGCGCCCGGTCGTCTCGACTTCGAAGTAGATGCCCTGCGGGAGGAGGGTCTGCGAGTCGAAAGGGAAGCCCTCGATGTTGGCCCAGTAGCCAACCCATCGGATGATCTTGGGATCTGTTGCATTGCCTTGCTGCCAAACAGGGTCGGTGCCCCAGGTGGAAGCGGTGTCGTCGTCGTCGCCGACAGCCTTTAGCCCTATGAGATCCATCACGACGTCCTGCATGCTCGCCGAAATGTTGAGCGTGTACTTGTGGAAACGGTCCTCGTCCATGTTCCATACCCGGATCTTGTGCTCGCCTTTGGACGTCTGCCAGCCCAGATTGGCGATCGCCATCTCGGTTGAGTTGTCCGTGCTGATGGGGCCGACGGCGATTGTTTCACTGCAAAGTGAAAGAGGCGCCTTCAAAAATTTCAGCACGGCGATCTCGCACATTCTGTGCGTGAGAGGAGAACTCACACGTAAGGTTCCTCCGTCGCGCCGTACATGATCGAGACTTTGGCCCAGCGCTCGGGTCTGGGACCGCCTTTGTCGAGATACACTAGCGCTTCGGTCTTGTTGGGCAGCAGCAGATCGACAACGCTGATCGCGTTGTCCCAGCTGGTCGCGTTCTCTGCAGCAGTCAGGTTGAGCGAAGCCTTGTCACTGTGCAGGAATGCGATGACCGCCGCGGCCTCGTCGTTCGTCAGGCTGGCCCAGATGTTCTCATGCGGCGCAGAAAAATCGGTAGTTTTGCTTGCGTCCAGATTGACCGCATCCGGGTCCGTTGGGACGGTCCTGCTGTCAAGAATGACAGCAGCCGAGGATGTGGCGGCATCGGAGCAAGCGTATTTTTCGTTGAAGGCTGCTTGTGGGGCGGCGGCGTAGGAGGACGACAGCAGGTGAGATTGGGCCGCTTGCTTGCGCGCGGCGGCCAATGCCTGTGGACCATAGACGCGAGGATTCGTGACGCGTGGGACCTTTGGTGCTGCTTCTGCGAACAGAGACAGCAGAGAGATGGAAAGCGCTGTCAAGGTGACCGCCTTCATCTTCGTCAGAAGAAAGGGGCGGATGGAAGCAGAACGAAAGTGTGAAGAGGTACGGAGGAAGGGAGGGAAGACGGGATGCAATAGAAGGGATGCAACAAGATAGGGGGAGCCGCTCAAGACACCCAGTCCCTTTATAACTGGCCGGTGGCATGTCAGTAAGAGCCGCACGGAATGGCTCGGACGGTGGCGGCCGTCGTGATGCTTGATAAATTGATAAGGTGCACTAAGCCTCTCAACTGATGGAACAGGGTACCACGCCACCGAGGATGCAGTCGAAAAGGTGGCGTATGCAGCGAGATGTTTCCATGGGGGCGACCATTGTCCTTGAACACTGAGCGAACACTGTTTGGATATGAAGCGCACGTCTTGCCATGTATAGACGTATGTACATACGCGTGAACGCCCCATGTTTCAGCTGTGCAGAACTTCGTCCCGCTGTCCGAGGGCTCGATTGATTGCCAAGCCGTACATGAACACCTGTGAGCGGAGACGACAAAGCAAACAAGGCATGAATGGGATACTGCGATACGCTGATCTGAAGCATTTGACAATGCAGCTTTTGGTGAGCGGAGTCGTCGATCTGGCGGCTGGCGCCGTGTGGTCGCAGAAGCTGACGGCTCTGCCTGCTGAGATGGCCTGAGACATGGTGTAAGTTGTTAAAACGGCTCAATTGATGATCCATTTTTGGATTTGCTGCTTGCACATATATCTTATCGCTTCTGATGGGTGCTTGATGATGGCTTAATGCGATCAGCTGTGCATTACGTGCCATTCCAGGAGGTTCTCCAGTATTCATCGACACGCATGCGCCGACGGATTCTTTGTTTACGAGGAGAGCCATTAAAGTTGACTGCGGGACCATATCTGTAAATCCCGGACAGTAGAACGTGCGTGCCAGCGGGGCGAACAGCGTCGCGCCCATCATCAGCAATCATTGGTGAATGGGAGATCTGGCAAATGCCAAATGTATATGCTAGCTGATGATCCGCGCCAATCGAATGGATACAAAGTGGCTGGCTAGCACCAGCGGCACCTGCTCAATCACAAGCGAGAGCCTCGAAGCACATGGCTGAGAGAAGACGAGCGATGGAGGTGTCGGTCGGGTGATGAGCCATGCACAGCACCCAACAAGAGTAACAGATGCAAGGCTAGGCAGTAACAATCCTGGGGATTGATCGAGTCTTGTCTGCGGCGGGATGTCTCTCGGCCGGAAGGCAACCAGACCGAAAGCCAGCAGGGACGGGGCAGCCCAGCAGTCGGCCGACGGATCCGAAGGGAGAAGTAGATGGAGATCAGAACCCTCCAGTCACCTCTTGGAGCCACCCATCGTCGGTCATTCACATCACCGCCGGATTGGAAAACAAGCGTTGCTCCTTATGAATACTTTCACGCTTGGACCTCTCTGCTACATGCAGCCT